AGCAGCAAGCATCGTCGTACAGAATACAAATACAAAGGACTCGATATTCTGTGCTATTATTTTTATTTCAGATGGTCCTAGGTTCCGCCATTCGACTGTATTCCAGTCCGTTCCGTTTTTGGCCATTCATGTACACTATCTACAACCACTACTACGACTGCTACAAGTTATGATCGTTAATACAAACTGTTAACTAACCCTTGCGAATGTACCAGTAGTTATTCTATTCCTTTGTTTTCTTTCTCCGAGCCCAGCTCACTGATTCCCAATTCGCGCTCGCCTTTCTCTTCGATCGCTGTCTCTCTATGAAGCTCGATTTCCAGCCCGTTGATCCGGTGGCTTTCTTAGTGGCATCCTGCTCGTTCGCGCAAAGACTGATACCCGCATCCTGGATTCCCTGAAACGCTGACCTCGCCTTTCCCTGTCGGCACCGCCTGTCCTGGACTCCTTGGGCCCCGCTGTTACAGAAAGTGGTCGCCCGTCGCACAGAGATTTATCTAGCCCAGGCCTTTTTCTCTGTGGGGAAAAAGCTTGGACCAGATATTTCCTACATTCCACATGCCGTGAGTTGTCTTTTTTTTGTTATCTTTACTTCCCTTTTTTTTGTTTATTTTGTTTTTTCCCCGTCATCCAAAGCTGGATCCTTCGCGCAAATGTTGCTTGCTATCTGTTGAAGTCCGCGACCCTCCCCTCTGTTTACTACTCACTGTAATTATATCTTCTCCCTTGATGCCCGCAGAAACACAAATCAATTTTCGAAATGAAAAGGAAAGAAAAAAGAAAACAACGTCGCATGGGTAAGGGCCTAGCTCACATTTATCTCCCTTGGCTCCCTTTAGGTTAAACATCACTATAGATCATGCTACCTCCCATGGCTCCGACCATTCCTCCTTAACCGACGACGAGGAACTGTCCAGCGGCACCGGCGTCCAAGTCTCCCCGGCCTCGGCAACAAGTAGTCATGGCCATTATGACCACTACGAGGTCGGTGGGAGTTGGGACCATTTGAGCTTCCCCGATGAATTGAAGCCTTCCGATTCGGCCTCCAGACCAAGAACCTCGAACCGTCATCATCGCAATGTGGATAACAGCAGTCGATCAGTGCCCAACCGCCGTCATTCCTCCCGCCGACATGTGCCTCAGGAACGTGAACCTGTCGCGCTTCGGTCGAGGAGACACCATCAACCCCCCGCGCCCGCATCGCCGGCGGAGAGTGTCGACTCTGGCGACGATTACGATTATCCTCCACCTAGACGTCCGCCTGAAAGCCAGTACTGGGCCCCCCATGCTCCCGCTCCCCCCGGAGGCTATGCCCGGAGTTCCGTCTCGGCGCCTTCATACAATCCATACCCCCCGCAAGGGATTATGCCACACGGAGTGATGCAGCCAGGACACGCCGGGCATCCGGGGATGCCGTCGAATCAATTGGTACAGCTGGGACATATGGGCCATATGAACGGCATGCATGGCCATATGGGCCATTATCCCCCGGGCCAGCAGCATCATTATCCCTACGGGCCACCTCCATTCCCACCGCATCCGCGAGCACAGAATCACCCCATGCCGCCGCCTTTCTTCAACGGCCAAGACCACCAAATGCACCAACAGCCTATCCCCCTCCAACGTCATCACGTTCACCACCATCGCCGTACGCGGAGCCAATCTCGTCCGCCACCCGCCCCACGGGATGAGAGTGAAAGCCCTCCGCCCAGAAGCCCACATGCCCATCCGCTGCCTGGTCACCCCCACTCTCAATTCCCCCCCGCTCAGTTTGGCCCTGTGGATATGGTTCCTTACGGCATGCCCCCCGGCGGTCCTCATGGAAGTCCGCACGGGGGTCCGCACGGAGGCCCTGCTTACTTTCCCCCTTACGGCCATCAGTTCCCTCCGATCCCCCATGGCATGCCCCCGCCCCACTTCTTCCACCAATTTCAACGTCAGCCGTCACCGCCGCCGAAAGAACCCACGCCGCCACCCGCAGCCCCCGCCGCGCCTCCCGCCCCACCCCAGCCGGATCCCAAAGATGAAGCCATCGCACGACTGGAAAAGCTCATTCTCGAGGAACGAATGGAACGAGAAGCCAAAGAACTCGCTCGTGAAGCTGCGATCGAAAAGGCCGCCCGTGACAAGGCTATTGCGGAGGAGCGTGCTGCAGTTGAGAAAAAAATCGCAGAAGAAGCCGCAGCTAAGGCAAGCAAGATCGCTAGAGAAGAAGCGATGAAAGAGGCCGAAATAAAAGCCGCGGAAGAGGCTGCCAAAGCTAAAATAGCTGCGGAAGAAGCCGCCGCTATTGCAGCTGCAGAAGCAACAGAAAAAGCTACTGCTGAGGCTGCAATAAAAACTGCTGAGGCTGTTGCGGCTGCCACGGCGGCCGCCCGAGCACCGTCTACTGAGAAAAGGAAACCTATCAAATTCAAAGACGCTGTTGGAAGGAAATTTAGCTTTCCTTTCCACCTATGTAATACATGGCCCGTAAGTTCTTTTATTTTCCTTTTACTCTTTTGTGTCACGCCTGTGGCCCGGGAAGATCTTGCCCCCCGGGTCCCCTTCCTTTTCTTTTTTGTTTTGTTTATAAAAACCATAGCGCCTAATCTTATCTTTTTTTCTTGCTCTTGTAAAATTCCCAGGGTATGGAGGATCTGATCCGGCAAGCATTCCTCCACGTTGACGTAATTGGACCGCATGTTGCAGAGGGCCATTATGATTTAGTTGGCCCCAACGGCGACATCATCCTCCCACAAGTGTGGGAAACCGTAGTAGAGCCGGACTGGGCCATCACTATGCACATGTGGCCCGTCCCGGACAAGCCCAAAAAGCCTAAAAAGCCCAAGTCTCCGGATCTACCTGAAGTACTAGAGGACGACCCCAATCTGGTTACCATCGTGGATCCGAAGGCTCCAGGTGCGCACCCTCCTCTTCCTCCTCCACCACCCATACCTCCGCCTCCACCAGACGCCGAGGTCTTCATGGCTTCGGATCTGTTGCCATTCCCAGGGCCACTTGTTGACGCTCTTCACATTCCAGCGGATGGACAACCACCGCCGCCGCCTCCCGGTCCTAAGAAACCACGTCCCCGGGAGCCCAACCCGGGAGCCTTCGCCATGTGGATGATAGGGAATAGAGGCAAGCTGCCCAACAAGCCTTTAAAAGCGGAAAAAAAGCCTGAAGTCGTCCCGCAGCCTCAGCTGCTGCAGCATGATGAACAATGCTGTGTCATGTAATGGGTGATTAGGTTGATTAACCGCAATGCAACAAGATAGCTCGGAACTCTCTCATCGATCCTAACCCTCTTCTTAGCCCTTTTTCCTTTCGAAACTACCACGGATGACTGATCGGGTATATACAACTCAAGTCGAACAAAAGAAAGCAAAAGCACGAGAGCATGTAAAGCTGACTGGAATAAATAATTTGGAATTTGGTTTCAATCAATGCCCCTCAGGCAACTGGGCAGCGACTCCTGAAATACAACAGCGTCAATTCACCTGCACTTAACCAGCCGAACATTGATTAATATGAAAACTCGAGGAGCCAAAGCCCTATATTTGCGCGCCGGCAACTCAATTCGCTGCTAACTGTCCCCATGCAAGGTGTTGAAGCCGAAATAGCAACTCTGGACCAAAGAAGGTAGCTTTTGTGGCCTCCATATCCTGTTCTGGAAAAGCCATCAAATTCCCCCGTTATTGGTTATTTTATCAAACTGTTCACGCGAATAGTCCAATACTTCGTCTCTCCGTGTTCCCTGTCCTCATCTCAGCGCTTCTCTTTATGCCCGCTCCACGATACGATACACCGGGCACTCATTCGTACCCTCGCCGCCTCCGCTACAATTACCGTTTTTGAGCTCATCATGTAGTGTTGTTGTTTATTCGAAACCACCTCAGTCACTTTGCAACATGAGGGAGCCTTCAGTGAGACATGGCTTTTCCTCCCGAGCGAACCTTGGGATTGGTTTCTCATGCTCTCAAAAAGGACCTTGAAAATAGTCCATATCATATTTTGTTCTATTAGCCATGTTTTCTTTGCTGTTTCTTCTTCTTCTTTCTTTTCTTTCTTTCTTTCTTTTTTTTTTTTTTTTTTGAACGTGGTTTATGAAATCTATTGACTGCTTTTTGATGAATTGTTACGTTATGTCTTGGATACCATCTCTGCCTGCTTATATCTCCATTTTTTTTATTGATATTCTCCTGTATGTGCTGAGCGTTGTTGACCCTTTCTACTATACCTCTTAATCTACATACCCTGCCCTGCCTCTTGTTTCTTTTCGTCATCTCACCCTCATCGCTCTCCTGCCTTTGAATGATTGAATGAATGATAGTGTGTGTACCCCTATCCATCACGATGACGGGATCTAAAGGGTTTCCTTTATCTTCTACCGATTGACAGCCATAGTTTCTTATTTTAATACCCCTTGCAACTCCAATCCTACTATCTCGGAACCAGCATGTAACTAGCGACGGTTCTCCATTGGGCGACCGTTGGATATACGAAAAGCTTCCAATATTCTCTCTATGCGTATATTCCCGTATATTTAACTGAATATTAGAAGCAAAATCGAGCGTATAAAACGTATATGCCTCTTCCGTCTCTCATCCCCCTGGGTCTTTGAGAGACCAGCGTTCTGGATCTAACCGGCTTACCCAGGCTAAAGAGACAACGGAATTGAACGAAGTCCGCAGGTTGGGGAGAAACATGGAGCAAAAACAAAATGAGGCATAATGTAGACATGTCTTGTGCAATCAATTATGGAGTATGTACAGTACCAAACAAACCGCATTTTCACTGGACAATATGATTGATTCCGAGCTACCCAGGTGAATTAAAAAGTAAACATGCATGTACTGTACTAACAGGCATAAACTTTTCTTCCGCCGCGACGGAATCCCAATCCTCAATCCCGAATGCGCCAACATCTACCCTGGCAATTCAATATACACCGCTCCGCACGATAGTATTGGACTCAGCCTTTTACTCTCGAACAGGTTACGTTCATGAAGAAAACAGATGCCAATTGCAAAGGGTAAAAAGCTGCATGTATGCAGCCTAATCTCCCCCTCGCTTCTTTGACAAATCACACATGCTCGAAATATTAAAATCAAACCCCTTCTCTCTTAACACCTTCCATTCACCCCTGCAAACGTAACGGCTTACGTCCGGCTATGCTACCGTCACGTTGCACATCTGAATGATTCGTCGCCGACGGGCTGGGCCGATCAGCAGCTGTTGCCGATCGCCTAGGAGGCGGACGAGGCGGCAACTCGCTCCCCACTTTGGAGCTAGCGGCACCGTCGACGTAGGCCTTTTCAGGATTCAGCCCTCGTGGCTCTACACCTGGTAGATTTGCACGATGGTAGCTTCCTGAGACGAACGAATTCATGTTCCGATCTTCCGACGTTTCGTGCCGGAGCATATGAGGTCCAGCTCTCGTCTGGGTGGCTCGTGTTGCTGTCATCCGGGGTTCCAGGGAAATCGGCGTTGAGGACACTTGAGAGTGGTGGCTGGGGCTTGCATTTGCAAATACGGCCGTACTCGGACTTCGCGCCAGGCCCGTACTCATAGATAACGGTTTCGTAGGGACGGGAGGAGCTCGTTTCTTGGGTACACCTACTTCTCCGTTGCTAGAAATTACCAAGCCTGACAAACTCTTACTTGATACTAAGGAGTTTGGGGATGGGTCGTCTTCTTTTTCAAAGTCGATTAGGGGCTCATTTCGCAAAGAAGTTGCTGGTCGTGGGACTCTTGGTTTCTCAATTTCTGAAGTGCCATCTACTTGGCTTTTAGCGGGAGAAGTGTCAGGGTAAGGAATGTGAATCCAATCCGATTCTGCGGTTGTAGAAAACGGATTAGGAGGCCGGTGTTGGTTAACCATGAAACCAGACGGTGGCTTTAAGGTCGATTTGGCTGGGAGACCTAGTGTGGGTTAGAACGAGTAAATAGCAAACTCAGACAGGTAGGATGCTTAGTTACCTTGGTCGAGCCACCATTTATGACGGTCAGAGCTAGCTGGTGGGAGATACGGGTCGATAGCATCAAACCCTATCAAATCTTGGTCATCCTCATCGTCCGTCTCCTCCGACCCGGAATCCATCTCACGACCATTCGCCACTCGATCCTGTTCAGCCTCGTAAAGTTGCCTGCGTATATGCTCTTTCAGATTTTCATTCACTATGCTTATTTCGCAATCAAAGGTTGCGTATACAGGACGATGGTCTGAGAATTTCAAAGGTGCGGCGTTATACTCCAGCAGGCGAATGTTTGCGCCCTTCCACAGAATCCTGTCACACCAGGCTGGAGTACGAGCTTTTTCTCTGCGATCGATTAGCATAATGTTTGAATCCGACTGTTTCAAGGTGAAATAACATACGATGTGTCATATTGGTCAGTGCCGTTGTCATACTTATATGTCGGAGGGAATGTGATTCGTGCTTCTGAGTAAAAGGGAAATGTGAGGCCGGCAACCATTTGTAGATTGAGCTGTATAGCAGTCAGAAAAAGATCAATTATGCTGCCCCGTTCCACAGAGAGATACCTGATCATGTGAATATAGGGACTCGAAGTCTCCTGCTTTTATAAGCCCCCGCACAGTATCATCCGGCAAACCAATTCTGTAATTGAAGTCCCCGAGCCATATTATGGTGTCATGGTCTTCGATCGATCGATTTCTTTGGAAACGGAGCCCTTGGTTGATTGTCTGATAATCTCTATTCCGCTCATCGTAATTCGAAAATCCAGCCGCAAGGTGTGCTGTAACAAAACATATCCGAGTGTTCGAATACTGGAAACGAATGGCGCAGCCACCTTTGTTACCGGCCATTCCGGACATGCCAGTCTTATCTATATGTCAGTCGAAGCAAACTAGGAATGACATGGACATATTGAGGTAAGGACATTATACCTTCTTCACACTACCCTCAACAACTTTTATCTCGGAGAGCAATTCCGATTTAACAAAGATCAATAAAGCCGTGCCGACAAGTTGGCCACTTCGAAGCAAGACATATTCGCTCTCACCCTTCCTATTAGCGTAGTCATTTAAGGTATGCTTAACGGCGTTCTCCCATATCATTCGATTCCCGGGATCAGTTGACATAATCTGTTGCGGGCTGAGCTCGACAATTTCTTGGAACCCGATGGCGAATATCGAGGGAGTCTCCTGTAAGTTGTCCAGTTGCGGCAATAACCAAGGCGATAGGTTTGTCCCGTTGGCGCCATTGGTTCGCCCGTTGAGGTTGAATGTTCCGACCCATATTCGTACTGTTTTCGAGGAAGTATACTCTAGTGCTCGTTGCCTGAGAGCTCTGTTCACGGAATCACTGATGGGGTCATAGAGATGCACGGTACTCTGTCCAGTTAAAGTACCCAGAAGGAGGTCTATAGTGTTTTGTCTCGCACTGTCGGTGAAAGTATTCATATATAAGCGAGCTGCGCTTTTTCGTATATCTGCAAATGCACCTGCGAGCGACATCTTGCCATGCCGGGTGTATGACGATTTTAAAGCACCAGAGCCAGCGTATATTTTGGACAGGTTGTCACCGTTGTCTGCCCACAGGGTTGAATGCCGCCTCCAAAAGTCATCAGAGGTTTTCCCACCTTGCTGTTCCAAAAACGATTCAAGAGCCATGCGACTGATAATGGTCTGAACAAGATTTGTCCTATCAAGGCAATCCAAGCAATTTGTCCGGAAAACCCCCTGCTGCTGAAGAACAACCGTCAGGCCGTTGTTTGCATCATCTGTCGAGATCAAGGTTTCTTCCTTCTGGGGGACATCTGTACATAAAAAGAACGCAAATGCGTCGGCCGAATCTTGAATCAAATGACGAATTATGGATGCGCTTTGGTAGCCTGCAGGTCCCCTGGTTTCCGCATGGAAATCGAAATCTGTCGCCCGTAGAAGATGATGTTCTGATGATGTATTGGGATCACGGCCATGCCTTAATGGGCTTCGAGAAATGTGATATCGGTATCGTTCTGACAATTCTGCCTCCCCAGGCTTTAGTTCCGTAAGCAGATTTACTACATGCACAGCGCCATAAGTCAAAGACAGATTGTCAAAATGTTTGTCGAACGCAGGTTGGGAGGCGTCTGTGGACCTGGTAACTTGAATTTTCTGCCCTCCTATCGCAACGCTTTGTTCCCAGAAAATTGGAAGGGATCCCCGGACCTGCGTATACGAGAAACACATTCCCGGCGGAATCCATACTACGGTCTCGGTTTCTACGAAATTAGAAACATTCCCCTCGTCGTCGATACCGCGAGAATTGAACCTGGTTCCGGCCCTTCGAGAGGAGAGGCGCGATATCAGGGTCAAACTCGAGGGTAAATTCGAATGAGAAGACCTCAACAGAGGTGTCGACGCGGGGATAGTTAACGTGTGAACAAAGCCGCGAATTGCTGTGGTCAATATCCTGCATGAGTCGAGAGTGACCCGCTCAGCTTCCAACAAATGGCTGCGAAACAGCAACAGGGGCTCGATCATAAAAGAGTTCCATAAGAAGTCCCTATCAAGGCTGTCAATATCAAAAGAAGAAATCTCCTCAGCTCTATTAATCAATCGATTAGTTTACAATCATTTCTCTCTTTTTTGTTCTAGCACGACCGTGAGTAAAAATACCTATCTTGAAGGCGGTCAGTGAGATTGAAGTCAACACTGAAGTAAAAGCTACCATCGCTAAGGAGCTTCTTCAGAGGGAGGAACGGAGTTTCGGTGATAACCTCGCGGCCTTCATAGCCAGTTCCGTAGTCACCATCGTCAGAGGGATATGCAAAGGTTGATCTGGATTCATAATCCACATTATTATCATAATCGGAGCGGTTCAAACAGTCTGTTGATAAAAATTGTAAGAACACCATCAGGGACGATAGAACAATAGACTGGGAATAGACTAACAAAATTCTACATTAATAATCCTCTGGACAGTCTCTCCAGGACGCACAGTGGCGGCCTGTGTCGCTTGGGATATTGTGCAGAGAAAGATATCACTGTTTAGAGCGATCAGCCCGGTTGTTCCGTGTGCACGACCTAGGATTCTGTAGCCCGACAAGTCCAGCGCATCCAGACCGGCGAATTCGATATGGCATTTCGGAGGGCTAACATGGGAGTACGAGGCGGTTGAGGTCGATTCAGAGGTGATGGGCACATGGTGAAGGATCAAGGCATGGTCGTCAGAAATCAATGCTAACGCGCGATCAGGGTGATCTCGACAGAGAACTCGCAGCGACATGGCTTCTGGCTCTGTCTTGTCCGGCTATGCAATGCAATCAATTGGCAGCAGTAAATAATAATGTACGGAGTATAGGACAATCAGCTACCTAGCTGGCCGCCAAAGCCGGAAGACCAGCGAGAATGGCTGACCTCCAGTTATTCGAAGAACAGGTACTGCATTACTATCATTTTCTCAGCCTGGCGTGTAGTTTAGAATGCGATGGTTTAAAGCCGCATGTATGTATTGATATATATATAGAGATAGAGAGGCGTGTGGGCCTGTTGGTTCCGGCTGACGTTTATCGCAGTTGAAAAAGGTTGGAGTTTGTCGATGCCGAAGTGGCGGAATGCAATGCAATGAATGGAGCATGTCTGGCTGTGGCAGACAGCGACAAGCAGGGCAACCGGCAGCTCAATGGTACTGTGGGCCTTATATCTAGATGGAAGCGTTTGTGTTTTTGGCATTTTCGCATTTTATTTTGACTTCTATTGTCTTTGCTTCATACTTTCTACCTTTACGTCGTACTAAATCTTAACTTGCAATTTCCCTTGCTTTTCGCCAGAAGCCGAGGGGCACAGTATGGAAACGGATTTTAAGCTGTAAGTCAGGAGGCCGGCGTAAATGCATCGTGGTAATAAATTTGGTCTTTGTATAAAGAACACACAAAGTGGCTAAATATATAGATAGACCCATAACGGATACACATCTGTAGGGGAGGCCATATCCCTCTCAAGGGTCTTGAGACATGCCATCCATCAGTCCCTTCGCATCCATTAAACACGCAACTGTGGAGGGTGTATCAAAGATAGAAACAAAGGTGCGAGTATAAAACGCCATCCCATATAGACGCCTAACAATCTGTAGATGACCATCTCCGACACCAAGGAACGCCCGCGCGAAGTAATGCTCTAAACGTCAAGCAATGGAGTTCCCGTACCCTCATAAATCGCTCTTATCGAGGACTATATTGATAAATCGTAAAAATACATCCATAATCCATTCATAGGCCGCTGATTTTTGTCATTCATTTGAGGCGGGATAGCCGGCTCGTCAAAATAGTTTGTAATTCGCCACTAGCAGCTTCATACAAATCGCTGAGTGTCTGCATATCGGCCACGATCTCTGCCTCGAGCTCTATCCTCTTCTTGACAAGTTCTGCCAGCTGTTTGATCTGAGCTTTGCGGCGTTTCATGCTATGCGGAAAGGGATAGTATCGTTAGCGAAATTTGTCGATCTAGCGACATTGAAATGTATTCTATCAACGCAATTGAACGCAAGCTAGAAGCAAGTATCTTAAGAACCCACAGGGCCAATTTATTGGAATGAGCCATTGACTGAATCCCTTCCTCAGTCTTCTTGACTCGAGCTCTATGCTGCATACGGAGTTTCTGCCATTTATCCTTGTTGCGCTTGTCAACCTGTGAGAAATGATAGGGTCAGGCTGGCTCCTGCGAACATTGGGCTTTTAAAGCAGTAGTAACAAGCAACAAGCAACAAGTTAGGTATGCAGGCGTGCCTCTCACAGCACTGTTCAGGTCCTTGAGCAGATCAGCAGGAGTTGACGAGATGCTGGCTGGTTCATGGTCCGGGTCGCTCCTCGAAGTGGCTGCTCTTGATGGGCGTCCATGCCGGCGAGGTGGAAGTTTCTTGCCTGCCATAAGTGCCTAGGATCAGAGCTTGAAACTGTTATATTGATTGGGCGCTGTTGGATGTTGAAGGAAATCTAGAGCCAAGTTGGACAAACCCACGAATCTTTGCTCTCTAGAAGGAAAAGAAAAGCTTGTCCGAAAAACCAGCTTGTGGTCACGTGGACATTCGCCAGCAAATTTATATATATATTTTTTTTTCTCGAAAGAAACAAAGTATATCTCCAGGACATTACCCCTCCAGCTTCCGTCAATCCCCGCAGCCTACAATGGGGTTAGCCGGCCCTCGAAAGTCAGTAACTAATTGTCCCAATCTGTGCCCGTCCCCCTCCAACATCCCCTGCTAACTCAGTTTATCTCTCACCCCAGGAGGACCAAAATCTCCCACGACCCCAACAATACAGCTTGGTCCCGCTCGACTTCCGGTTATGGCCACAAGATCATGAGTGCCCAGGGCTGGACGCCTGGCAGCTTCCTAGGGGCCTCCAACGCCGCCCATGCGGACCACTTCACCGCCGGCAGTGCTGGCCATATCCGTGTCATTCTAAAGGATGATAATCTAGGACTGGGCGCCAAACTTCGTGCGGAGGACGAGCCAACTGGCTTGGATGCTTTCCAGGGATTACTGGGCCGGCTTAATGGAAAGAGTGATGAGGAGCTGGAAAAGGAGCAGAAGAAAAGACATGCCCGGCAGCTGGCTAATTTTGTTGAGAAAAGGTGGAAGACAATGCAGTTTGTGAGCGGGGGTCTACTGGTGCATGAGAAAATCCAGGCGCTTGCGGATGTGAAGAGCGCTGGTGGTGAGGAAGTACAAACGCCTCAAATCTCGCATGATGAATTGAAATCGGAGAAAAGGCCGAAGAAGGCACGCAAGAAGGAGAAACGAAGAGCCAGGGGTGATGATACTGGCTTGGATCTTGCTGAGCAATCACCAAAGAGGAAAAGGAAGGATAAGAAAGAGAAAAAAAAGAAGAAAAAGTCAAGCGATGGCTCCTCGTGTGCTGATCAGGGGACATCCTCAGGAGATGCACTCGTCGATAAAATCCAAAAAAAGCGGAAAAAACGAAAACAAAAGGATCCAGAACCTAGTAATACAGAAATACACGATGATTATTTACCTCCAGATACCCGCTCTGCGCCACAGGAAGAACAAGAGTCAAGATCTTCAGCGAAAAATGAGAGTATCCGCAAGATTAGGGAGCATAGGCCGATGGGTCGCCAGTTTACCCGGGGTCGGCATATACAGCAAAAGAAGCTGGCTCTGATGGATTCGAAATCTATCAGCGAGGTAAATTTTCACATATATTTGTTTTCCTGTTGAGCCATCCCGTCCATTGCTGATTTTACCTTCTAGATATTTATGGTGAAGTGCTAGCCAGATAGGGGTCCTCTGCATTACATTACAATGTACATAATGTACATCCGGGATATCCTTTTGGAACTCAGCCTGCGCGGCTACTGGCTCTGCTTTGTTTCCATGTTCATTTGGTTGTTTTGCTAGCATTCCATGATCCAACTTCTCTGTTCCTTACCACTAGCAGATCGTAGAGCTGCGATTCTAAAATTTACAAGCCTGTTTATTACAAGTTGACAAACATCTTCCCGTTATTTACTACCTCTTAATTTGAATTGAATTCATATTACACGCCATACAGCGCCGGTGACAGGAGCTACTTGAGAAAAGTGAATAGGAGAAGTTGTCTTGACAACCTCTCCCCTATAACACGGCAACACTGCAATGAATATGTATGTAAACAAAAACATACACCAAGGCTGGAGTTCTTCCTTATTTGGTTCGTCGGGTGCGTCTTCTTTTACATCTGGGTTCCTGGCCATCCTCTGAATCTTCCTAACACGTCCCAGCGGAAAACATGGGCGACAGGATTCTTTCCGACCCTAGGCCCAGTCCCTGGCTGATCAGCTTCGAGGGCGGAGCGATAGCAGAAAACGTCCGTGGATCATCAGTTCGGGACCAAATGGAGAATGACAAGCGAGAGCTTGGGTTGAGAATTGTGAGTCTTGACTTGATGAATGCCGATTCAACATCAAGCAGTAGTATCCACCCATATAACCCTGCAGGGATGGCTATAAGCAAGCATATATATAGATTGTTAGCTTTGTCAGTCCCGTTGCTTTTGGCAATATTGACTCTGCATCTGAACATATAGGATAATCTCTCAGGCAGCTGTCTCTCCCCTCCTCGCATTAACAACAATATAACCACTGCGTCACCACCACGACCAAACGCCACCACTATCATTCCGATAGACTCATTCTATGCCCTCGCCGCGAGAGCTTACCAAGAATCCATACGCTTCCCGGATTCCCCGCCACCTTCTGTCTGGGCGCCTGGCGATCCACTCCACCCGTACTATACGCAAATCCTCAGCACGTTTTTTGTCAACTTCTACGAGCAGCTCCAGCTCCAGCAACATCAACACCAGGGGGCCCCGACACTAATGACCAAAGATGCCTTCTATGCTGAGTGGCTCAAACACTCTCGCAGTGTCCTGGACAATATCCGCGCAGACTGGGGCAAGCAGGCAAGGGGATTCGGGCCGGGATCGGCGACTGCAACGACGACCATTGCCATCAAAACGACAGCGAACAATACGGTGCATAGGTCAGCGGCGAATGTTGCACTGCAGCAGACGATGTTACAGCCAGTGGCACCGCCGGACGAAGGGTGGAGGATAGGGGAACCGCTGCATCCATATTACGTGCTCATGTTGGGTCGATTTGAGGATCAACTGGGCAGCCTGTTGGAAGCAGAGTTTGGGGGATCCGTGGTGTTCGAGGAGCGAGCATTGCAGGCAGGGATCTTCGAGTTTGAGGCTATTATCATGCGGGAGTATAGGAAGATGTGGATTGAAATGTTTGGGTTGTGAGCGCAAGGGGACTGGAAGATCTGGTTTCTTGCTTGATGGAGGAGATGAAAATGAGTGCTGGATGGCTCATCTACATTCAATGCCCAACGACTGCTGCAGCGAACGCTCACTTGAGGGGGAAATAGGATAGAGAAACGTAGCCATAATGTCCATGATACTCATAGTCAAATACAACAACAACAACAACGCCGTCTTCTTTTCCTTTTCTTCGCCGATAATCAGATCTGTATCCCGTATTTGGCGATGTTATATCTCACTCCCATGATGTCATCGCCAAGTCCCGCCAAGCCTGCGTATGACTTCATCCTCGTCTTCTATATCAATCAACCTTCAACCTTCAACCTTGGGACGATGTCTGGTCGCTGAGACTTTCTGCTCTCTGGGATATCTGCACTCCTGCTATTTCCTCTCAGCCCTCGTGCGCTCTCTCTTCCTCGCCTTGCTGCCATGGGAGCTCCTTTATTCCTAGACTAGACCTTGCTTACCTGGAGCTCTCTCTCCGCTCCCTGCCGGAAACACAAAATCATGCGTTCCCGCTCTCCATCCCCCTCCGCTCATTTGAGCGCGGAGCCTTCACTGCCTGAGGATCGGGCTGCGCTTGGATTGCCCCCAATGTCCTATGTCCAAGCCGTTGTGTCCCGTGAACGTGGAATGTCCGACAACTCAGCTTTCCAGAACAGCGGATCCCCGCGCCAGATAGATAGCCAACCCTCCGCAGCGCCGTCATTAGGTACGCAAGGCCTCCCTCAGCGGAATGGACTCACATCATCTCCTCTGCCGCGCGGAGCCCATACCCACCGCTGGGACTCAAGGTCAAACAGGGCAAATGGCTCCCAGGGAAGTGGCCCAAGGAACAGTCCCAGTAATAAAAGCCGCCCAGGGGCTTCTGAACGCATCGGGTATGAAATCCCCTAGTTCCTGTTTTCCTTCTTTGGGTACTGCTACAAGTGCCATGGTTCTCTTTACTCCGATATACTAAATATTCTCTACGTATATACACGTGTGTGTGAGTGGTTTGTAGCTTGCGCTGGGCCCCACTGAACATCGGCCTTGACAGGCGGCTCCAAACCCTCATCGTCCTCTGCCACACCATCTCCATGCCCATCTTCCTAACCGCCTTCTTCTTCTCCTGCGCCATCCCGCTCTTCTGGCCTCTCCTCCTCCCCTACCTGGTCTATATTTCTCTGTTCTCCGATACCGCAACCTCTGGCACTCTGAGCCGCCGTAGCTCCTTTCTCCGCTCACTCCGCATCTGGAATTACTTTGCATCCTACTTCCCCGCGCGTCTCCACCGCTCTGTTCCCCTCCCCCCTACCCGCAAATACATTTTCGGCTACCATCCCCACGGCATCATCTCCCACGGCGCTTTCGCCGCTTTCGGGACTGAAGCCCTAGGCTTCTCTACCCTCTTTCCAGGAATCACCAACACCCTCCTCACCCTTGACTCCAACTTCCGCCTCCCCTTCTACCGTGACTACGCTCTCGCCATGGGCCTGGGTAGCGTCTCCCGTGAGTCCTGCGAAAACCTCCTTTCAAAAGGCGGCCTCGACAACGCTGGCATGGGCCGCGCTATCACCATCGTCGTCGGAGGGGCTAGCGAGTCGCTCGATGCACAACCCCATGCCATCCGCCTCGTCCTCAAACGCCGCAAGGGATTCGTCAAGCTCGCCATCCGCACGGGGGCAGATCTCGTCCCCGTGCTCGCCTTCGGCGAAAACGAACTCTACGAACAGGTCTCCTCCGATCAACACCCACTCATCCGTAGGGTTCAGCTTCTCATTAAACGAACGATGGGCTTCACCGTGCCCCTGTTTCATGCCCGTGGCGTGTTCAATTATGATGTTGGCCTGATGCCCTATCGTCGTCCGTTGAATATTGTCGTGGGTAGACCGATCCAGGTTGTGCAACAGCATGATCGGGCGAAGATTGAGGAGACGTATGTTGATGAGCTGCATGCAAGGTATGTGCGTGAGCTCCAGCGATTGTGGGAGGAGTATCGTGGTTTGTTTGCTACGGAGAGGACATCGGAGTTGGAAATTGTCGCGTAAAATAGCGGGGGACTTCACTGGTTGTGGTCGGACTGATTGGATTGGAGGATTAGATGTGGGTGAGTTGTTCTGGCATGCATTTTAACATATATCTTCTTTTCACTCTTCTGCGAAGGAAAGCGGGCCGGGTGATTTTTGGGTCTGACGATTCGACTTGGAGCTTTTTGCTGGGTTAGCCTGTTTTTCCTTCTATACTTGTCAGTGGAAATCATCGTCAGAGAGATACATAACGAAGATCATAGAGTATTTTTATTTGACCGTCTAGTGCTTGCTTGGCTATCATAAGTCGTTCTTCGCGTCCTTTGCATCGATAGCTGACATGATATAACCCTTTTCAACTGTGCGCCATTGCAAAACCCTTGTTAGACAATAAGATGTCCTCCTAAGTGTAGCCAACGACCGAGTGGAAGAAAAAAACATGAAAAAAAAGAGACATGAAACTTCGTGAGATGAAGGAAAGGATGCTCGCTGCAAAGAATCAAGACGCCTGAAAAAGGGAAAACAAAAAAAAAAAAAAAAAAAAATCAATGCCAGACAAGTTTTACCATATAATCCCCTTCCAATGCCACGTCCCATCGACATTCTTCCACCTCTCTTGCTCAATAGCCTTATCCCATCCCAACATAACAGCTAGCAACCGACACCCAATGCTACTAACACCACAAACAACAGCATCCGCTTGCCCCAGCACAGCTAGGTCGAGCAGATACGCCCGCCCAACCAGCTCGCGCAGACGCAGCGCTTCTTTGGACGGGTGGAAACGGAACGACTCCGTGTCGGTCACCTCCATGCTTCGTGGGCGCAAGTGTGGTTCATTCTTCGAAGCAGGAGGGCTCCCTTCCGCCCGCGGAGGCGGCGGCGCCCCCAAAGACCAGAACATGTCAGGGAAAAACCCGCCTTCCCAGCCTATGTTGCCATCCATCATGCCTGCGGTCCCGCCTTTCGCAGCTGTAGCGGCGTCAAGTACGGTCTTGCTCACTAGCGAAATCATCGATTGTGCCTTTTCAGCATCGGACATCTCCGCCGCTGAGTAGACGTCCGGGTCATCGGAGGCAATTAAGATTTTGGAAGTTTCCTGGCCAGATGACGCAGCGGGTGTTGCGCTGTGACCGTGGAAGGAAATCATCATGTCATACGCAGCGTCGGTGTATGTTGCTAAAGGCAGGTAGGACTTTTGGTATTGAAATTCCATGGGGTGGCAGTCGCCGTGTCGGACGTGGACCCCAACTTCAATACCCCCTTTCCTCCGTATTGATCTGTTGAGTTCTTCCGTGCGGAGTTCGAGATACCTAGCATCATTGCCCTTCAGGTGGAATAGGGCTTCATAGCCGCTGCGGAGGAAGCCGAATATTTTCTTCTGGCGCTGCACTCCTCTCCCGTGCCCGTCTTCGAATTTTTCATTGAAGCCGTGCCCAAAGGCCCAGCTTGTGGTGGCCGAAGATATGAGGAGGTGTTTGGCTTGATGTGGACAAGGCACTCGTTGTGGCTGCGGAGGAGGACGACAAGAGGGCATTGGTGGGTGCTTAAAATATGTCGTGTATCGACCATAAGCCCAATTGGTATCATCGACAAAGAACGCCCTTCCTTCGTATTGAGCCAAGCCATAACTCATCCATAAACCCATTAATGTCGCGCCCATCCCGGCATCGTCTGTCTGCATGACATAAGTCAAGGACTTCTCGCAAACTGGCACGTCGGGACTCTCCGTGTATACCCCGCCGCCGACCACACCAACCCCGTTCTGAGAAAGTTTATGATAGCGCGAGTGAGGAAGTAACCCGTTACGTTCTGCGTCGGGGATGTCCATGAAGTTCTTATCATTCCAGTAATACGCATGATGTGCAGCATGGGGAGTAGAGGCGGGCTTGTTATTTTTAATGTTTTCCACATTGTGCGACAGCTCTGCTGCCTGCGAACAGAGGCGATTGTAGGCGGATGGAGGCAAGGGGAACTCAAGATTGTGTGGTATCGAAATTGTCCATCGCGATCGCCCTCGTTGGTCCATCACCATCACTGGGCTGGGGCCCTTTTGGAAGGTCATCACTACCGACTATTTCAAGGCGATCACCCTCGGTATGAACATGACTGAGAGCAAGGGGGAGACGCTCCGATTGCTGCCATGAAAACCCAAACCAAATAATAAGAACTACCCCGATTACCCAACTGAAAACTTGCCAGGCTCTCCTAGGCCATCTCGGGGACGGTTTTTTCCCGTGGCGGGGAATTATCGAGGGTAAACTGGGCGAGGGGAGCGGGGAATCAGGAGTAAACGGGAGTCGGAGGTGTTGTTTCGACAGAGGAGTTGGACCAAAGGTGCTCCTTGTCGGAGTCCGTCGAAGTGTCACGTTGTGGGAGCTATGGCTTGAAACAATCATTTTGGTAGGCATGCCGTCGCTCAACGACGGTTGAAGTGAAATAAACAAGAAGAGAAGAAGAAGAAGATGACGAAGAAGCCTCCTGCGAACGAATAATGCTGCTGAAGATCGGGAGCCTCCCTGCCTAGTAGCCCGCCACGGACGTCAACGAAATGCTCCTCCACTCACTCGCTGTTCCAAACGAAGATCCCACCGTGGCAAAACTGGACGAGATGCAAAAGCTTGCACTCCGTAATGGCATACCATGCGGGTAGGGAAGTCCTAGAACAAGCGGGATTGGTGCGCATGAAAAAATGGAAGCGAAGTTGCCAGACAACCAAGCAACTGACAGGAATTGAACGTATTTGAGCGGTGAAATTGCTAGACTCCGGGGGTCAGGCAAGGGATATCTATATAGAAGCTCAATAGAGGTAGCCAAATTTCGGATTTTGCGTCGTAAATTGAATGTAAATAGCCACACTTTCTCCGCCAGGGGGAAAGAGATGCTTCGCCGCAACAAAAGCAGTATAAAAAAAGTGCAGACGTATATTCATATGCATGTATATATGTGTATATATAATATATATATATATATATGCGGAATGGATCGTTTTATGGGAATATTTGAAGATGCACAGCCAAAAAAAAAAAAAGCTATGGCCGAACGATCACATATCGAACATGAACTCCCGTCGTCGCCCGTCGCACACAGAGAAGAGAAGGGGAGCGTGAAAGAAGCCCAGGAGAACTGCCTGGCAGACAATCAATCACGGGGAGATGCCAACAGGAGCAGCGAGTTGGTTGATCCCGGGATGTTGGCCTGCAGCCTTGCTGTGTCAGTCCATCATGGATTGCCAGACGCTGCGTTTGAGACCAGGGATTCAGCGCATCAAGGGGAGAGGAAACGACTTCTCTTGCATGTGTGGATTTTTTCGAATGACAAGATAGAAACGGGAGACGTCTTGGTGGTTTTCCTTTTTGTTTCCCCTCTTCCTTTTCCTCTTTTTCCTCTTCCTCTTTTTTTTTGTGGGATCCACTCGACTCCAGCGAGTCCGTCCTTCAAGATTTCTTGACAACAATGGAGAGTGGCGAGATCACTGGTCCAGGTCGTTTTAACCTCAAACCGTCGGCCACTAACTCGAGCCAGGTCCAAGGTGGGTAAGTTCCCGGTAGTCCCCCAGCTGGAGCAGTTGGGATGATTTGTGGTCAGGGATTCGGATAGGTCGAAAAGGCCACAAATCGGGTCCATTCGCAGCGAAGCCGATGGGGGGCTTGGAACACCCGTTGTAGCACGATCTGGCGTTGTTACTCGAGATGTTTTGAAAGCGTTCCAACGAGGATCCTCAATAGGATTCCAACAGGCCAGTCGAACGAAAGAGATGGTGGATGCGCTGGATTCTGGCGCAGCGCCGGTGTTTCATCTTCAAGAGGGACTCGGGTCGTCGAGTTGCCTTTGCGCCAATTCTGTGTCTTTTTATTGGATTTTTGAATGATGACAGATTTCTGTCTGAGGTTTATTATTTTGTTATTACTGTCGGGGACATAAATCAGGCTGAAACTTGACAGAGGACTTTTCCTCAATGCTGTCGTGCCCAACGTCCTCCAGGCGAACCAACCCAGAGCCATGTACTACAGCAGTTGACATACTGGAGAGCAGACCGAAGAGCATCGGGAATATGTGCAATCGACAACACCGCGGTACTGTATTCCGAACAGGGATTGGTTTGGCGATTGACCTGGTTTCAAACAAGATATCGCGCAGGGAGGGGCTCGAAATGAAGGCGTATGTATTGTTATCTCAACTGGCAACGGTTTTATCATTGATGCAAAGAGATCAATAAATACATTCTGAAAACAAGACACGAAGAATGGCAATCCCGAGGTTGTTCACTCCACACATCCCACAGAGGTCGATATCATGGAAGAGCCGACGAGGCACCCGGTTACACGATTCCACGAATTGTAGGGAACCAGCTGGCAGTCAACAGTGGAAGAAATAAAACAAATAGGAAAACAAGCGACGAGCAAATTGCAAAGCAAACACAGCAAGACAGAGTAAATATGGTGAGATAAGCATCTTTAACCCCATTCTTGTCTCTCATTCTCCCGTTTCCGCATTATTTAAGATAGGTAAGTTTAGCTACATAAATAGTGATAGACCAAAAACATAAGGTGGAAAAAAAAAAGGTAAGAAAAAAGAAGAAGAGCTAGAGGAGAAACCCTATGGCTGGCACGAGAATGATGAAATAGGCGAAGTCGTAATGAAATGTTGCACATAAGAAAAAATACGCCGATTGGAATCTTAAGTTAGACGAGAAAGAAGTGACCAATATTGAAGGAAGGAGAAAATAAGAAGAAAAGGCATAATACACAACCAAACCAGTCCTTGGGGAAAAAATGGGCATTGTTGATGCGAATTAAGACGAAGTGAGGCCAAAAAAAGTGGTAAGTAATTGAAAGAAATGTTTTCAAAACAAATATGGCGGCGTCAAGGATTATGGGTATCAGAAGAGAAACAGAAGCTACTACTATACAAGGAAGGTTTAAAAAACGTGGGAAAGATGGAGAACGTGAACAAACATGCAACAAAGGGGGGATGTGAGTGGTACAACAAAAAGATGTACAGCCACAAACGAAGACGCTCGTAGAACGCCGTCAGGAGAGGGACCTTGTAAGGTGAGAGAAGGCGGTGAGAATGCAAGGAGGAAATCACAGGATCCTCTTCATCCCTGGCGCCAACTCGGCCTCGACATCAAAAGGTAAGAGGAATGAAAAAAAAAAAAGAGAGAGAAAGCAGAAAATCATGAAGATGGAACATCTGCGGCCGAGCCGCGAAGGGCACTTACCATCGCGCTCATTCCGGGTACAGTATTAGATCCGGAGGACGATTGCCGCCTGCCTTCGCCATTAGCAACCCGCACGCTACCTCTGGTCCCCTTCACCAAATGACCGCTTTCGACCCTATCCTGGATCATCTCATCAAGCATTCGCGACATTTCATCAACGCTTCGTCGTTTCTTCTCCTTCTCCTTCTCCTTCTCCTCTCTTCTCTCCAGCTCTTCGGTTTCCTTTTGCTTTTCCTTCTCCGTCACGCCTATCTTCACAGGGGATAGGAGTGCAACGGGACTAATCGTCCCCATAGCGCCAACTCCACTCTTAGTTGAGCTGCTATTATTGCTTTCGACGCTCTGATGACCTGGTTTCTGCTTGATCTCGGGAGGTATCGACTCTGGCGTCGATTGCGCAAAGTCTCGTTGGCGTGCCGCTGAACGCAACGCTGCAACCATTCTATCTTTGTCATCCAGCTGGATACGCAATTCTGAGATTTCCATGTCCTTCTCGCGAAGCAAGGTCATCACCTCCGCGTCATCTGCTGATGCCATTGCGCCTTTGAGATGAGAAAATCCCATGGACATGCGCGAATGACTTGATCGGCGAGCTTGTAGAAGTCGCCGCTCGAGGGTTGAGATGTATCGATTTTTATCGGTGAGGTCTGCTTGAAGCGCGTTGACTTGCATCTGCAGACTTGCCATCCCATCGGCAAACTCGCCCATCGTGTCGTCCTCGTATTCATTGTTGGCAAAATGGGAGGAGTTTGATTGTTGCGTTGAAGCCATTGCGCTGTGGCTTCGCATTGAAAGCATAGAGGCGGATCGATTTAGAGCGGTACCATTTGCGCCCAAAGTTGACTGAGATGCCGAGGATCGAATAGACCTGATGCCAGACTCATTGCCTCCAACAGAGATTCCTGAAATCCTTCCGAATGCAGAGATATTCCCATTTGAATTCACACCAGTTGATTTGGAGCATAAGATCAAACGGTTCAAATGTTCGATTCGCTCCTTGAGTGCAGTCCGCGCGAGTTGCATTTCTAGCATCTGTTCCTCATGCCGATTCTCTGCCTCTTTCTCGAGCATCTTCCGTTCCCATTTCTCCTCCTTCTCGTTTTGAGCTTTCGCTTGGCCTTCAAGTTGGGATCTGAGTGATTGGATTTCCATGCGATAACGCTCCAAAAGAACGCGACTACCGGCATCTCCCGCGCCGCCACCCAGGGCATCCTCTGCCCTTTTGGCGTGGCTGACAATGTTGTTCTTCGCCCTGGCTGCAAATTTCAGCGTATTCAATGTTTCTCCCGTGTGAGAATTGGCAGATGCGGCACTCCCACTGGATCCTATTTGAAGAGTGCAAAGGATGCTGACAAGAGAATTGCCTGACAAAGCAGGTTGCAGTAGCCGGGTTAGTTTACTATCGCGGTATGGCAAATGTTTTCCATCTCGATCAGTGGGGTTGCCATTTTTATCCCTATCTACTGAAAGCCTGGCAATGACCGTGCCGAGAGTAAGTAAGCTCTTATTAATGTGAGCACCTTCGGTTCTCCGTTCTTTGTTTTCCGCGGCACGTTCGGACCCTGCAAGATCAATCAGACTCAGGGTTGAGACACGCACTCCACCCGGAACTATTGCAGTACGCTTCTCCTGCGAAGAGTTCCCTGCAGGAGCTCGTTCTCGACTTTCCACCACAATTTGCACAACGGCATGACTCCGGGAGCTGCGTGCGTTAAATTGGGTACTTCCGGTCCTCCGGGCATGGTCACCCCTCGCAATAACTCGCAATAATTGGGTTGGACTTTGCACGATTTCCTCCTTTAAAGGGGAGGCGTATACACCACGTTTGCTGTCTTCTCTCAGCTTGATTTCCTCCTGTTGGGCAGCTCCAGGGCCTGTCCCAGAAGGAGGTGGTGACAACAAGTCATGGATTTTCTCATTATAAATTTCCAGGTAACTGACACGAAGTAGAAACTCGCGATGTGGAGTTTCCCTGATGTAGGAAAATATGTCAGTAATAGCTAGGGGGATAACACCTGGAGACGTAGCAGTGCCCTGCATCGAAAACGTCTTTCCAGTTCCAGTCATTCCGTAAGCGAAAACGGTGCCATGATAGCCTTCCATGACCCGACGAACAAGACGCTTCGCGCATGAATCGTACACTCTAGCATTGTCATCATGCGCTGTAAATACATTATCTGTAGACAACGTTAGTGCTGCTACTAATAATAGTTCATAATATTTCAACTGTTGCGAGGGAATTTACCATAAAAGTAATCACCCGATTCCTTTCCACGGTGGGACACAAGCGATCTTCGGCCATCGACCATCCATTCTCCATCGGATTGGGAGTTTTCTGCGTTACCCGCATCTGGTCGAACTCTGACGCTCACTATGACATTTCCTTTTGACTCTTTTCCCTTGGAGGAACGTTTTCCGTTACCAGAGGTAGCGTCGAATTCCTCCCGTCCCCTTCGTCCGCCTTCATCGACCTCATCGTAGGTTGTGGCGCTAGTTGAGTATGATCCCTGGGCCGATGAGCTCCTGCTCTGCGGTGGAGAGGGAATACTGAAGTGACCCTCGGAATTTCTAGCATTTAGCGCATTTGGAATAGACTTCCCATCGCCGCTGCTATTCAAGAGGCTGGGTGTTCTGGATGTAGGTGGTCCTTTGAAAGTATTTCCCGAGCTAGTAGAAGGTCTCGTTTTCTTAAGACGTAAACTACTAGAAGGAGTGATTTGTTTCGGCTGGTCTGGGGATCGTGATTTGGTCGAAAGTTGGGAGAGTGAAGCAGTACTCGAGTTGAGAGAGGGACGATTTCCCGTTTTAGGGGGTTGGGGAAAGGCAGCAATGCTGACCGCACGACGCAGGGTTTTATCAGGACTGCCCGGGGCGAGACCAACGGAGGGAGATCCTGGAGCAGTGACGCCAGAAGAAGGATTGGACGATTGGGGCATGGCCAACGCAGAAGGCCGGGGCGAAGTAGAGGGTATGCGGAGTTTCGAGGGTTTTAGGGTGGACGAAGGAGCTTTAGGATTTTCCGAATGCGCCAGGATGGTGTTTTTCTTTGACTTTGAAACGGGCAACGGAGGCAGAGCAGTGGTAGGAGGATTTGTGGAGGGTCGTGACGGCTGTGGAATTGTCGAAGTCATGTTTGGAAGCCTTGTGTAGCCAGACTAGAGTATTCGAGAGGAGAAAACGCAAACCTGCAGTCACCCACTTGGGAGAAAAAGTGACACAAGAGGACACAGGCAATAGGATAGGATGGGAGAGGGAGAAAGAAATATTATTGAATCCGCGCACGATATCCAAAGAGCTCGGAATAACCACTAATGTAACAAATTGTCGTGTCCATGAACGTTAGAAGTGTGTGGTGACTGAATACAATCGTGGATCTTAGGCTAAGGCTGGCCGATGCAAAAATGATGCAGGGCAGTAGAGGCGGATGCGAATGCGGTAGGGAATAAAGGGATTGAAAAATCTATCTCAAGCGCGATCGTACAGGCGGTCACAATAGGTTTAGCTGGAGCATCGAAAGGGGGGCTTGCATATGCACTGTGAAGTGGTCGTTAGCGGTTGGCCTGCAGATGTCAACAAACAGTAAAGAAGATAAGGTGTCCATGCACTGCACATCTCACTGGTCTTTTGAATTTATAAAACGGATACGCCGGTACACAAAGGAGGAGTTATTCAAGACACAAGAGGCACACAGCATCAGAAGTGCGGGTGGGGGAAACTGGATGAAAATAGAGAAAAAGTTACATTTTGGTGCACCGTCAACTGCCCCCAGCGTGTCCAAGTGTGTCTAAGCGTTTTGGAATTGCGTGATCGACTGATTGAAAATGAGTTGCTGTCACTGAAATATCATGTTACCACGCAGACGAACGGCTAGAATGGGACGAAGGGACAGGTCAAGGATTTAAAAAAAAAAACAAAAACAAAAACAAAAGCAAAAGCAAAAAGGGCGGACAGGCAGCTGGGCAGGCGGAGAGATCTCTCAGGTCAGACAACTCCAGGCTCGAGAGAGAGAGAGAGAGAGAGTCGAGGAGAGCGTGTTGTTGTCGTTGTGAGGAGATTGCAGGAGAAGAAGATGTAGTTGATGATGGAGAAAAGACGAGGAGGAGGCTGAGATGAGGCTGGAGACGGAGAGACGGACAACAGAGAGATATCAGGAGAACAAACAACAACGACGAAGACGAAGACGACGACAACGACAACGACAACGACAGACAACACACGACAATGAGAATAAATGGTTCGACTACATGGTTACGGTTTGTATCTGATCCTTTTCATTCATTTACTGTTATATTGCATTACCGCACTACTGTTATTCTTCTTCTTCTGATCTCTTCGTTGTCCGCCATTCATGAACGCGGTAGACACACGAGGTGTTTTTCATTATCCTTATCATCCTCTGACACCAGGCTAACCAGTTATGGTTCAGGCACAGGAACAGGAAACCGAATGTAAAAGGGGTAAAGGTGGGAGAAAGAAGAAGGAAAGAAGAAAAAAGAAAAGAGAGAAAAAAAGCCGGCGACCAAACAACAACAAGAGCTCGCCCGCTGGGCCCCGGCCCCTGCGCCACACGGGCGATTATTCTGACTTCTGACTTCTGACTCCTTGAGCCCGGCCCGGGGCCTGAAGCTAACCAGTCGCTGCTACGCTCATGGCTTTGCTTGGCGGTATTTTAGCTCGGGCCTAGCCTCAGTGCCAGTGTTGACTCGGCCACCAGTGGATTCACCGGTTCAGGGTTTAAGCTCTCCATTGGCTGCCGATGCCTGTCTGCTCACAGCAAATCCCACGTTTCGTGACGTTCCAAAAGGAATCCCTAGTCGGCTAGCTGCTAGACGGGATATGCTTCAAATGTGTATCGAGGACCCCTTTCAGAAAAACGAAAACTCACATAAGGGAGGGCTAAATTGGAGAGATTTACACACGACCAATAAGAGCTATGTTCTGAAATAAACATAGGCTGCTCCGTGCTCCGTACTCTGTGTCTTCTCTTCTATGTGAACTTGTCACTTTGTGATTTTTGTCTGGATTTTCTAGGTGTGCAGTGAGCAGAGCATGCCTTCTGATTGATTTCATTCAAAGTCCCTCCTAAATTCTCAGCCTTTTGAATATTTTTGTTTGATCACCTTGATATCTAGTTAGTAGTTACCTGCTCTCTTGTCAACACTACGAACTATCGGTTTCAACTTCATTCAGCAACCATTCTTTTTTATAACGATATACTACTGAAGCATGCTTGCAATCATCGTCTTTTTTTTTTAATCCTCAAGGCCTGAGAGCTCAACTTTTCCAACTTTTCTCTATCAGCTGCGACATGTGGGTGTGCACGGGCCACGGGTCGATCTTGGCAAAATTGTCAGCAACGAAAGCACAAGCCAAGTTTGATTGTCAAAGGGACAATGGCGATCGTGCTCTTCACAGCAGGCGGAACTCCAGCACAGCGCGGGAATCATGAAAATGATTGCTACGTGTGATATGAGGCTATGCAGGCTCGTTGCTCTCCAATTCCCCCTCCCTTCGCCCTCGGATACTGCACGCAAAAAAAGGTGTTGATTGATTGATGACTCTTTGCTGGGCGTACAGCCAGATTCCATTGATTCCCGAGAGAACTGTCGTCTTCCCTCCAGATATCAGAGGCCGAGTTGGTTGGTGGAGGGAATAAAAAATATCCTTTCTGCTACACCTCGTCACGCTCCACATAATCCGCGATACCGTTCAGTCGTCCCGTCCCTCTCTCGATACGTTCCAATTCCAACTACCCGTATATTCATATCCAGATACCCGATTTCATGTGAGAATGCCCATCAAGGGTTGAGGCCAAAATAATCAGTGCCTTAAAGTGAGGATTAGAAATGATAAGCTGTCGCATTATCTCTCTCTCTCTCTCTCAACCCGATTCACGCGGCTGTCATAAATGGAGATGCAGATGGAAATGGAGATGGTTCAACGTAGCGATAGATAACATAATGCCGAGGATATCTGCAGGTAAAAATTCACGCCGAACTCATTAGGATGTGTGGTTAAGAATCTGGAGAGTGGGAAGATTATCTCCCGATGATTTTCTCCCAACAACCATGACTTGGTTCGTAGTAAATCCATTTCTGAACAGACCTGGTAGGACATAAGAGATGGGACCGTGCATGACCCGCTGACTCTTCCGGAAGGAGACTTTGTCGTTTGACTAAATATTGTGTTGTTGTAACTATCATTATCTATGGAATCAGCGCCATGGCCATCCAAGCGGAAGGTCTCGTGCGCATCATTTGGTTCTTCTGTTTTCCCCAAGGAAAACAGCCTTGTATTGTCAGTCGGAACAGGTGTCATTAAAGGCGGCATGTATATCTAGATAGCCATCGGATATAGGGTCGAATAGTCGACGTTTAGTCGGGTCTTTGTGTTGTCTTGGTGGTTGTCGACCGCAGGTTGCGGTATCCACGGTCGGTGTTCGCCGCACCGATCGGATATGATGGAGACGACGAAAGATCGGTATTCCATCAAAAGCATTACCGCAGCATGGTGACATAGCTGTGAGATATCAATATATGGATACCGGCGCACGAGAAGAGGCCATGCATTGCGAAGAGTGCATGGAATAAATTGATTGCTCTCCGGGACAGGCGGGATAGAATATCAGATTCATCGTCTAGGCGGTTCACTAATTACGTATCGACAGCATGCATCAAACAAACCCCCATCCTCCTTGACAAAGATATCATAGCCATTTGCACTAGAAGATGATTTCCAAGGTTACTCACAGCGGCGATTTGGGCTGGTGGAGATAGTTTATCTCTGAGGATATGACCTCCGCAACGACAACGAAGGAGGAAGTTGGTAAATACAGTCGCGAGAAGGGCTTAGCTATAGCTCGATATTTGCAGGCGGTTGCTGTCCAACGGAAGACGCAGCCGTTGCCGTTGTCATGATTGATGGTTGAGGGTGATGGTGATTGATGGTGTGTGTGTTGTTGGCCGAGCTTCTAAATATTATTTCAGCCTCCGCCAATTTCCTCTTTTCTCTTTTCTCTCGTCAACCAACGTCGGACTCTCTCCCTCACCCACACACAACACCACCAGCACCAGCACCACGATTGCTCCGTACTCCGTTCTCGACCACGACGTGTTGGCTCATTCTATTCCTCCCTGCATCCTGTATCTCCCTCCTGCTCCGATTTTCTCCAGTGCGCGTCCTCCTCACTCCTGTCTCCCCCACCATTTTCGCGTCGCCTTTCCCTGAGCCTACACCTGCCCCCATTAATCCCTACGGTCTGGAGGCGGCGAATGTCCCAGTAAACTCAGTTGCATGCGAGCTGTCTCGAGCTAGTGTCCGAACTGTCAACGATGGTGTTTGCGGGCTGTCTCTGGTCGGTATCGGGCTGTTAGCCATATCTCTCTACCCATTATGTCACGCGCCTCGGCGGGCTTCGCAGACTTCTTCCCAACCGCTCCCTCAGTCCTCCAGAAGAAGCGCTCCTCCAAAGCCGCCCAGGATCGACCAAAAGGCAAGCCCAAACACGATGATGATGCCCAGCCTTCCAATCCGGCACTCGCAGCCTCCGCCGCCGCTCGTCCTGCTGCCCCTGGTGCGGAGGTTACCGGGGCCTCAGGCAACAATGCCCGAGGCGATACCAACAACAACTACAGCAATAATCACAGCGACACCAATAGCAATAGCAATATTACACCTGATGAATCCACTGCCGCGGTTGTTACTCGCGAGGATGTAAATGTCACTCCAGGCGATGCCAACGGTGTCGGCTCGTCTAGCTCCACCAGCACGGGTTCTTCTATCTTCAGCACCTCCATTTTGCCCCAGTCTGGCCCAACGCCTTCTAACGGGATAACACATCCTCATGCCCTCACCCCTCTAACCAATACAAATTCGTCTCCCTCGGGCAAAATTGGCAGTCCGTCGGGCCAAAAATCAAATGCTGGAACTGACGAAATAAGGCCCACAAGTCGCTTTGTTGACGACATCAAAGCCACAGCCACCACCCCCCTTCAGACCCCTCCAACCCCACGAAACCAAGCTCGACCTGCAGGAGATGGACCAAAGGGTTACAGGCTGACCTATGACCCTGATTTGGAGCGCAAGCCCTTATCCAAGGAAAAACGTAGGAAACCTCAATACCAAGTCTTCGGGACCGCAGAGAATGAAGCTCCGCCTGCAGACCCTCGCCTTGCCATTGCCAATTATACCCGTGGCGCCGGATGTAAGCAGAAAACAAAATATCGACCTGCGCCCTATATTCTTCGACCATGGCCGTACGATCCCGCTACCTCTGTTGGCCCCGGTCCGCCGACCCAAATTGTAGTGACTGGCTACGACCCTCTAACACCTCTAGCACCGATCAGCGCCCTCTTTTCTAGCTTTGGAGACATCGCAGAAATCAAAAATAAGACAGATCCCAATACTGGTCGGTTTCTGGGTGTCTGCTCTATACGGTATAAGGATTCGAGAATGTTTCGTGGCGGGGGGCCACTCCTAGCGGCGCAAGCTGCCCGAAGAGCGTACCTGGAGTGCAAGAAGGAACAGCGTATCGGCGTACGTCGAATAATGGTCAGTCTGGATCGTGATGGTGTGGTCAGCGACCGGCTCGTTGAGAGAATTATTGGGTGGTCGCAAAAGCAGCAAGAGCCCCCCCCGCTCATGATGAAAGAGAAGAGTAAACCGGAAGAACAAAACAACCTTCCGCCCCCTACAGCGCCTAAGGGCCCATCACGAAAATCGAACATACCTATACCAGAAGGCCCGCGAGCGACGATGATGAAACCTCCCCTCCCTTCGCTCATCGAAGAAACCCCAATCCTCAGTCAAATTAAACGTGACCCTTACATATTCATCGCCCACTGTTATGTCCCAGTACTTAGTACTACGATCCCTCATCTGGAGAGACGGTTAAAACTCTTCAATTGGAAGTCTGTGCGCTGCGATAAAACTGGATATTATGTAATTTTTGAGAATTCTCGACGGGGCGAAGAGGAGACTGAGCGATGTTACAAGATGTGCCATATGACCGCGTTATTTACCTATGTGATGAACATGGAGAGCCAGCCGTATGGCAATCCAAACTACGTCCGCAGCCCCAGCCCTGAACGTGTCAAGGTAGAACTGCGGGAGAAAGCTGAGAGGGAGCGGCTGAAAAAGGAGGATGAGTTAGATATCGAGGAGGAGAAGAAACTACGTGCTGCGGATCTCGATCCTTCTCGGGAAGTGCTTCGTGTTCTTGTTTCTGAACTAAGAGACAAACTCCTGGAAGATGTCAAGTCCAGGATAGCTGCCCCAGCACTCTACGATTTCCTCGATCCCAGTCGCCATACTGCTAAGCGACAAAAACTGGGAATCTCTGATCCTGAGAGCAACGTCCGCCCCGCCTTCCGAATTGACACTTCCGACGATGCTATCATTGGAACTCCCGATTCACGCACAGAGTCCTTAGCACGGAGTCGCGGGCCGTTTGGCCATTCGAACATCCTCTCCCTCCCTCGTATTCGCAAATCGCAAGGTTTTGAGACAGCTAACGATGCCTTTATGGATGAGCGGCGAAGACGGCCGCAAAGGCGAAAGGAATTTAGACCCCTCTACCATCGGCTGCAGCAGCTCGAAGGCGAGGAGTCAGATGATGAGCGAAGGACTTCGTTTACTCGAGACACTGAGGAGCAAGACAGTCGACCGCTTAGTCGTATGAGCATGACTTCGGTTTCGGAAAATGAAGATGAATTTGGATATGAACCGGTGACTACCAAAGTTGACTTGCAGCAATTAGATCTCAAGGCCATTAAAGATGCCACCGTCGAGGAACTCGAGCATACTATTATCGACCTTTCGCCTACTTCTAAAAAAAGAAAGAGGATTTCGGAAGAACTCGAAGCGCGGAAAAGACAAAAAGAGGATGACGATCTTGATTCTGCGAAGCCTGATGGGCAAGTGGAGCCTAGAGAGGCTGAGTCGGATGTTGACGAAGCTGCAAAAGTTATCGAGCCAGTGACTCTGACCAAGGCCAAGAAGCGCAGGATAAAGAAATCCAAGAAGCAAATCTTTGAGGAGCGGGAGGCACTAAAACTGAAGCAACTGGAAGGCACCGAACATGTTCCTTCGAAAGACGATATTCTGATCGAAGCTCCAACAATAGAGGAAGAGAAATTGATCGAGGTGGGTGTTGGTGAAATTTTGGAGGAAACAAAGCCCGAAGTCGAGTGGGGTGTTTCCAGAGACGTTCCCAGACCTACTGTCGAGGATGATGAAACTATCATCTTGGATCTCGACGGCTGGCAAAACCTCATCAAAGACGACGAGGATATCCGCTTCCTTCGAGAAGCGCTTGAAGAATATCCACCTTCTAACATTGGAAACCTTTCCGCCTGGGCCTGGAAACAAAAGGAAATCAAAGCTATCAATCGTGCCGGTGAAAGGGGACCTGTCCATACTGAAACTAAGATCAACGGCTACTACCTCCCCAACTCAACTGGATGCGCCCGCACTGAAGGGAGAAAACGAATCCTTGAATCCGAGAAATCGAAGTACCTCCCTCATCGTATCAAGGTCCAAAAGGCCCGCGAAGAACGCGAGGCTCTTGCAAAGGCAGACCCCCAAGCCGCCGCTGCAGAAGCCGCACGACTCGCTGCTGCCAGGACAATATCCAAGTCCACCTCCCGTTCCACCCGAGTCAACAACCGTCGTCTCATTGCCGACATCAATGCCCAGAAACAGGCCTTGCCCATGCAGAGCGGCGATGGCGACGTGCTCCGCTTTAACCAACTGAAAAAACGTAAGAAGCCCGTCCGTTTCGCGCGCTCGGCCATTCACAACTGGGGCCTGTATGCTGAGGAGAATATATCTGCCAATGACATGATTATCGAGTATGTCGGTGAGAAGGTCCGGCAGCAGGTGGCTGATATGCGCGAGCGGAGGTACCTCAAGAGCGGCATTGGGAGCAGCTATCTCTTCCGCATTGATGAGAATACGGTCATCGATGCGACGAAGAGGGGTGGCATTGCGCGGTTTATTAACCATAGTTGCACTCCAAATTGTACGGCGAAGATTATTAAGGTGGATGGGAGTAAGAGGATTGTAATTTATGCGTTGAGGGATATTGAACGAGGTTAGTGCGCGAGGCCCAATGCTCCCTTTCTTCTTTTGTCTTTGCCTTTGTCTTTTGTCCGAATGTATTTTGCGTTGGCACGGATTCTAGATTTTTGGAACTAACTGAAGCCGAATTGCAGATGAAGAACTTACGTACGATTATAAATTTGAGCGGGAATGGGATAGCGATGATAGAATCCCTTGTCTCTGTGGCTCGACTGGGTGTAAAGGATTTCTTAATTGAATTGGCTTCCATTCTTCCTGTTCTATCCATCGTTTTACCCATACAGTCACCTTTTTGCCTGTCTCTAAAAATGTGATGCAATACTGTGGAAGACAATGTTTTAGGCGCTTTTTTTTTTGTTTACATTTTTATTTCTCTTATTCATTGAACTCATCACAGCACAATTCTAACAACATTTTCGTTCAATTATTAATTGCGTTTACTTTCTCTTTTACACATTATGTATAATTTATCTCGAGGGGTTTATTTTCTTTATATTTCTTCTGTCTTTGAATATTGAGATATTATTATTGACACCTTTGTCAATAAATCACTCTAATATTCTACTTGGTATATAATCTTTATATATTATAATTATCCTGCAGCGCCCCCCGATTTAAGTATTGCTGGTTCTCCCAGTACCTCTACACAGTAGTTAACCAACAAACCTTGTGAATTTTTTTCACTCGCTCCAGTGTAGGAGTTTCTGTGCTTTATATTTTGGATGGCGACTGATTTTTTCTCTCTTACCCTCTAGAAAGAAGCGTCTTTTACACTTCCTGCAAAATATTTACTCATAAGTTGTTTTAGAACATATAATTGTGATCATACCATTTAAATCTGACTGTTTATCAATGTCAATCACATCTGCCGAGTTGATTTTATGTTTGAATATATTAATGTCTGTACAAGTACCTTATAATACCTCAGCAAACTTCTGATTAGAGTTTCAGTAATGAGACTGTTGCTTTATTCTTCTCTATTCATCAGTAAACAGCTTTAGAGACTATGTTTAATCGGGTACTAAGCTGAGTTAATTTGATCAGTAATGAACTGATGAAAACTTTGTCAATTGAGAGTCTTCATCCGTGATTATAATACAAATCATTGTAGTATATTAAAAGATCACTGATATTGATATTTTCTAATCTGATGCTTTAGGTAAAGAGAATGTACTGAATAAAGAAAATAGACTCTACTTTAAGAATGCTCTCTTCTTCTTCTTCATCGATTTGAGAGTGACTGTTCAAATCTGTGATGCTACTCTAATCAGATAGAACATTGATCTATATCTTAAAGATACTACAAATATCTAATAAGTTATAAAATTAGACAATATCGTTAGGTATAAATGTTCAGATCATCTATGACAAACTAGGAATATATTTTCAGCATGTCTTAAACAAGACTTAAATGAAGTTCAAGTAGCTGAGATATATCATTAAAGATACAAGATCAAAACTATAGTATCACCTTCTAATGATAAGTTAAAACTTTTGAAACCGACCTCCGTACAAAGACATAGCAAGATAAGGAAAAGAGTACTGTTACATGGAGTTATTAAAAGTACATTTGACACTGTATGCTGGACAACGGGCAACGTTTGATACAACGTTCATATTATTTCTCGTATCAATTGAGATGTTTTTCCGGTGCGCTGGTAATCGCATAAATCTCACAACAGACTGCGTCTAACAATTCGTCTGCTAGGGCCACTGGGACTCTCTCCCGGGCATATTTAATCGTAATGTCTATGGTGCTAGGGGCGATGGCATCGACTTCGCTCCGCCTCTCACTGATTTCATGGTTTGTCTGCCTACAGCGGATAGGTTGAGAGAATACAACCACGTCTGCAAAATCTCGTTCCGCGCCATAGGAAGTAATCTCAAATATGGCATCCCCAAGGGGAACGGTGCTGCGAGAATCTATGTTTTGATGCTGGACGTAGGAACTAAATACTTTTTCTGAAGACACTATCTTGCCAAACTCGGCATTTTCGAACGGAATACCAGCGATTTGTTGATCACGAATGTATGTCAAGAGATCTAAGTATGTCCATTGGACTCCATTTTGCATTTGTCGATTGAATGGTACCCTGATGGGTAGGATGTTGAGACATGGCCCAAAGACCTGGCTAATCCCCACAGATGTGTTGCGACTAGAAACAAAACCTCCGAAGATGATATCAGCGCCAGCCACGGACGCGGAGGGTAAATAACTCGAGTTTCGGAGACGGGCAAGAACAAGAGACCATGCTGCTTTGATAATGGTGGCGTCGGAGAAGAGGCGGCTGGTATAATTATGAGGTATTTGAATCTGGCGGGTCGACAAGAAAGCCATTTCCGATGAAAGATGTAGAGGAGGTGCAACATCAGATCCCGCAATGATTTTTGTCATTTTTGAGCCTTCCAGGACCGTATTCCAATGATACAGAGTCCGCTTATCATGGGTTTGGCGGTTAACGATGGCCATATAGTCTGCAAAGCCTAGACGCGGCAGAAGAAGGTTTTCTCCTTTGTATGCTGACGCCAGATCGTCCCAAAGTCGACTCAGGCATATACCGTCATACTGAGCGTGAGACATGCGTAGTATAATTCTTGTCTGCTGGGGAAATTTCGACCCTTTGATGACTACTAGCTTCGCCCATGGCCTTCCTAGAGATGGAGGGTCGCGTAAATCTTGTTTCTCCAAATTATCACTCAGAGATATAATTTCCCCCTCGGCCTCATAGATGTCTACTTGAGGCTGCCAAAATTTGGGGATCACTTGGTAATACGTTCCCTCATGGAGAGTGAAGATGGAGCGAAGGAGTTCATACGTATTTACAAGTTTCGCCCAGCTCTCTTGTAGTCTAGTAGTGTCTATTGTTCCTCGGCAGTCGAGGTGAAAATAGTTTAACGTCCAGCGGAACGGTGATAAAGCGCCAGAAAGGCACATCGCTTGAAATTCGGTAACTGGCAAGATATCGGTGATTTCGTTACTTGGAAGACGAGTCTGTGGAAGTATAGCACCGTGGACAAAGGCATTTAGATCTGGTGCTTGAAGAAGGGAGAAAGGAGGCGTGTTCCCAGCCTTGGGGGCTTTGCAGTGACTGGGATCAATGATCGAAGACATGTCACGCAGTGAGGGGTGCGATATTATATCTCGAGCAGCGAGTGAAATTCCATTCGAGCGGCATCGCGATGCCAGTCTCATTGCACTCACAGAATCACCTCCTAGGGCAAAGAAATTATCCTCAAATCCGATTCGCTTCACTGAAACACCCAGTTCTTCAGCCCACAGATGCCGAAGGGTTTCTTGCGTGGAGTTTTGGACCCTTTTGATAGACTCGTCGCCATGTACATAGAGCAGCAGCTCATCTTGTCCTAGACATGATATTGTTGCAACGAGTACCTGACGATCTAGCTTTCCAGAAACGGTGAATGGAAGCCGGTGAACAGGAAAATAGTAAGACGGAACCATGTACGATGGTAATATCTGTGCGAGCTTCTCTCTTAGAGCACTGTGGGTATCTCGTAGGGCATCGGAACTCGGCATGAGAACATCAGAGGTGTTTTCCGTATCTATTTGACCCTCATACCGTATGAATGCGGCAAGAGTTTCTCGCACGGTATCTGTATCTCCCTCGTGAGTAGGAACAAGAGTCACCGCAACACCAGATGATGCTGGAGAGTCCATTGCAATGTAATGCTCAATTTCAGCAGTTTCGACCAGTTGTCTACGAACTTTTAGCTGGTTGTCGACACGACGAATGAATACAAGTGAGCCAGAGCCATCGCCACTGTACCGGACAAGGTCCCCAGTCTTATAGAAGCGACGTTCGCATCCTCCATTTAAGCGTTGTCCAGCGGCCCAGGCAGGGTTGACAATAAATGACTCTCTAGTCTTTATTTCATCATTAAGGTACCCACGAGCTAGAAGAGGGCCTTCTACGAGAAGTTCACCAGGTACTCCAATTGGGTTCAGCTTGTCGTGGTTATCTTCGTCCACAATCCATGAAAGGGACCTAAGTGGTAATCCGATATCGCGTGCTTGAGTGACATGATGTATTCCACGATTGAATGAAGTGCTGATGGAGGTTTCCGCAGACCCGTATGAATTGATTAAAACGACGTGTTTCCATTTCTCGATAACATCTTCTCTCATTAATTCTCCAGCAAGTACTAATGTGGAGAGGTTTGGAACGTCTTCGGGTTGCAGTAACCGTGCGACAGTCGATGTCAAATTCATCCAGTTAACTCTGAGTGACCGAAGAGCGAACGCAAGGTCGTCCATGCGATGTCTCTCATCAATAACACAGATGCAGGCTCCTCGATGTAAGGCTAGGAAAATGTCTTGTATGCTAATGTCAAACGCATAGGAAGCAAATTGACCAATCCTAGTACTTGGTCCAACTCCGTAAACTTCACCAACCATGTCGAGGTTTGTACAAATTGCCCGGTGCTCTAAAACCACACCTTTTGGAACACCTGTTGTACCGGATGTATAGATGACAAACGCGGAATTGGATGGGGTGACTGTTGAGCATGCATAGTGTGAAATACTTGGTAGGGCCCTGAAAGCGGCTCCGTCAATTGTAATAATCCTTTGGCTGGGGAGTAGCGATTTGGCTGGCTCAAAGCAATCAGTATCAACAAGGATCAGGCTTGCCTTAATGTCTTTGATAATCATGTGGAGACGATTAGGAGGGTGCTGCGGGTCTAATGGCACGCATGCTCCTCCTGCCTTCAGAACAGCTAATATTGCAACGATAGCCCAGGGTGATTTGCGGAACATCAGTGGGACCATTGTCTCGGAGCCAACTCCGCTATCATTGAGTGATTTTGCTAGAGTGGATGACAATCGTTCTAGTTCTACATATGTTAGGTTTTCACCTTCCAAGGACGATACTGCTGGATTCTTCGGGAAATTCAACGTCTGTCGTTGGAATGCATCATGAAGACACGCTTTCACCTCCTGGCAGCTCCGTTGATTCCATATATTGATTTGTTGAGTATCCTCAGGTGTAATCAATTCTATGTCCAAGAGCGGTGTGTTCCCTGGGAGAGTTGCCAATTGTTTAATAAGATGACAGAACTGATTTAATAGGGCCTTCCCTTGGATCTCGGAAAGGGCCGCTGAATCAAAGAAAAGCTCGATCTGAACATTAGAATTTTTCAGGTGACACTGATTGATCAAAGGGAAATTTCCAAATTTGCGATAGGGAGAAACAATCTCTTCGAGTCCCAGGAATTCCTCCATGTCATCCGACGACGGGTGGATGGCCAGAAAGCTGTTAAAGTCTACTGCTGGTCGCATATCCTGGCATATTTGACGGATATTGTGGACACCGGTTTGTGCGTATGGTGCCATTTGCAATGCTTGTTGATGAATAGATTCAAGGAATGACGCCACGGTCGCATTACGGTAATCAATTCGGACCCTGATTGGAACAGTGGTGACAGTAGGCCCGACGATTTTCATTATATCTTCTTCGGGGATATCTCGGCCTGACAATGCAGCTCCGAAGATAATGTCATCGTGATTTGAGTATTTGCTAACAATCAAGGCCCAGGCGGCTCTTAATACCGCCGCCACTGGAACCATTGGCAAAGCGTTATGCAGTTCTAGGTGTTGTTGAACATGTATGGTATAATTCGTATTTACTTTCTGAGGCAACGGTTGAGGGAATGCTCCATTGGGCTGGCCGGAAAGCTGTCCACGCCAATAGGGCTTCGCTGAGTCGGTAGGGCGACTGGCGAGGTATTTCACGAATCTATTGAATGGTACAGTCAAATCCGAACGTCCATGGGAATATATACGAGACACTTGTTTGAACAATAGAGCTATGCTCATGCCGTCATATATCGAATGGTGGAGGGTCCACACAAAATATAATCCTGACTTATCATGGACAAGGACATATCGAGCAAGACGTGCACCGTAAGTAAATGATGTGTTAATATCCATCTTGAGGTAATCCTTCAAAGAGGATCGCAACTCCCATTGTATATCCTCTTTGATGATAACTTGCAGGGAGCAAGGGCTGGATGGAATTATCCTTGTCCTCAGGATGGGATTAGACTTGACGGTCTTCTGCCAAGCAAATTTAAAATGTTCCAGAGAAAGATCCTCTGGAAGTTTGAAGATTTTCTGAAGCACATATACCGGCGCCTGCTGAGGTACTATTAGTGCCTCTTGGAGAGGGGTGCAAGGGTACACATCCTCAATATCATTTGGCTCAATTTGGCATTGTTCAGCTATGTCGCTAATTGCATCTTTCCTTTCCCCAGCGGCAACCAACCAGAGGCTGAAGGGTTCCACGGCGTCCTGTTCATCGTACCCACTTGGCTTTTGTAAGCTTCGCGCAGTTGTAGCTGCCTGGGCCATTTCCGATAAAGTCGGGTATTGGAAGATGTCAGAGACCTTGAGTTGTATCCCATAGCGGCGCGACGCAGCTGCCAACCGCATTGCACTAACAGAGTCTCCGCCAAGGTGAAAGAAGTTGCTAGAGACACCGATAGAGGTGGAATTAAGCTCAAATTCCTCAGCCCACAATTTTTGCAGTTTCAACTCCATCTCTGACGTCAGTTGCTTTTTGTGAATGTCCAATCCAGACTCTCTGTCAGCATGGAGGAGGTTGTGCACCTTTTTGGGCCCTGACTGTTTTTTGAACGGGAGATTAAGACTTGACAATAACGTGTTTTGCTCTCCAGATGCCTCTAGCAATGTGTTGCTGATAAATGAAAATTGATCGAGAATCGATTGAATCTCAGTAGTAGATATCAAATCATCGTAATAGATGGCACGCACTTCGGTGATACCTTCAAGCATTAAACATTCAATAACCAGTGCATAATTTGTAAACCCAATGTCTAAGGCTTGTGTTGGCTCAAAGGAATAAATTGACGGCACTACAGCTTGGGAAGGCGTTGATGATTGAACAACGAATAAGTGTTGTATCCCATCCAAAGCGGCCTGGATTTCTGGTTCTAGCCGGCGGATGTTGTGCAACCCAAAATGCTCAAAGGGGAGCATCTCAGTGGCTTGGGCTTGAACACCACAGAGAAATTCATAAATTGGTGTTGTCAATTCCACTTTTGCTCTCACTGGAACCGTTGTGAAGAGTGGACCAATTATTTCTGAGGCACCGATTATTGGAGCCTCTCTGCCTGAAAGTGTCATAGCAAAGATAACATCGCCTGACTTGGAATATTGTGACAGAATTAATATCCATGTTGCGCGGAGTATTGTGGCCATTGTAACGGATTGCGGTTTGCGAGGAATGTTAATTTGCCTTGAAGCTGTTTTCGTACAGTGATGCTTGGTATCTGCAAGCGTGGAAGATAGAAATCCTACATTTGGCGGTGACTTCAACTGCTTCCGCCAGTAGGCCTCATTTGCTGCAAGGTCAATTTTATTTAGGTATTGCATAAACTGCCCAAAGGGTTTGGTTACTGGTACAGGTATCCCCGAGTAAACGGCGGATACATAATCAGAAATTTTGGCAGCACTCCAGGCATCGTATATTCCGTGGTGAACTGTAATGACGAAAAGTTTATTTATTATGCCGTCACGTCCATGGTCGTCAATTAGCCCTAGCCGTAAAAGTGGAGAACCGTTCAAAATTGGTTCTTTCATGTCATTGGCAAGATAGTGTTTTAGAGAAGGCCCTTTATTCCAAACGGGTTCATGCCTTACGACGACCTGGAAGGTTCCCGATGCAATAATGACAAGTCTTGTTCGCAAGATTGGAAGATCCTCAACAGCTTTATTCCAGGCCGATATAAGTAACTCAACTGAGGTATTTTTACCAAGCTTGTGAATGCTTTGTGAAACGTACGTTCCCTTTTTCCTGGTCGAAATGGCCGTCAGCCCCTCTTGAAGAGGTGTAGTTGGAAGGATATCTTCTATCTCATCTTTCGAGATTTGACACAGGCTTGCAATTTCCTCAATTGCCTCTGGGCTTTCTGGATGCCAGAGATCATATGGTCTGTAATCACAGTCAGCTGCTAGGTTTGACTGCATTACTGCCGACGCGAGGTTGCCCAATCTGGGGAATTGAAAGACATCTGCCACTGAAATGAAGATTCCAATATCGCGAGCTGCAGCTACAAGCCTCATTGCACTAATTGAATCTCCCCCGAGTTCGAAGAAGCTGTCCTCCAGTCCAATGGGTCCGGAAACTTTCAGCTCTTGCGTCCAAATATCTCGAAGTTGAATCTCCATTGCAGATTTCGGTTCTGTTTTAACTTCGCTTAATAGCATGAACTCATTAAGTTGAGTCGAAGAGAGGTTCATAAAATATTGTTGGAGTTTCTTTCGATCAAGTTTGCCGGATGCGTTTCTTGGTAGCCGTGCTAACGGTATAAACATTGATGGAATCATGTAACTCGGTAAGTTGTCTTCTAGAACATGCCGTGCATGTTGAATCTGTCGTTTCAATGTAGGCGAAAATGTACCACAAAACTCAGACTCATCAATATCATCTGATTGTTCGAGGAACGCAACTAGTGTATGTCTGTCGTTCTGATATTGCTTTCTGACGAATTCCGCGACAATTTGGGATACGAATTCCGATGGAATGCTTGACTTCAAATGATGAGCGATTTCCCCAAGATCCACTCTTTGACCATTTATTTTAACTTGACTGTCTTTTCTGCTCACAAATATCAAAGACCCATCATCTAGATATCGCACCAGATCGCCTGTTTTATAGAGGCGCTTAGGCTGCTCAAGACCGAGCTGAAGGACCCAAGACGGGTCGTATATAAATTTAGTAGATGTCAGTTCTGGGTCGTGAAGATATCCGCGAGCTAGGAGAGGTCCCTCGATTAACAGTTCGCCCACACACCCGATAGGCACTAGATTGTGGTGGTTAGCCGGGTTCGCGACCCAGAGTCGGCTGGCAAGGCCTTTGCCAATATTCAGAGCTAAGCTATGCTCTCCGAGATTTTCATTGCATGCAGACCATATCGAAGCTTCTGCAGGGCCATAAACATTGTGTAGAGTGACATGACCCGCCCATACTGCAACAACATCCTGACTAGCAGGCTCACCGCCAAGAACTAGGGTTGAGAGACATGGTACATCGGATGGTTTCAGAAGACTGGCGACGGTTGATGTAAGACATGCCCAATTGGCCTGAAGGATGTTGATCGATGATATAAGGTCTACGATGTTCACACGGGCCTCTTCGGATAGGATACAGACGCAGCCGCCACGCATGAGGGTTGTGAAATTGTCCTGGATGCTCACATCAAACGTGTACGCTGCATACTGCAGCACCCGGCTCCCGCGCCCTATCCCAAGTGATGATCCATGTGCTCTAGCGCTATAGCATATCGAGTCATGTTGCAGTACAATGGCTTTCGGCTGGCCAGTACTTCCTGACGTAAAAACAACAAACGCAGGTTCATTGCTCCGCACACCGGAGTCAATCGTCTGATCTGAATCGTCAAGGCTCATCATAAAGCACTCGCTTATGGTGATGAGTGGAATGCTAAGACTTTCCGCTTGACATCTGTTTTCTTCATCTACCAGCATGAGAGGCGCATCCAGCGTCTGAATATTGCCAGCCAACCTTTGGAGAGGTGATCTCGGCCCGACAGCGACACTTGCCCCTCCAGCTTTGAGAATTGCTAGGGTGACGACAATGGCCCATTTCGATTTATTGAGACAGTGAGGGACCAGATTTCCTCGACGGATGCCTTGTTTGATAATGTGTCGTGCGAGTTGATTCGAAAAGCGATCTAACATTTCGTACGTCATATCGCCATCCCATGAACATATAGCAAGAGAACCAGGATGAGTACGAGCTGCTCTGGTAACAGTTTCATGTACACATTCGTGGACCGGCTCGAGGTCTTGTCCATTCCATTGAATGAGTTGCTGGGCATCTTCCGGGCTAATCGTTATGATGTCGGCTAGTGTTGTCTGGGTAGTGCCCTGGCATAATTGGTGTACAACGTTGGCGAATTGATCTAACATCCTCCGCGTCTGCATGGGTGAGATAACTCCCGGGTTAGATCGAACATCGATGCTGATGTGATTTTGCACCTTTGCGGTTCGACATTCTATGACAAGTGGATATGTATCGAATCCATCATCGGGAGTTGGTAATACGTCCATGTCAGGTATTAATTGTACATCCCTTTCATCTAAAGAGTGAACGATAAGGAGATTCTGAAGGTTAAGGAGATAATGCAACTCCGGAGATATGCGACGAATGTTCTGAAGGCCAAAATGTTCGAATGGAATCATGGTAGTTGCTTGCTCTTGAATCTTTAATAGGAAGCTAGGTACGTTGTCAGTCCAGTCAATGCAAACGCGAACCGGGACTGTAGTTATAGTAGGACCAATTATTTCTGCAATTTTTGGAACTGGGGCATTTCGACCAGAAAGGGTGACTCCGATCACGATATCATTCGAGTCAGCGTATTTTGAAATTAATATAGACCAAGCGGCCCGGAGGATATTTGAGATAGTGACGTTATCTGACTCAGATTTCCGGGATAACTCTATATCTTTGCTGACAGTGAAACTCGAGTGCGGTAGAGAACCATGAAAAGATGTCTGTTGAGGATAGGTAGCCGGTGATCCATGAGCGAGTTCGGAGAGCCAATATGATCTCGCCATAGATTCACTCCTTTCACACAGATGACGGATGAATAAGGAATATGGAGGCAGGTGTGCAATCAGCGAGCCAACTGTTATTTTGCGAGTATATAATTTGGCGAGATACTCGAAAATTCTGACTATGCTCCATGCATCGAAGATCGCGTGATGAACAGTCCATATGAAGTACCTGTCGCCAGCATCATCGATAACCATACCAAGCCGGTGGAGCGGAGCGCCGTGTGAAATACTCATATTTGAATCGCATTCAACGAATTTGTCCAGAGAACTCTCTTCGCGCCATGTAATGTCGTTCTCCTTGACCACGACTTGCGAAAAGCCTGACTCAATCTTAACAACTCGGGTTCTGAGAATAGGTAAAGCATTGATAAGAGTTTGCCATGCATTTTTGAACTCTTCAAGGTCAATTCTCGACCCAAGACGAAAAACCCTCCTCAGGGTATAGGCTGATTGGGTTTGCATGCTCAAGGCCAGGAGGCCCTCTTGAAGGGGAGAACAGGGGTAGATATCTTCGATTTGATTCGGCTGAACCCCGCAAACAAATGCGATCTCATGTAGTTTCTGCGATAAATCATTTTGTTCGATGTTAGATAATGAAAACGGTATCACTGCTTCATCCTCCTTACGGTTCGTCTCCTTGGAAGCTGCAGCCATACTGAGTAGAGTGGGACATCGAAATATGTCAGAGACTGTAAGAGAAATCCCGTTGGAACGAGCCGCGCTGGCGAGGCGGATTGCGGAGACAGAATCACCACCAAGGTTAAAAAAGTTATCGTTTATACCTATTGAATGTTCGGCGAGGTCGAGATAACTAGCCCACATGATACGCAATCTCTTTTGAACCACTGTCATCTGTTGCTGCTCATGCGACGAGCTAATGAGCATGTACCTCATTAGTTGGGTTTCAGATATTCTCAAAACAATATCGCAGAGACATCTATGATCCAGCTTTCCATTTGACGTTAGAGGGAAATGGACAAGAGGTATATACATGGTTGGAACCATATAGATCGGAAGATAGTCTTTTAAAAATGTTCGAGCTTCTATTAGCTTCTGCATGAGTCCATCACTCATTGGTATAAGAATACCATCACTCCTCGTTGGATTTTCGTTATCAGGTATAAAAAATGTGCTAAGGATTTGTCTATTGTTCAATGGTATTAGGACCACCATGATACGTCGTATGTCTGGCATCAAATTCAACAGGTGCCCTTCGATCTCAGTTAGTTGGACGCGCTGACCATGTATTTTGACTTGCTTGTCCTTCCGGCCCACGAAGGAGATAGTCCCATTAAGGTTGTACCGGCCAAGGTCACCAGTTCTATAACATTTGCTCTTTGTCCATGGGAGATCTTGTACGAATGACTTAAGAGTCCTTTCGGGGTCATTAAAGTAACCACTACCTACGCCTGGCCCTTCAATGAGAATTTCGCCAACAGCACCGAGAGGTAATAGGGAACGATGGTCAGACTGATCAACTATCCAAACTCTGCAGCCGATTGGTCTGCCGATATTCGTTGGGTCGGAGGTTTTCAACACGGAGTCGGTTCCAGTGGCGTACACGGAACATTCAGCTGGTCCATAGCAAATAATCAATTTCACTGCGTGTGCCCAACAATTGATGTTCTCAATTGTAGCTGCCTCTCCGCCGAGGACAAGCGTTCGAAGACTTGGAACTTCTTCTGGTTGTAACAAATCTGCAACGCTAGGGGTGAGGAAACACCAATTGACCCGCATATTCCGCATAGCACCTGCGATATCATCCATTCTCTGGTCTTCAGATGGAATGCAAACACAACCTCCACGAATCAATGTTGTAAATACGTCCGTTATACTCACGTCGTGAGTAAAGGCTGCGTACTGGAATACCCTGCTTTGAGAATCAATGTCCCAGCGCTGGCCATGAGCTGCGGCGCTTGAACAAAGCGATTGATGGGAAATCAATATACCTTTTGGCCGGCCAGTGCTTCCTGATGTAAACATCAGGAAAGCTGTATCTTCCGGATCGACCTTGGGGAGCTGTCGCGAAGGGGTGGGAAGAGTTTGTAAAAATCCCGAACTCAAGCTTATGATAGACAGCGCAGAATTCAAGAAACGACCTCCTTGTGAGGGGCTCGTTAATATTATGGGAGCCTCGATCTCCCTTAATATGGTTTCGAGGCGTTGGATAGGATGATTGATGGGTAGACAGACGAATACAGCACCTGTCTTCAAAACGGCAAGCATTGAGACAACAGCCCACAAAGACTTTTCGGAACATATAGGGACTATTCGGACCTGCGACCCCACATTGAGAGATATCAAATGCTCTGCAAGGCTTGAAGAAAGTTTATCAAGTTGCGTGTATGTCAAATTACCGTCCCAAGATGTTACTGCGTCTGAATTGGGTCGGCGCTTAGTTTGTTGTAAAACAGAGTCGTGAACAGTTGCAGACACGGTTTCAGGAAGTGTCCCGTTTGCTTCATCGAATATACGCCGATCTCGGTCATGGAGGAGTGAGATGTCGGATATGGTGTTAAGTCTATCACTCACAATGGACTCAATTACCTGCAAAAAAGCGTTCCCAACACTTGCCGCTACTTCAGATGACATTATGGATAAAGAATAGCGCATGGATACGACTATCTTGTTCTGTCCGCATTCAATGTTGAGGAGAATGTCGTACTATCAATGTATTAGCGAAAAATTCAGAGAAATTAGACCAAATTTCTTCATACCTCTGTGGGATCGTCCCCTCTCATACCGTCAAATCTAAGCATTCTCGGATTCAGGTCAGATTCTGAAAAGCCGTGTCGGTAGGACATGACAGTATTAAAAAGATCACTCGGAAGGTCCGCTCCCGCTATCATGTCAGCTAATGCACAATGCTGGTGCCCAAGGCCATTTAGGAAGTCGTCCTGCACTTTCGACACAGCATCAACGATGACTGTTGAGCTTGCTAGCGATTGATGGCAGACCATCATATTGACAAAGGTCCCCACGGCATCTTCGATGCCATCAATAGGTGCGTCTCTTCCTCCAGAAAGGTAGCCGAAACATACGTGATCCAAGTTGGTGTACTTGTGTAATATCAGCGCCCAAGCAGTCTGGAACACGCTCGCCTGGGTTAATTGATATGTGGAACAGAATTGGAGAAGAGACACGAGATCAGGAATTTCAAAAGAGACAATCCCTGTTGACGTGGACATTTTATCTCCTTCAAGCTGAGAAAAGTGTGTTATCTCGGCTCCATCAAGGTAGCCTTTCCAATACTCAATGTTCAGGATCCGATTTTGCTGGGCGATATGTTCAACATAGGAGCGGTACGAAGGACCAGGGACTAATGACAAAGATCCATCATACGCCAGTGCTAAATCTCGAAGCAGGACGAAAATCGATGTCGCGTCGACCAACGCATGGCTGATTTCTAACTGATATATAATTCGCGAGCTGGAAAATTTAGTCAATGAGAGTCGATGAGCAGGTCGAAATTTGCCGAAGTTAGTACATCCTCGTTGGGATTCTAGCTGCTGAAGGGCCGAATCCTCGTCTTCGCATTCAGTGAATAGAATATCGGGAGTGACTTGTCCCATCACAACCTGTTCGAAGTTCCCTCGATGAACAATAGATTCAAAGAAGACAGTTCTCAGCGTATCGTGTCTAGCGCACACATGTTCCCACGCACGAATGAAGCGCTCCCCGTCCACGACAGGGGCTCCAGTTTTTGGTGGCAGCAATTCGCAGGAATGTCTTATAATGTACTTTGACGGATCTCGAACTTGACTCACTAAAATACCCTGCTGCATTGGGGAACAGGGGTATACATCCTGGATATTGTCCAAGTTGGGCGTGATTAACCTCAGCTGGGCTCTCACCAACTCATCTAGCTGACGATATGACAACGACGGAATATGAACGTCACTCAACGTTAATTGTGGTTGTGTATCCCGGAGGACAGTAGAAAGCTGAATTAGTGACTGCTCAAAACCTCGGATCCATTGATAGACTTTGGTTTTGTGACGGATCTCTTTATTGAAAGAGAATACTACGTGTAGTCCATCCTCTTTCGCTTCAATGGTTATTTCGAAGATCGCCAGACGATTGACACCCCGACCGAATCTCGCTAGGGAGTCCCCTTCTAAATCTTCCATGCGAAATGACGATCCAGGCTGTCTTATGTGACTGGTGCTTCCGATAAAGTTCACAACGATCTCCATCTTCTCATGCTTTCGGAATTCTGCCCTAGCCGAATCATTGAAGAATCGTGAGGCGAAATATGGCTGGCCATTCCCGGGGATTCGCCTACGTACATCTTTTATTTTCCGTATGACATCTATCAAACTATCGCTGTCTTCAGCGTAAGCGTAAATCGGAGTCAATGTCGTGAACCAGCCAACGGTGCCTGATAGGTCCACTTCAGGGTTCGGTGATTCGCGACCATGCCCTTCGGTGAATATTGTCGGGTCGGAGCGGTCTGGAAATATATGGTGAAATGAATACAAGAGAGCAGAGATAAATACCTCTATCGATTCTGTTCGCAGAGGTTTGTTGCACTTGTCAAGCAGTAGACGACTAGCTTCTCCATTAACGGTAAACTCTTCCACGACCTCATCACTGTAGATGTTGTCTTCAGGCAGATCCCAGTATGAGACTAGTGATGCACTAGTTTCAATTGGTAATACTGATTCGGGCGTAGAAAGCTGTCGCGAAGATTCCATTTGAATATTACACCATGCACGAAAGGATGTTGGAGGGAGAGCTGGAATCTGCCCTCCTGTCAACAATTCTTCGAGATCGGAAATGATGATCCTCCAAGACATGAGGTCAACAACCAAGTGATGCGCACAAAGGAAAAGCCTTTGCTCCTGACCAGAAGACTCTATCAATACAACGGCAAAGACAGGTCCTTTTTCGATGTCAATGTGGCTTTGAGTCTCAGCAATGACACTTTGAACGTCATCTCTTGTTGCAACAATACGCTTGCGAAAAGTGTACGGTCTTGTGCTCTCTTTGACGACGAACTGACACCATCCTCGACCTTCTATATGGCGAAAGCGGGCTCGCAACATTGAGTGCCTGTTTACAACACCATCCAGAGCTTCTTCAAGGGCATTCTCGTGTACTCGATGGCTAAGCTGCATGACGAAACTTTGGTTATAGTGGCGCATCTCCCGAGGCAAAACTTCCGGGGCGGCAATGACATCGAAATACATTTGCTGAATAGGTGAGAGCGGAAATACTTCCCCAGATTCTTCATAATCTACTACATGGGCTGAAGATAAATTCTTTGCTTTCGAATAAACCTGGCCGATGGTGTGGCTTTTAAGAATATCACGGACAGTTATCATGATACCTTTTCGCCGGCAATGTGATACAACCTGCATTGCCGAAATTGAGTCTCCCCCAAGGCTCACAAATGACTTATGTTGAAGAGCCAGTGATTCTGGGATCCCGAGAACATAACAGATTGCGTCGCGAATAATTTCTCCTGGGCGGGACAGTGGAGTTTCGTGGTCGTTCGTCATCAGGGCATGCTTCCCAGATGAAAAGCTAGGGTCTGGCACCTCGCCATCCAAAATTGAAAGGTGATGTTTCACATCCATACCCTCAGCCCAAGATAGGAGTTTTCCTTTGTCCAGCTTCCTGGAACCTGTCAAAGGCAAAAAATGGACGGCAATCCAAACCGTGGGTATCTTGTATTCAACAATCTCCTCCAAGAGTTTCTGTTTTATAGAGGATATCCGATAGTTGGCCAGTCGATTCGCATCACCAGCTACCGTCCTGAGTTCGTGCTCATCATCCATATCATGGGCAAACTCGTGAAGTAGAACGAAGGACACTAGACGATCCTTGCAAGGTCCTCTTAATGGCATGACGACGCCGGCCAGTTTTACGATGTCTTGAGAGCAAATGTGATGTTCAATTTCCTCGAGCTCAACCCTCTGACCTCTGATCTTAACTTGCATATCTTTTCGACCCACATAGACAAAAGTTCCGTCCCAGTCCTGGCGTACCAGATCTCCCGTCTTGTACATTCTTCGGTGAACAGCGCTATCTGTCCATGTTGGATCCCAGACGAAAGATTGGGAAGTCCTTGCTTCGTCATGGAGATACCCGCGCGCTAAGATAGGGCCTTCGATTAATACTTCGCCAACTGCTCCAATCGGTTGCAACACGTTATGGTTATTGGGGTGGACTATCCAAAAGCGACAGCACGGGAGAGCCGGTCCGATGTTTGAATGCTGTGCCTCTGTCGTTAGTGGTGCACTACACGTTGCATTTACTGAGCATTCAGCCGGCCCGTAAGAGTTAAAGATTGTAATGCCCGCATCCGCCCAGATATTAATGATATCTGGAGTAACTGCCTCGCCAGCGAGAATCAAGGTTTTAACACTAGGTGCGTCAGAAGGCGAAAGAATCCTGGCAACAGTTGGAGTAAGATCTATCCAATTGACTCGACGACGACCGATGGCCCCGCCCAAATCGTTGAGGCGCTCGAAATCAGAAAAAATGCACACACACCCTCCACGCTGGAGAGTGGTGAATATATCTTGTATGCTCACGTCAAAAGTGTAAGCAGCAAATTGGCCAACTCTGGACGTGGCATTGATTCCAAAGGCCGTCGCATGAGCTTTAGAGCTCGTACAAATAGCTGCATGTTCAAGAACTATACCTTTTGGAATGCCCGTGCTTCCTGACGTGTAGATTACGAAAGCAGCATTATTTGGCTTCACAGATGTAGAATTCGTATATAATGTCTCTTTCAATGTCGAGCTGGCTAGAAGCTCATCGATAGATAGTACCTGCACACTGAATGACTCGAAAAGATCAAGGCACTCCGCCCCGACCAAGACGATTGAAGCTCGCACACTTTCTAAAACAGTTTGCAATTGTGCCGCTGGATATTCTGGGCTTACAGGAACACAAGCCCCGCCTGCTTTCAGGACTGCTAGCATCGTCACAACAGCCCGCTTTGACTTATTGCAGCATATCGGAACCATAACTTCGGCCTGGACACCTAACTCCATCAGCTTTCGGGCCATACTTGATGCTTGGTCGTCCAATTCCCGGTATGTAAGGTCGCCGTCGAAAGAGCTGACTGCGGGTGAGTTGGGGTTGGCGAGCACTTGTTCATACACGATATCATGAATGCACGCGTTGACAATCTCGGGAGCGTACGAATTCCATTGCCGAATTCTCTCGTACGCTTCAGGAGCTATGAGTGAAGTGGATCCAACGAGCATGTCAGGCTGTCCGATTATGTTGGCAATAGCGTGACGGAAAGCGGAACCCAAGCTTTCGATGTACGGTGGAGATACCTTATCATTCCAATAATCCATGTGAATCTCCACACGATCATCTCCAGTCTCTATTCTGATACACACGTCGTACTTGATGACGAGTTAGCAGGCTTTCCCGTGTCACAAGTTCTATCTCAAGCAAGATGAAGTACCTCTGTGGGGTTTGACACGCTGCATCGCTCTACTTTTAGCCCCATGTCCTCCGTTCCACTTAGATCGTCTCTTCCCTGAAAGGACATCAGGGTGTTACTTAGAGGCTGACCTAAACTACGACTGAGTTTCCGCAGGGAAGCCATGAGTTCATGTTGGTTCTGAATGCAAAGGAATGAGTTTTTCTGAAGGGCTTGCAAAATTTGCAATAAACTATTTGTCGGCGTCAAATCTACGTAACATAGGAGGTTAGTAATGAAGATCCCGACAGCCGTATCGATTCCCGGGAGATGGATATCTCTCCCAGAAGAGATGTAAGAGAAACAGATCCGGCTGTTGCCGGAAAACGTTCGAAGGACTAAGGCCCAGGCAGCCTGACAAATAGTAGATAGAGTAACCCGGTGTACTGCACAGAACGCAAGTACGGCGTCATGGGGAATATCGAGGGGTAAACTGAGCGTGTTGAGAGACGCAGGAGATTGGGTTTGAAGGTCGGGCGGGAGGAGACATGGCACAACATCTCGGAGATATTCAGAGCAAAAAGTGGAATTGGCGGTCTCTGGGAGTTCGTTGAGGAGTGATACATAGTCCCCAAAACGCGGCCCGCGAGGTAGAGGCGCATTTTGAGAATACGCCAGGCAAAGGTTTCGAACTAATATGAAAAGCGAGCCTCCGTCAACGAGTGCATGGTTGATGTCCAGCCGACAGTAGACCGCACCCGCTGGGTCTTGCAGAAGTGTCAAACTATGCAACAGCTGTCCAGTGGTGCGATAGCCCACTTGGCGAGAGTTGACAATCGCTTGCAGGTTTCCCTCGGTGAACGGCACATGGGTGACCTCTGCCTTTGCATGCTTCAGCACTATCTGGTCAAAGTGCCCGCTGGAAGAGCTGTTGTTGACGATCACAGTTCTCAGGACGTCGTGTTGGGCCACCACGCGCTGCCAAGCCTGCTCGAGCCGGGAAGCTTCCACGGCATCGCTGGCGCCAGATATCTTCACGACATACGAACATTGGTATGTCTGCGGTGAAACGTTCTGGCTCAGCAGGAGTCCTTCTTGCATCGGCGTGCAACAGTAGCTGTCTGCTATGTCACCAACTGACCACGAGGCCGTCTCAGCAAATGATTTTCTGGCGGAATCCTGGTGGGCATCATCATCATCATCATTATCATTCTTTTCCTCCGTTGGGCGCGCTGGCAACCCCAACGCTGGAGTCAGTTGGCTCTGAGCATCATTCAAAACATCTTCTCCAAAGCCGTGACGAGGACAGAGATCTAAAAGGGTTGCAGACTCAAGCAACTCTTGCATGGTGATCGTCAAGCCCACTTGCATACATCTGCCCAGCATCTGTATTGCAGTGAGGGAGTCACCCCCATGTGCTAAAAATGACTTGTTCATCTCAATGCCGCTCAAGGGCATTTTCAAAACTTCGGCGCATATCTTCCGAAGCTGCTCTTGGGCCTCGCTCGGCGGTTGATGTATCGGGGTGATCTCAAGCGTCACCATCCTCACTGGTGTCTCTTTGAAGGCGGGAAGGGGGGAAAATAGCAAAGAGCAAACAGAGATTTTTTGTAAAAACAAAATAAAGGTTATGTTTCCATTGATTCTTGAGTTAAGTATCACTACTGACTATATTTCGGTATAACTCGAGAGTTAACGACTTTAACTAACTTAATGGATTCTTACTTATGAAATGGTATCGTTGTTGAGTTAACTAGCAGTTTTATTCATTCTTTTTGCTTACTGAAATTTCAGATCAACATCAAATATGATGGTTTTAACGCGAACACTACTTTAGCTGTCACTATTCATATCGTCCAATGAATGCTGAAGCTCTGAAAACATACTTTGGGGGCGACGTGTGTTCATCCCGGGTGATGCATTGCGATTACTAGCCCTGTTTTCTTCATCACACTACTCTGTACCGCTGTGGGGAATCTCGACTTCTCCACCACTGGAGGAGAACTACCCTTGTGGACCAGGGTGGCCTGGTAACCCCGGGAGGTGAGTGAGACTTGAAGACTGCAGTGGGTGATCCGTCCATTGATCTACCGAAATGTAAAGAGCCTACCTCCGGGTGTAATTGTCCATCCCTCCTATACTCACACAAACATTAGGGGAATTAAGATTGCCTCAATCACAATGGCATTTGCCCTTTTAAATTGGCACAGTTTATATTTCCTGGAAAAGCTGTCCGTGAATGTACTAGTACTGATTCTCACATTCGCAGCATTCATTCTCGCCGTGTTCGTCACATATCTGTTCACTCTATGCCGTTTCCATTTCCAGCTGAGGAAGAATCAACGTGGCCAGCGGCAAATTCCAGCATCATTACCTTATTTGCTGCCTTGGATAGGAAATGGGTTCCAGTTTGCTTGCTATCCGCATGCGCTGTTCGAGTTTGCGAGGTTCGTCTGCGGTGTACTTGCATGTTTACGAAGATGGTATTTAGGGATCACCGGTTTTTCCAATTTATGTTGACTTGTTCTTTTCCTCGCAGTTCAACCAGTGTCGGCAATTCAATTGTCAGGGCCCGATTAGGGCCAAACCATATGTACATTATCACTGGCGCTGAATATGTCAAAGCAGCATTTGGTAGCTCCAAGAATCTGACTTTCGATTCGAGAACTATCCAAATCATGGAGCAGGTCTATGGCCTTCCAGCTGGCGATGCGGCCCCGTACAAGCGCTCTCCAGGAAAAGCAAAAGAGCTAGTGTCAAAGCTCGATCAATTGTATATCGCCAACCTGGCAAACCGCGAGTGCACTGCTGCCATGATCCGTCAGTTTGTCAAGAGTCTCAATGCCCAAGTTGGATGTCTACGGAACGACAAAGGAACTGAGGTTATGATTGGGGCATGCTTGCGTCGCCTGATGGCAACAGCTTCAATTTCGGCTTTATTTGGAGATGCTATCATTGAGAATAATGCCACCTTTGTCCAAGATTATTGGATATTTAGCAAAGATTTCAAGCGACTTCTTTACGGCATGCCCAAACTCTTCTGCCGCAAAGGCGTTCATGCGAGAGACCGCATGCTTAAAGCGATCAAGGCTTTCATCCTGGACGCACTACAGGATGACGTTGGAGAAATGGAGCCGAAATCACCGACAGTAGAATCTTCTCCGCCTTATGTTTCGCCGCTCGTACGAGAGACCAATAAATTCTTCACTGAAGCCGGATTCAGTGTAGAGGGGAGAGCCTCTGAGGCGCTTAGCCTTGTCTTTGCGTGAGCATCAACCGGAGAGACTTCCCACTTTCCAAGTTTCAAAAGTTTCACCTACTCATTAATGCCTCTAGGATTAATGACAATGCTATCCCAACCACGATTTGGATGCTCCTAGAGATCCTTAAGTCACCAGGTTTGCACAAGCAGATCTATGAGGAGGTACAGACTTCCGTAGTCCCTGACCAAAATGGCAACGGCAGAAACTGTTTAGATCTCAGCAAGCTTCTCACCCTCCCCTTACTGAACTCCCTCTACTCCGAATGCCTCCGCTATCACTTATCCGCGCAACTAGCCCGCCATCTCAAAAACGACATCGAGATCGACGGGTATCTGCTGAAGAAAGGAAATTTAGTCGTGGCACCAACGCTGACGGCGCACCGAGAACCTGAAGTTTGGTTCCGGCCGGATCACCTACCAAGCGAGGTCTGGCCAGAGCGGTTCCTTCAAGTGCGCAATATCAAGCCTAGCAATTACTTTCCGTATGGAATGGGAGCAATAAGCTGCCCGGGCCGGGTCTATGCCAAAACTGTCATATTGACAACGGTGACTACGATGCTTTTGACATTTGACTTTGAAGTGCTGGGTTTTGTGGACGATAGGGGAAAGGCGTGCTATGGAGCGCCAAAGCCTGTCGCTCAGGGGATGGGAGTCAGTTTGCCAGACCGCGAGCCATTGGTGAAACTGAAACGGCGATTTTCGCAGGGGATCATGTAGCCTATTTTTCATTCCGTCCGTGAATACGTATTCCTTTTTAGCTCAAGATATATACTTTTGGCCAGGGATAGATAATTACACTCCTCAAAGGGGCGCTGTTATTTATAGGAATCCTTGATATGTAGTAGTGTTTTACGCGGTAATGAAGATGTTCCATGATCAAGAAGAAATCCTTTCTCAATTATACTAGTAATTATAGTTATTAGAGACCAGGATACTGTCATAATCAGCACTGATGGAATGACAATGTTAATCATCCCAATTGAAACGATTATCCAGCATAAAACAGATGACTTTCTCTTAGTTCTACTCAACATCTACACCGTGTATAGTACTTATTATAAATAGCATTCATCAGCGAAGAAGAAGAAGAAGAAGATGATGATGATGATGATATTTCAAATCTATACGGTGTTGCGATGAGCTTTTCTTCTTGGTTGTAAGGCATTCAGTGAAATAACTACTCGTTAGTTACTTTAAAGTGTATCAACTATTCCTAACTCTAAAAAAATAACGCCTATTTTAAGGGTGGAAATCAGCATACGCCACGAACAAGGATGGAACTAGGATGGAACAAGGGAATGAACTCGGCCTACGATAAAGTTCGGACCCCTTTAATCAACTTACTTACTATGTATGTTCCAGGAAGCCGATCCTGGTGGCTATACCTCCACACCAAAAAGGGTCATCAATCCTTGAGCGGGTCGAACCATGGCATGGGTGTTTCCATTAGCAACACGCTTAAAAGATGTAAGCTTCCTACTAACTAAAATACCGGGCCTGGGGGGCCTTGTCACCTTTTTTTTCAAGTTTCAATTTACGCGGGAGTGATCAATGGGCCAGATTATGCATAGTTAACTATATCCCACTTCTACCGTTCTAATATGAAAAAATTCCTGGTGTGTGGAGATATACGGAGTACTGATCCTCCAAAGAGAGATGCAACATCTTAGTGATAGCTATATTGACTAACTAATAATCCAGCCAAATCTGAATCCACCCACATCACATATGTATATCCATGGCTTTTTGCAATACATAGTTCTTTCATTACTCCACACTTAAATCCGATTGGTACTACTTGGCAAGTCGGCGGGAAACACCTCGGTCCATACGTCGGGGATACGCATTGGGGAAAAAAAATCCGCGGGCGAAAATCTGAATCCGAAGCATCAAGCCGACGACTTAGCGCGAGATCGAACGAACCGAGGTTAGTGGACGGAGGACCGGGTATGTATGTCATCTGCCGTCGGGAAGTCCTGAAACAGCTAAAATTCACGTTAAAATTTCGCTTTGACGTTGAATACGAAACAGTAATCGCTGTTCTTGGAGGGAAAGAAATATAGAACTAAAGAAGAAAAAAATGAAAGAGTTGTTATAGTGCACTGTGGCTACTTTGATAGATATAGAGAAGAGTTGATATAGAGGGAGAATCTATAGGCTTAATAGATAGTGACTACTGAATGGAACTACTATTCCTAATCAGAGCTATGTACGATCTCTCAACGACTTTCGCAACGGTTTCCCATTGCCCCCCTTTGGGATCTCATCAAGAAATTCAATTCCTCCTCTCAACCACTGATGCTGCGCCGCATGCTGACGGATATGCGCGTGGATACTATCTTTGAGTGCATCGTCGTCCTCTGTGAGGCCCGCCGTTCGCACGATGAATGCCTTGGGTGACTCCCCGAACGTGTCATCAGGGACTGCCACCACCGCTGAGTCTGCAACAGCCGGGTGACGGAGGAGCAAAGCCTCGAGCTCGGATGGAGCAACTTGAATTCCTTTGACTTTGATAACATCCTTGAGGCGATCGATGACAAAAAGATGTTCTGTGCCGTCAGGTGCCAGTCTCATTTCCACCAGGTCGCCCGTTTTCAGCCAGTGATCCTGAGTGAACGCAGACGCGTCTGCCGCCTCGTTGTTGAGGTAGCCTAAGACTACGCTTGGAGAGGAAACTATAAGCTCGCCAGGCTGATTGTATTCTGTGACCTCTTTTCCGTCCTCGGAGAGGAGCCGTGCCTGGATTTCTGGAATGAGAGTTCCCGCCGAACCCAGCAAATTGTGGCTGGGATTTATGTAGGCTATGACAGTAAAACTCTCCGTCATACCTAAGTCGGAATCCATGTCAGAAAACTACACTGCATACATTTTTTATTGAATCGAAGGGTGTAATGTTAGCGGCCGAGGGGTAATAAATGCTTACCATACGCTGTTTGAAGAATAATATCCGGATATTGATTCTTGAACGCAGTAGCAAGCTTTTCATCGAGAGAAAGTGCGCCAACCACAATAGCTTTGACGCTCGAGAGATCGAATGCCTTAAACATTTCTGGATATGTAATCAAAGGGGAGAGAATAGGCGGGATCTAGGCGTAATCAAAAATTAGCTCGATTTGCTGAAGAACCTGCTTTCATATATTTCGTATAACGGACCAAGATAATCCTGTTCAGCTTGACCTCCTGCACTAGTTTCAACATTTGCATCATGTCGAATTTGGGAAGGAGATAGATGGAATCGCCACGAAAGAACCACGTATGGCAAAGGATGAGCCCGGAACAATGGCTCTGCGGTAAAATACAAAGACATCTGTCCAGCGCGAGCTCCTTTTTGTATGGAAGTTCAAAGGCATACAGCTGTACAATGTTTGCAATCACATTGCGATGGGAGACTTTGACTATTTTCTATAGAAGTGAGAATCAAATCAGTCATCCTCCTAGAGACACATACAGAGAAAGGGAAGCATAGATACCTGATTTCCAGAGGTACCGCTGGAGGAAATCAAATAAGCCGTCTGGGCGGCTCCCATCCCTTTCTTCAGCTGATACGGCTCGATCGCGTCCAGACATTGCCCTCTCTCCACTAGATCATCGAAGCTCAGATGTTCTGGTGTCCCTGGCGAGGTCAAGGCGGTCTGGAGGAGGAAAATATTTTGGGGCGGGATTTGAAGGCGTGTCGCCGATGCCTTACAAATTGGAAGTAGGGGCTCGCATGTGAAGACGATCTTGCATCCAGCAGCCTGAAGCTGGCGTGTCACCTCATCTTCGGTGTTCGTTGGATGGATAAGCATGCAGATGCCCCCCAGGCGATGTATCGCCCAGGCAAGAGTCATAGAATCAATCTGAATTGCACGCCCATCACCAATCAATCGCCTGCCGGTTCCACAGGCACCAGGAAGCAAAAGCTTTCAGAAGTTCGGAGGAGCTCACCGTATTCAAGCTATGCAGTCCCACAATTTTCTCCCATTCGGACCCTTTTGCGGACTCCCATTGAAGCTGCTGACTCAAAGACCTTGCAAGCCAGTCCACCCGCTGGCGCACTTCCCGCGCGGTGTAGGTCTTTCCTGACAACCCGCAAGTGAAAGGGTTACTGGATTCATCGATGGATCGTGGCCGATAACCATCGTCGAAGACGAATTGTTCGACAGTCAAAGAATCCGGGATCTCGAAGGGAAGTTGAGGCACCCAGGAGGGTGTTTTGAAAGGCATATCGTGCTATGCGGGAACTGGTCCCTCTCGGCGTGTAAGTTAGTGGCTCCCAATAAGTATTCGAAATTCCTCCCCATGGGACTCTGAAATCCCGCAAAAGCGGGCAGCCGAGGAAGGTCAAACAGTTAAGTATAGCCCTTAGAATAGGATATAGCACTGTGAAGGAGGTTGTGGCGCACATCAGGTTGCACTTAGATACGAGCGCCACGCTCATCATCAGAACCTCCACCGTGTGAATACATAGTATGTATTAGTTGAGGTGTAAAGTAAAAATACCACCGGAAACCGGTATTCTTGAGATGGGCCTGCTCCGAAGAAGGGTTGCATTTTTGGCTGATTACTCGAATCTAACCAGGGGCCAAGTGGAGGTGATGGCTGGAGGGCCAGAAGCTGGTTGATCGAAGCCGTAGACAGTTCTGTGAGCCCAGGTTCCTGAACGAAACCAAATCCCTCATCGATAGTAAGAACTACTGCATGGAGACTTTTATTTCCAAACTGACGCGGCGATTAGCGAAGAACAAGGATGAATGTAATACTTGCTTATATGTGGGACAATTTGTTGTTGCTCCATCGAATGCTCCGTTAAATAGGGAACAGTTTTGTACTGCGTATGACTGGGGAGACGATTGTTCTGTCAATGGAGATCTGATATTGATATCAGATATGACCAACTACCACTAGAGCAAGATATTATTCGATCTTTGCACAGCACATAATAGATGTTAGAGAGGAGCGAACCTGAAGGGTATAGTTCAATACTTGTTATGATCTTGACCAGAAGCTAAAACCTTAGTGGGCCACTTCCCGAAAATACCTTGCGCAGTATATTTCCACTTTGGGGCAAATTAAACTCAAGGTTTAACCTAATATTTAGTGTATTGAGCTAAAGTCGACGTTAACTTTCCGCGGGCTTGCGAAACTCTTGTCGAAACAGGGGCTGTTCTGGGTATAGAGCTCCTCCACACGCGATACAGTGCTGACAGGAATATACCCGAACAGTAGTGTAGTCAACACCTTTGGGATAATTTGAGAACTGCGGCTCGACATGGGATTACCGCTATCCTGTACAGATCTGTACTCTATGTTCCAACCCATTACTGGATTGGAGCTTCATGATGCTGGGCGTTTCGTCTATTTTTATGGGCGGGATGGGGCCTTCGATGTTGTGCCATTGGATTTCCAAAAATTTCGGCCCTGGATTCATATCCATGCCCTTTCTGGGAAGCTTTGCCCCGTTGCTCAATATATTCTGGTTATGTCTGGCTTGTGTGTTTTGTTCACAACCTGCAACTGAGATATTCGAAAGCTTGAAAAAAGACAAAATTTGGCATAAAAGGAACAATAAACAAATATTATTGATCAATTCTATCGCCCGATCCACACACCCTCCCTCGTTGGAAAGAGAAAGCAGTGTTGCCTATCTATCGCGCTGGCAGGTAAGGAATCTTGGTCTTAACGTAATGGATTAGCAACGGGGAAGCTCACTGTGTTTAGCTATATAAAATATGGGTGATCCATTCCCATTAACAACCGACGATATCGTCAATGGAGATGGCCAACAGCGAATGATCTCAGATGTTGCGCCCTCCCCAATCGCGATATGTGGTATGGCATTACGCTTGCCTGGAGGCCTCCATTCTTCCCAAGATTTGTGGGATTTTCTCCTCGCCAAAGGTGACAGCAGAGGTCCCATTCCCGAGACAAGATATCGAAGCTCCGCCTTCGTTTCTAGATCGAAGAAAGCCGGCACGGTTGAAGCGGACTCCGGCTATTTCCTAGATGGCATCGATCTAGGATCCCTTGATGCCAGTTTCTTTAGCATGACGCAGACAGAACTCGAGAGAACCGACCCACAGCAACGGCAGCTGTTAGAAGTGGCCAGAGAATGCTTGGAAAATGCTGGGGAGACCAATTGGAGGGGAAGTAAAATAGGCTGTTATATTGGAAGTTTCGGTGAAGACTGGTGTGAAATGATGGCGAAAGATCCGCAGCAGTACGGCTTGTACCGGATATCTGGTACCGGAGATTTTGTGCTGTCGAATCGAATTTCCTACGAATGGGATCTGACTGGCCCAAGGTAGTGTCATCACCTTCCACTCTTCCTAAGCTCAAGCTTCATGGCGAATGATAATGCTGATAAAGACAAAGCATGACGATCCGAACCGGCTGTTCCTCAGCGATCATAGCACTGCATGATGCTTGCGATGCAATACACAGAGGAGACTGCACGTCAGCAATTGTAGGGGGCTCCAACTTGATTATGACCCCGGCAATGACATCTGCCATGATGGAGCAAGGTGTGCTATCACCAGATGGCTCGTGCAAGACGTTCGACGCCGCTGCAAACGGCTATGCACGGGGTGAGGCGATTAACGCGATCTTCATCAAGCCTCTATCGGATGCACTGCGGGATAAGAATCCCATCCGTGCAATCATCAGGTCAACTTCGACAAATTGTGATGGGAAAACTCCGGGACTGGCAACTCCAAGTTCGATCGCCCATGAAGATTTGATCCGAAGGGCATATCAAGTGGCCGGGATTAAAAATCTTTCAGAAACCGGTTTTGTAGAGTGTCATGGAACCGGGACGGCTGCCGGAGATCCGCTAGAGACACGGGCCGTGGGTAATGTTTTTGGAGATAAGGGTGTATATATCGGATCAATCAAACCGAATGTCGGCCATTCTGAAGGTGCATCGGGTATCTCGTCGCTCATTAAAGTGGTGCTTGCGCTCGAGAACAGAACTATCCCTCCCAACATCAAGTTTTCCAAACCAAATCCAAAGATACCTTTTGCAGAGTGCAATTTGAAAGTCCCAATGGAGCCGATTCCGTGGCCACAGGACAAGAGCGAACGTGCGAGCATAAACTCGTTCGGGGTCGGAGGCGCCAATGCACATGTTATCCTAGAGTCTGCTGCAATGTACGGGATCGTAGCACCGACACTCAAAGAAGACGGTCCTTGTCTACTGGTATATTCGGCCAACACTCAATTATCATTGAAAAAACAGGTAGAAAATCATCGCGAATATCTGGAACGATACCCAAACAGAATATACGATCTCGCTTACACGTTGGGAAGAAGGAGAGAACATCTACCACATCGGTCATTCTCAGTCATTCCTGGGGATGGTGAGCCAATACACTCACCTTTGACAAAGGCCAATGGCAATGCAGCCCTGACCATGGTGTTTACCGGCCAGGGAGCACAATGGCCAGAAATGGGACTTCCTTTGATGAGGAGCAATATAGTTTTCAGGCAGTCCATCCAAGCGATGGACAAAGTTCTCCAGAAACTCCCAGATGGGCCCGCCTGGACAATCGAGGCCGAACTGGCGCTACCAGCCGACCGCAGTAACATACATAAGTCAGAATATTCGCAGCCGCTTTCAACAGCGCTTCAAATCGCCCTTGTGGAAACCTTCGCATCCGTGGGTATAGAGCCCACGACTGTAATCGGACACTCCAGCGGAGAGATCGCAGCAGCGTTTGCCGCTGGGGCTCTGACTGCATCAGAGGCAATTCAGCTTGCGTACTATCGTGGTCTTGCAACTGTTAAATACGCACCTGAAGGGGCAATGGCTGCAATTGGTCTCGGTTGGGACGAGGTAACAGAATACCTTCTGCCTGACACTGTTGTGGCCTGCGAAAACTCGCCTGCTTCCGTCACCATAGCTGGTGAGAGGGCTTCCGTCCAAAGAGTCATCGAAGCTATCAAAAAATCACATCCCAGTTGCCTGGCAAGGATGCTCAAGGTTGGGGTTCCTTATCATTCACCCCATATGAATCATGCCGGAGAAGAATATCACAAGATGATACTGAAGAAAATCAAAAGCAGAAGTCTGCGCAAACGCTTCATCTCAAGCGTAACGGGAGCTGCTGAAGGGCATGCCACTCTCGATGCCTCCTACTGGGTGCGGAACATGCTGTCTCCAGTTCGATTTCGAGGAGCTCTTGAGCATTTACTACAGCTAGAAAAGCGAGCAAACCACTTTCTCGAGATTGGCCCGCACGAGACACTCATGGGCCCACTAAGGCAAATCCTTAGCAATTGCTCAAAGCAATTCTCGTATACACCAGCGATGGTTCGACAGAAAAATAGTGTCCATACGTTCCTCAGTGCCATTGGCAATATCCACATCCATGGAATTCCAGTCGACTTCAGCAGCCTAACTCCAACCGGCTCCGTTTTGGTTGATCTCCCCTCATATCCTTGGGACCATCAAAATTCATACTGGTATGAATCGCGTCTCAGCAGAGAATGGCGTCTGCGCAAACATCCCCATCATGACCTTCTGGGGGTGCGTCTCCCGGAGAGCACTGACCTCGACCCGAGCTGGAGGAATGTTTTCCACATCCGCAATGCACCATGGATCCGTGACCACAAGGTTCGCCATGATATTGTATTTCCCCTGGCCGGGTATGTCGCATTGGTTGGGGAGGCGGTCAGGCAACTTGAAGAACTCGGAGAAGGCTACGGGTTAGAGAACGTCATTGTCAGCACGGCAATGGTACTAAATGAAGAACAGCCAACCGAAATCATCACATCTTTCCGGCGTCATCGCCTGTCGGATTATCACGACTCCCCATGGTGGGACTTTACAATCTCATCTCACAATGGACGATCATGGACGAAGAACTGCACTGGTAAAGTTCGGTCTCACCAAACTGCTCCCGCCGCATTAAACCAAACTCAGGAAACCCCCCGCCTCGTTGACACGACAAGGTGGTATGAACAGATGCGACATGTTGGGCTCAACTATGGCCCGGCTTTTACGGGCTTGGAGAATATCCAATCATCCACCACTGCTCATTTTGCCTCAGCCAATGTGTCATATTCCTCAGTTCCCGATGAAGAAATCCCGTATCCCTTGCATCCTACTGTCATCGACTTCTCGCTCCAGCTCTTTGGTGTAGCAATGACACGCGGGGTTTATAGAAAATTTTCTCAAATGGCCCTCCCCACAAGAATCGACACGATCGATATCTACAATTGCACGGCAGACATGCACCTTACATCCTCAGCCACCACAGCTGATTCAGGTGCATTCAGTGGCCATGGGGATATTTCATCCGATGGCAAAGCTGTCCTTCGAATTCGTGGGCTGAAGTTTTCCACAGTGGAAGAGGAACTTTTTGAAAATCTCGATAAGCATGCAGCCTCCCGACTTATCTGGGCGCCAGACATAGACTTCCTCGACCCCAAACTGCTATTCCAGCCTCCTAAAATACGCAACCGTGACATTTCTTTCAGCCTTCTCAGCGAACTGACTACTTTATGTGTAATGGAGAATGAGAGAAGGGTTGATGGTCTTACCTCACAGCAAGAACACTTTAACAAGTATCACTTATGGATGAAAGAGTACGTGAACAAAGCCGAACAGTATTTAGGATCTGTATCAGATGTACAGTCTTTGGACGTGGAGTGCCGAATTCTCAAAATTCAGGAGCTCAAATCTCAACTCCTAGAAACGGAATTCTGCGATGTTGCAAGAGCAATGACGGATATACTCGATAACTGTGAGGAAATCTTCCAGAGTACCGTTGAGCCGTTGGAAATCTTGATGAAGGATGATATCCTGACCAAGATATACAGAACCATTGATTCCTGGGATCGTTCTGCTTTCCTTGCTCTCCTTGGTCACAGCAAACCTAATATGAAGATCCTGGAGGTTGGTGCTGGGACAGGTGCCACCACACAAACGATTCTTTCTGGCCTAAGAACAAAAGAAGGCAACCTGGCGTACTCTAAATATACGTACACCGACATATCTGCTGGGTTTTTCTCCGCCGCGAAGGAACGCTTCAAGGAGTATCCAAACCTTCATTTTTCGGTCCTTGATATCAGCAAAGATCCTATTTCTCAAGACTTTGCACCGAATTCCTTCGACCTAGTCGTTGCGACCAATGTCCTCCATGCTACCCCCAGCCTCTACGACGCACTGAAGCATATTAACCGTCTCCTGAAGCCTGATGGGCGACTCTTGCTCCAAGAGTTGTGGTCCTTGAACAAATTTGCCAACTATATTTGGGGAACCCTACCGGGCTGGTGGATGGGCGGGCAAGATGGACGTCCTTCTGAGCCTTATGTGTCCCCAGAAGAGTGGCGGAAGCAGATGATACTTGCAGGATTCAACGGATTGGACTCGGTTACTCTAGATGCAGAGGAGCCATATCAATTGAATGTGGCCATGGTTGCTAGGCCACTGCGGACATCCACCGATAAACCTGTGACATTGCTGTACAATGAAGAGTCACCACTTCTACGAGTTCTGGAAAATGATTTGACGCAACGAGGCATAGAGGTGTCAACTCGAACTCTTGAAGACAAAATAGTGCTGGGAGAAGACATCATCTCCTTGATAGATACTGAAAGACCTTTTTTCCACGGCATTACCGCCGAATCTTTTGAAAAATTCCAAAGCCTTATGACAACGATTGGGGACGCCCATTTCCTTTGGATCACACGTTCTAGCCAGATGAAATGCAAGGACCCGAGATTTGCGCAGTCAATCGGAGTGGCCCGAACTCTGAGATCCGAGTTACTGCTAGATATCGCAACCTGCGAAATTGACGATACTAGCCCTCACTATTCGGAGCGCATCATCGACGTTTTCGACAAATTCCGCTCTTCGGAAGGCGATCGTGACCTTCTCCAGGATTACGAATTCGCCATTTCAGATGGCAAGGTCCACCTCGGACGCTTCCATCCATTTTCAGTTAACCACGAACTCCAGGAAACTAGCCCTGGCACCCACAAGATCATGAAAGTTAAACCAGGGCGATTGAATACTCTGGTTTGGGCTAATGCCACTTTCGACCAACAACTTGGTGAGGATGAGGTGGAGATCGAAGTTCGTGCATCGGGGCTAAATTTCACAGTAAGTCCTTCGAACCACTGAAAAATTTAAGCCTTGCATCTAACCCGTTTAGCACGTAATACTTGCCCTTGGTATCATTGAACCGTATGCCAAAGGTCGGGGAGGCGAAATTACTGGCGTGGTGAAACACGTTGGTAGAAATGTTAAAACCTTCTGTATTGGCGACCGCGTTGCAGCATTTCCTGGGGAGTGTTTTGCCACAACTGTCAGAGTTCGCCCTGAGTACTGTGTCAAACTCCCTGATGGCCTGAGCTTTGAGGATGCGGCGACGATGCCCTGCGTCTATGGGACTGTGATTTACTCTTTGATTCATGTAGCACGCTTGGAGAAGGGCCAGGTAAGATTGTGACCATTCGTACACTGAACCATTCAATAAACCTGCTGACTTTACCTCTGAAGTCTATTCTTATCCATTCTGCCTGTGGTGGAGTCGGCATTGCGGCGATCCAGCTCAGCCAAATGATAGGTGCAGAAGTCTATGCTACCGTTGGAAGTCAAGAAAAGGTTGAACATCTGGTAGCAGCTTTTGGGATCCCAAGGGCTCACATCTTCTCCTCCCACGATTCATCGTTCCGTAACAGCCTGCTCCAAGAAACTAACGGCAGAGGGGTCGATGTTGTCCTCAATTCGCTTTCTGGAGAACTCCTCCATGCATCGTGGGAGTGCGTGGCGGAATTTGGCAAGCTGATTGAGATCGGAAAGCGCGACCTTCATGGGCGCGCAAAACTAGCGATGAATATCTTTGAAGCTAATCGATCGTATTGTTGCGTTGATCTCAGTATGGTCGTGAATAGAAAGCCCACTGTTGCGAAGAGGTAAGAGATGTCCTTTATCCATCCAGATCCTCCTCTATGCTAGATCAGACTAACACAGTCGAGTATAGTCTTCTTGAGGAAATGATAAGCTTATACGAAGCTGGCAATATCCAGCCCATTCGACCTATCCACGTGTTCCCAGCCAAACATATGGCGGATGGCATCCGATGCATGCAAAAAGGTCAACATATTGGGAAGATCGTCATTGCCGTGTCAGATGATCTGGACAACGAGGGCCACGAAGATAAAGGCACCATGACCTCACGTATGCCACTTGCTCTAGATCCTGAGTCATCATATCTCCTAGTCGGAGGCTTGGGAGGGCTTGGTAAAGCAATTGCTTCGTGGATGATAGAGCATGGCGCTCGTAGTCTTGTGTTCCTTTCTCGTAATGCAGGTAAACGAGAAGCAGACCAGCACACCCGCCGTGAGTTCGAGAGCGAAGGGTGTGTGGTTCATTTTGTCGCAGGTGATGTTTCAGATATGGACGTCGTGAAGAATGCCACCAATGTAGCCCCGAAAGCCATACGTGGAGTAATTCACCTCTCCATGGTACTTCAGGACGAGGCTTTCCGGGAAATGACGTACGGTGCCTGGAATGCTGCGGTAGCGCCGAAAGTTACCGGCACTTGGAATCTCCATGAGGCCTTGGATCAAGCTGAACTTGATTTTTTCATTCTTTTCAGTTCTATCTCCGGAATCGTGGGATTCCCCGGGCAAGCTAACTACGCTAGTGCGAACTCCTTCCTCGACGCCTTCGTCCAGTTCCGTCACAGCCTTTCGAAGCCCGCGTCGGTGCTGGACATTGGTGTCATCGAAGATGTCGGATACATCGCGAGAACCCCAGGCCAGCTGTCTAAGTGGCGAGCCGGAACCGGTTACGGGATTCGAGAACAAGAACTTCTGGACGGAGTTCAACTGGCAATATTGCAATCACGGCCGGCTTCAGACCATTCTCCGGTGACTCCAGCCGATTCTTCCTTTGAACAAAAGTCACAGATTGTGCTGGCGATGCGCTTGGCAAACCACCTCACAGGCTCGAACAACCGCGCGCTCTGGAGGAAGGACCGCCGTATGGCCATATACCACAATGTTTCTCGAAAAGAGAACGACGTGGCCACCAGCAGCAAATCTGCCGAGGATGACAAGATACGCCAATTTCTTCAAGCCGCCAGAGCAAACCCGGAAATCCTCAAGGAAGCTAGCAGCAGTGAATTTCTCGCAGAGAAGATCGCCAGAAAGCTCTTTGATTTCCTTCTTAAATCGGAGGATACGGAGATTAATTTATCCTGTTCTCTTGAAGCAGCTGGAGTGGATTCCTTAGTCGCGATCGAATTGCGGAACTGGTGGAAGCATACCTTCGGGTTCGATGTAACAATCCTAGAGTTGCTTGGTGCAAACACAATACTGGGTTTGGGGGAGCAATGTGCAAATGGGCTATGGACTAAAATGATGGAGGATGAAGAGAGAGCACGGAAGTATCTAGACATGAAAGTCGTATAACGCCATGTGGTCTCATGCAACCGCGCTTCTGTTGTTTTGTGATAGATATATTTGAGCAGCTGAGTTACGCGAGGGGTCAGTTGAACTGTATCCTGATATATTTGTTTGATTTATTTTTTATGTATTTGCGTTCTTACGTACAGTAGATAGCTAGAGTAGCTGGTGTTCTAACTCAGTTATCTTGGGAGAGAATGGTTCTGTGGGATGTTTTATCTTCATCGTTTGGCGGGTCAAGAGTTTCATGACATATCCCAACAATACAGTGGATCTGTCCATCCTTGCAGCAACATCCTGCAAACAAACCCCAAGCCACATCCAATATAGCGTATAGCGTCCCCTGCAGCCCGTCAGCCGCCAATCCCCACGAATTTAGTCTTGTAAAGTATAGCTACATTGGATCGAAAAATCATGTATTAGCTTAGCTTACCACGGCGCTGAGCTAGTTATTTACCTCAGGTTACTTCTACTAGTCGTTACAGCATCGCCGAGATATTACTATGTAAGTCGATTCATCTATATTTAGAGAGATGAGCTGTAAAACTCGAAGGGACCGCTTCCAATACCCCCGTGAGTTCTCATAAATACTCTTTAGTTATCATAATAGTCATTCGTTTTTTTGCAGACAGACTGACAAACCCTCCACACTGGCTTTATTTCGACTATACTACCACGCATGCCACCAAAGAGCTGGCAATCTCTATCTCCGATTCCTGATACCCTCTATCCTTCCAAAGGAACAGCAGAAACGAGGGATTACGCTCAATCTATATCGAGCCAAAGTTTCGGGTTGACATGCTGAATTGAACTAGCGCAAGTTCAGTGATATGATGTAAACGAGCAGCAAAGCACAGAATAATCCGCAAGGCTGCAGAGAAAGGAATAGAAAAAAAAAAAAAAAAAAAAAGAACAGCAAAAGATAGGTCTTTGAACGTTCGAAGCGGCATGAGGGACATATACTTCTAGATGCACATCATACAATTCGTACAATGACTTCTGGGTCCAAACCGCCGGAATTCCACATCTATCCTCCAGAGCCAGACAGCGGCCACGACGCCCATTCAGCGCAACAGGCCGTCGCGGAACAGAAGAGACCGCATGAAACAACAGGGACTCTACCGTCCCGCTCACATTCCTCGAGGAGTATTTCCTTCCAACTCGATCTAAACCAGAATTCCATCCCACGACACACATCATCAGCGAGGCGCTCTTCAAATCGACGACGAAGCGGGGCGTCTTCCCTGTTATTGAGAAATCTCTCTCAGCGCTGGTACAAGAAGCTACCATCCCCGCCCTCGTCGCCGCCGCTCTCCTCCTTCATCGACTTTGCTGAGCATGACCCAGACTCTGTTCTCTCACTGCCGCGTCGTTGGCCAAGTCTGTATGCGCCTCCCGGCCGACAGGATCAGATTGAACCGCGACCCGACGCGGAAGCCGAGCAGCGCCAGGGTTATGGTTCTGGCTACTTGCGCGGATGGCCATTAGTAACGGTATCAGTGGCAGCACTGTTGGCGTGCTTTGTGACGCAACTTGACGAGTCGATTATCGCAACAGCATTGCCCAATATCGCAGCAGAGTTTCATTCCCTGGGTGATATTGGATGGTACAATTCTACATATTACCTACCACAGGCGGTCCTCCAGCCATTATTTGGGCAGGTATATACTCGCTGGCGCATCAAGCGGGTTTACCTGATATCCCTGTTCCTTTTTGAAGGTATGTTTCAAGTCGTGGAGAACTTTGCACCTCCAAACCTTGTCGAGGAAATAATAATGATGATCCCTTCTTTTTGCTAGCTGGCTCACTCATGGCCGCTCTATCCAATTCATCGCCACTGCTCATTGTAGCCAGAACCATTGCTGGCATCGGCACAGCCGGCATCACAGCCGGGCACTTCCAAATATTCGCAACATGTTATGCACCGAAAGCACGAGCTATTATGCTGAACGCCGTGTCAGCTATACTCGGTGAGTTCCAGGCGATCCAAGTGATTTTTCGCAGATAAATAGAGAAACCCCAACCACAAGGTTATACATATAACTTATTGATGCGGGACGCAGTAATCAGCAGCGTGCTGGGGCCACTCCTTGGCGGCATCGTTACCCAATATCTCAGCTGGCGCTGGTGCTTCGGCATCAATGTGCCCATCGGTTCTGTCATCGTCGTGATCATGGCTGTGTTGTTGAAAATACCACGCGGTAGCAATAGCACTACCAAGAGCACATGGAAAAAGCGGCTTATGGAGCTAGATATCCTAGGAACGATCCTACTCACGGCGATGATCGTGTGTGTGCTCCTGGGGTTCCACATGGTACAGAAGCAGCGGCCGAACAAGGCCGGAGTCGGTGCCGTATTCGTAGCGGCCATCGTCGCAGCAATTGCGTTATTTATCCAGCAGCGATTGACGCTGACGGAGACATTGTTACCCATCCGGATCTTTGGCAGGCGCCTGGTGTGGGCGACCTGTGGGTTGATGTTCAGCTTGTCTGTCGGAATAGCGACTCATATTTCATTTTTGCCTTTGTATCTTCAGGTATGCTGCGAAATGATATCCTGTCCTCGGCCCGTCAAAGAAAATCGTGCCGTCTCATGCTAACCATCAATAACAACCATCTAAAAAAAAAAAAAAGCTCGTCCGCGGCAAATCACCCGCCTCAAGCGGAACGCATACCGTCCCTTATGTCCTCTCCATCTTCACTGGCTCCATAATCATGATGCTATCTTTAATCGTTATGAAATATCTGAACATTCTCTTCTTAAGCGGAGTGGTCTGCTATGCCATCGGCGCAGGGCTATTCACAACGTTTGATGTCAACTCAACCCTGGGTGAAATAGTCGGATTCCAAGTCCTAGCCGGGTTGGGATTCGGGTTGTGCGTGTTGTGTTTGGTCGAATGTCCACAGGCAATCCTGGCTGATAGAGATGTGCCATATGCGCAGGGAGTTATAAACATGTTCCAAATTCTGGGAGGGTACGTATATATGTATACATGCATATATATATATATATATATATATATATTAGCCCCCCAAGCATCATGAACTCAGCTAATTATTAGCCATCATTATTCAGAGCTACGTCGACCCAAGTCGCAACTTTAATCTTCATCCAAACACTTTCCCACCGCCTCGAACGCGTCCCGAACCTGCCACAGGACCAGATCCGCATACTTCTGGCAGACCCAACTACAATGCTATACGGCAACAGCAGCGACAGCAAAGGTAGCCACCATATCAACGACAGTCAAACTCTGCCATCTGGACCCCTCAGAAGCCGCATCCTCAACGAATTGTCCGGCTCCTTTTCCGCAACATTCCACCTTTCAATAGTAGCAGCCTGTCTAGCGTTGACGTTCGTCCTTTGCATGCCGTGGACGAGGAAACGGACGCTGGCGGCTACGTTGGCTGTAGAAGCGGGCAAAGAAGCCAATGGCAACGTTAAGCATGATGGTAATTATGACAATGACAACCACAATAACAATAATAATGATGATGATGGTGATATTAATGACAATAATGATAATGATAATGATAATGAAAACGATATCAAAGGGACACGCAGGATCAGGACGAGAAAGGCAGGACACGGAAGTGGGTTCAGACGGGAGCGCGAGGAGGAGCCGTTGACGACCATAGAATTAACATAGAGGACCCCCTTTTTTTGCAGTTGTAAAATTAATAAAAACCTTGGAAGATGGCAAGATAACAGCGTATTTGGGCCGGGCGCGTGTATATTATGAGCTCTGGATGGAGAAATATAGGTATTTTTATATTTATTTATATAAACTAGCAGAGCCGAGTCGAGAATCAAAGATCGGAGTTTCAAAACATTGGGGGATTAACGAACATACATTACCTGAGCCCAATTCAACGGTCCTAGTCCGCTTTAGTGATCCGCCATGGAGATATCAAAATAGATGGATATACGGAATCCGGGAGGTTATTACCACCCCAACGCTGGATGGTGGAGAGAAAAAGCAAGTTTTAGCGACGGAATCAACTGACCAGCTTGGGGGGAATGAGTTTCTCAGTTACTGGATAACTGCCATCTTCAATTAGATATATATTTCCATATATGTAATTTTCTATGTTCTGCCATTTCAGTCACTTTGCTGAAAAAGGAATTCACTGATTGGAAGGGCTGTCGCCAGCCGTCAGCCCTGATTGATTATATATGACAATGGCTCCCGAATGACAACTAAATATGTGCAAGTTCAATACAATTCCAACGAAGGAAAGAATGGAGGATCAATCAGGCCATACATACGGACCATGGCTGAACGAACGGTGTTGGCCAGAGATCTTTTTTTGTCATGTCCTTATAATGTACTTCCCGATGCACGAATACTAGTAGACGAGAGCTGCGCCCCACTTCCACCTATTTTTATAATATACTTCCCAGGTCGTTACCCCTTGACCAACAATGATCCGAACCTGATCCTGAACCTTGATCCACTCCTCACGCGCAATGCTGTGTTGGAGTGGGTGAGTGTATAGTTAGTAATGTTGGTGCAGGATAGTGGTGAGTGTGTTTTAGTGGGCTGTTCCTGGGTTGTTTTCAAAGGCCTCAACCAGATATAAAAAAAAATAGCAAATAAACGGGTCTTTGATAGCTTCGTTCCGTGATCGATGCAGTTCAAATCATTAATGCTCTGTCATCTGTAGAACAAACGGGTTTGTATGCGTACAAATAGGACCTGGTCTCCACTGAGAATATCATCTTTGCAAGTCTGGAGCTGAAGCCTGAAGCGGGAAATGTCTTGACTGCGGCCTTCTAGTACATTTTCCGTGGCCTGAGATTGGCTAGCATAAGAGATCATCGCCAGGGTTCTGCTAGTGTCGTGGCCACTGACTCACCGAGGCCCAGACAGACGGTGGATAAGCCTGAAGGAAAAGCGAGACAACGCATCCAAGTCGCGTTAGTTAGTGATCCCAAGCGACAAGTTTTCGTCGCAGTTCCACTATTCCAGGCCGAAAGCAGCCATTGCGGGATCCAGAGGCTGCTGCTGAAGGGGGCGCGGTTAGGGGCCAGCCGCCTAACCCGCCTGGGTTTAGGGGCGCGGTCTCGGGGGGCTTAGGGGGTGCGTCGCCGGGAGCACCACCCAAGAGCGCAGGACGTGGCCGCGTCGGCGGGGCCAATCGGGGCTTAGAGTTCACGCCTGACCGCAGGGATTCCGAAGCTTGTGATTCTCCGCCGTTGAACGTGGTTGTTGCTGCCACAACCCAACTTCTGTGCAATCCCAGCTATTGTCACGTCAGTTGGTACTACTGCCGCTATTCCCACTCCCAATTTACCACCGTGATTGGGTAACTGCCACGCACCTCCTCACAAAGAAGGGTTGGTGTGCGTCTTCTCCTACCACTCTCTCTCTCTCTTCCTCTTCCTCTTCCTCTTCCTCTCTCTCTCTCCCGCAACGATCTTTTGCAACTCTCTGCTTATATATCTTCATCCTCTTCGCTTTTAGGACTCTGTCTCTCGCTCTCTACTCTCCCTCTCCCTCTTCCTCTCTTTTTCGCCGGTCATTGGCTCTATCTCCCCCCACCATAACATCCCCCGCTTTTCAGACGTTATCGCGCTTCTCATCCCAGCAGCAACATCACTCGTTCCTCATACACTCAGATCACTGAGATCATTCAGGCCATTCACATCATTCAGCAGTCACAATTCCGTTAAAGATATCCCATTTTCCCTTCCCCACATCGTAATCAGTCACTTTTGATTTATCCCACCTCCCTGGCCAAGATACAGAAACCATGTGGTAGGCTACCTTCCCATGTTCCTCTCTCTCTCCTCCCAGTGTCATGATCCCAGCTGACAATAAAAGTGGAATTTTCGGATATATCAACTACCTGATTGAAAAAGACCGTGCCTATATCATTCAGACTTTGGTCAATGGTGCGTGGTTGATTCCTTTGTTTTGTCTTGCTTGTGTTGGGAACCCAGCATGGCTGCTAACCTAGCCCACGTCTTGGCTTTAGGCCTTTCAAGACTCGAGTACAGAGGCTACGACTCCGCTGGTCTGGCTGTGGATGGAGACAAAAAAAATGAGGTCTTCGCTTTTAAGGAAGTGGGGAAAGTTGCCAAATTGAGAGAACTTATCGATAACTCGGACTTCGATCTCACCAAGACCTTCGACTCGCATGCTGGTATCGCTCACACTCGATGGGCTACCCACGGTCCACCCTCTAGATTGAACTGCCATCCCCACAGGTAGGCAGACTACTCTCCGTTTTTACATCTCTTTCTCTTAAGGAGGCTAAATAAAACTGACAACAACCAGATCTGACCCTAGCTGGGAATTCTCTGTCGTCCACAATGGCATCATTACCAACTATAAAGAGCTCAAGGCCCTCCTCGAGTCCAAGGGTTTCCGCTTCGAAACTGAGACGGATACTGAGTGCATAGCCAAGTTCGCCAAATACCTCTACGACCTTCATCCAGATATCGATTTCACCGTGCTCGCAAAGGCTGTCGTCAAGGAGCTGCAGGGTGCGTTTGGCCTCCTGCTGAAATCCGTCCATTACCCTCATGAAGTTATTGCCGCCCGCAAGGGTTCTCCTCTGGTCATTGGTGTCCGCACCACCAAGAAGATGAAGGTGGACTTTGTCGATGTCGAATATTCCGAGGATGGCGCTCTCCCCGCCGAGCAGGCTTCGCAGAATGTCGCCCTTAAAAAGTCTGCTGCCAGCCTGTTGGCACCCGCAGATAAATCCCTCTTGCGCCGCTCGCAATCCCGTGCCTTCTTATCAGACGATGGAATCCCCCAGCCCGCTGAGTTCTTCCTCTCTTCTGATCCATCCGCTATCGTCGAGCATACCAAGAAGGTGCTCTACCTTGAGGACGATGACATTGCCCACATCTTCGAAGGTCAATTGAACATCCACCGTCTTGCTAAGGATGACGGTACCTCCAACGTCCGTGCCATCCAGACCATCGAGCTTGAACTCCAGGAGATCATGAAGGGTAAATTCGACCATTTCATGCAAAAGGAAATTTTCGAGCAGCCGGAATCAATTGTCAACACAATGCGAGGCCGTCTCGATGTTGCCAACAAGAAAGTCACTTTGGGTGGACTAAGACAGTATATCACTACCATCCGCCGTTGCAGACGTATCATTTTCATCGCCTGTGGCACCAGTTTCCACTCTTGCATGGCTGTCCGGGGTGTTTTTGAAGAATTGACCGAAATCCCCATCGCCGTCGAGCTGGCGTCTGATTTCCTCGACAGACAAGCCCCCGTCTTCCGCGACGATACCTGTGTATTTGTCTCCCAGTCTGGCGAAACGGCTGACTCCCTCATGGCACTCCGATACTGCCTCGAGCGTGGCGCGCTGACAGTGGGAATTGTCAATGTCGTTGGTTCGTCCATTTCCCTCCTGACACACTGCGGTGTGCACATCAACGCCGGCCCCGAAATCGGTGTTGCGTCCACCAAAGCGTACACCTCGCAGTTCGTCGCGATGGTGATGTTTGCGCTATCGCTGAGCGAAGACCGGGCTTCAAAGCAGAAGCGACGGGAGGATATCATCGACGGCCTGTCTAAAATATCTGATCAGTTCCGCCAGATTCTGAAATTAAGCGAGCCGATTAAGGAAATGTGTGCCAAATTCTTCAAGAATCAGAAGAGTCTCTTGTTGTTGGGTAGAGGGAGTCAATACTCTACCGCCTTGGAGGGTGCGTCCTGTTCATGATCCCCCTTTTTGCCTACCTCCCGTAATAGTCTAATGCTGATTAATACCTGTATAGGCGCCCTCAAAATCAAAGAAATCTCCTACCTGCACTGTGAAGCCGTCATGTCTGGCGAACTCAAACACGGTGTCCTCGCCCTCGTCGATGAGAACCTACCCATTATCATGATCCTAACCCGCGACGGAATCTTCAAGAAATCCCTAAACGCATACCAGCAGAGTACGTACAATCCTTTACAAAAAAAAAAAAAAAAAAGAAAGAAAAAAGAAAAAAAAGAAAAAGAAAAAGAAAAGAAAACAAAAGAAAAGAAACTAACAAAACTCAGTAATCGCTCGCCGCGGCCGCCCAATCGTGATCTGCAACACAGGTGACGAAGAATTCCCCGCATCGGAAACCGAGCGCATCGAAGTGCCATCGACGGTTGATTGTCTGCAGGGTCTGCTGAATGTCATCCCCCTGCAGCTGATCGCATATTGGCTTGCTGTAGCGGAAGGATTGAATGTGGATTTCCCGCGTAATCTCGCCAAGTCGGTTACTGTCGAGTAGACATTTAGATAGCTTGTGTCTGTAGTTGGGATCGCGGTATAGGGCAATGTTCTAGGGATGTATGGAGTTAAAATAAGCAATCAATCAATCAGCCATGGATAACTGGATGGGCAGGAAAGGACGTGGAATTGGTTCTGGAGCGTTGGAAGCAAATGGGGGTTTTGCGATTTGGTTGCTCTTTTTTGCACTTCGGTTTCTTCTGCTCCATTTCTGCGAGATGATGATTTGCGTGCGTGTAATGGTTTAGTTCGATCTTTTAAAATAAAATAAAATAAAATAAAATAAAAGCGCAGTTGTAGCTGTTCACCCGTTTATCTTTGGCCGTACGAAGAGATTCGCTTGAAGTTTTCAAGTGTCGTGATGGATGAGAACAAAACCATCCCAGATTCATTGACAACGCTGTAGTGTCTGTATGCTCTCCCCCTCCCTGAATATGCAGATACAAACGACATCAATTGAGCGTGAAGTATATCGTCTATTGCAAATATCATCCATTCTATCTTATATTTGGGACCACCTATCAAACGAATAGTCATTCTCAACGCTTATTAATAACCAGCTTCCGAAACCCTGCAACAGAGATGGGAAGTTAACTATACTAGTATATATCAACAGCCCAATTCCCGTTCCCGCTCCCGCCCCAATTCCACTTCCAATTCCAATCCTCCTCTAGATTGAAATCCTGTCCGAAATGGCTCTGGACCTCAAAGGCCCCGGCACCTCTGCAAAGCATGATGGCAGGTTCCCCCAACCCCACTCCATCATCCCATTCCCTGCGACGAAGCCCCGCAATCCGCATGCTTTTGAAAGAAAGCCCCTCCTCTCCCAGGCCCTGATCAACCTCTGCCAAACCCATTCCACCCACCTAACTGACGACAATGGATAATGATATACAGGCTCGGACCTCCGCATCGCCATCGTCCACGCCAGGTGGAATGACAGGATCGTCTACTCACTGGTCGACGGCGCGAAGAAGGCGTTGATAGAGGCGGGGGTTGTGGCGGAAAATATCGTGACGCAGAGTGTGCCGGGCAGCTGGGAGTTGCCGGTTGCCGTTGAGAGGTATGAGCCCCTTTCATTTCCTTCCCTTGTTTGTATACTTTTCGTATGTTTTGCATGTTGGGTGGGGGGTGGATGGATAGTTTTGATTGACCCCACACACAGTCCCAATCCCAATCTCAATCTCAATCCCACACAGCCATCCACTACACTACTGACATTATCTCAATATATCTAATCATATAGCATCTATGCCGCCTCCCTGACCCCTACGCAGTCGTCACCCTTTCCAACCCCCTTCGACGCCATAATCGCCATCGGCACCCTCATAAAAGGCGAAACCATGCACTTCGAGTACATCGCCGACGCCGTCTCGCAAGGGCTCATGCGCCTGCAGCTGGAGAAGAGCGTGCCGGTGATTTTCGGGGTGCTGACGCTGCTGAACGAGGAGCAGGGGTTGGTGAGGGCTGGGTTGGCGGGTGGGAAGGGGAGTGCGGCGCATAATCATGGGGAGAATTGGGGGCTGGCGGCAGTTGAGCTTGGGGTGAAGAGGAGGGCCTGGCGGGAAGGGGTTTTTTTGTAATTGAACAAAGAAGAAAGGATATATTGGGGTGTTTGGGGTGTGAGGGTGTGGGGTTCACGGAGGGTGGAGGCTTATCTGTTATGTTGTTGTGTAAACATATTTATTTATATGAATTTTCAGTGGACTTTGTTTGGTTGTTGTCATGCCGAGTCAGCAGTTCTGGTGATATTCCGGTTTAATCTAGCAAATCTTGAAAGCAGACAGAGGGTTGGATGTTTGATAGAGTTGGACGCAACCGTGAGGAAGAGCAAAACTGGAATTAAAAAGGCTTTGGGTAGGTAGCATTGATACCGTATGAAAGAAAAGACAAGGCCACTACTCCTCCATCTTATCCCCTTCGTCCTCCCCTTGTTTTTCCTCTTCGTCATCCTCATCATCCCCCTCCATAGCCTGTTTAGCTTCCCGGATAGCTTCCTCAAGCAATGCCTTCGGCACCTCCTCATGGCGGCCCTTCGTTGGCCCATCCATAGCACTAATCCACGTCATTTCCAGCTCAAAATCCTTATCCTTGCTATCCTCGTGGGCGACATATATGATGCGGGCGGCCTCCTTGACACCTTGTAGCAGCGTGAAGTTGCCCGAGGCCAGGTCAAGTTTCTCCAGCTCAGCTTTGGCAGCTTGGCGGCCCTTACCTGTGGCGGCACCGTAGTAGCCCTGTTTTAATATCGGCCATCAGAAATGATTTTCTATAAACGCCATGGACAAGGAAGATTGGCAACAGAGACCCAAATGAAGAAAAAGCTATAACACACCCAGTAAAGCCCACTCGGCTCAATCATATACAATCCGGGCCCACCAGCCTTCGCACTCGCAACCTTCCCACCAGCACCAGACTTGGGACCAGCTCCTACCTCCCCGTCCACGGGGAGCTCTAGCTCTGAATCCCACCCGCCAATGATGGAGGTGACACCAAAAGGCCGCACGGAGGAGTACAGGGTATACGCCTGAGCATATCCACCCAACCTGCTAGCAAGGACATGTGTGGATATGGGACCTTTGTATGTAGTTCTCCAGTTATCAGCCTCGTCTCTAGCTCTGGATACGAAATGTCGGCCGTCGGGGAGAAGGCCTGAGGATACCTATTCATCACAGTATGTTAGCACTAGTGGTGGGCCATTCGGAGACACTGAAGGGAAAAACGAAAAGTAGATAATGTATGGCCGGGACTGACAATTCCAATATGCCTGTCGACTGTGGCTATGCGTTTATTGGCGCCCGGTTTGAGCAGTTTGGACGATATGATTTTCTCCACAGCCAGGACGACGCCATCTTTACATCTAATTCCTATGGATGTGCCGCCGTTCTCTACAGCTTTCACTGCGTATTCGACCTGTCATAATGTCGCAGTCCGAGCATTCCCCGTCAGAATCGCTTCTTTGCTTGTTTTCGGTTAATATAGCGGGTGAAAAAAAGGCGGGCGAGGTACCTGGAAATTCCTGCCATCGGGAGAAAATATAGAGTTAGAGAGATCGTAGCCGGTACCTATGGACGTCTGGTTCCATATGGCAAAGGTGAAGGTAGTCAGTTATTCATTTCTTTTAAGCTTCATGTAGGTGGAGCGGGATATACCATATCTCTGGAACTGTGGTTTGCGATTTAAAGGTGGGAGCAGAGGGATTCGAAGGACGTCAGCGAATGAGACGACGGCCGTAAGGAGGACGACGGGGTGGGGTGCAGAAGTGAGAAAAAGAACGTTCCAGGGACCACGCTCGAAAGAATAGATTGCCTTCTGGATCTTGTATATCGGCTCTATCTCAACTTTGGAGCTGTGGAGTTGAGTTGAGCTCACGCGTCACGGGGTTGCTGCCTCTGTGGTCATGTGATTTAATGATTCAGCAGGATATCTCCTCCTTGATCCTCCAGATATGCCAGAGATTGTCCCCAGTTGTTGGAATTCGTTGGGACTTGACCTGAGATGCCAATGGAAGCAATAACTAGATTGTGGATCGCATGTCTTACATCTACATAGCCAATACCAGCCTGAATCCTGCTGTTTGCTGGCGCAATTTGTGCAGTTGACAGTTTCACCAGAAAACGCTTCATGTTGTACTCTCGACACAATAGATATACCAACACGATTGCTTCTTCTCTTCCCTTATGGGCGTCAGATTTCTGTTTTAGCTAGACTAATGATTAGGCCGAGCGCCTCTTACATCAATCAAGCGGCCGCAACCTCAATCAATGTTTTTCTGCAAAAATTGTCCTCTTGATGTCCTAGGACGAACAGAAATTCGTTTGCCAGCACGCAAAACACACCACCTCTCTTACTTCCTTTCTCTTCCTCCCCGAATCCGGAGGCAGAGTTGCGGCCATGAACAGTGAAACTTGTGCTTCAAGTACAGCAATATACCCAGTAGAATCCTCAGGGGCAAGTTGGATTTCACAGCCTCCCCTGGGCTTTGTGGTACATGGCACTCTGTCTAACCGGACAACAACTGGAAAGGACATTCGTTTTGAGCATGATGATGAAGATGAAGATGGGATGATGGGACTTTAAGATTCCCGATATTCGGTTTTGAGCATCAGTGAATTCTGGCGACTCTAGAACGACAGGGGATCAAATCCCCGAGCTGCACTTGAAATTGCACTGTTGGAAAGCTAATCTAACAGAATAATCCGTCAAAGGGGGAGCGCCTCAACCTTTCGGTGGCAATATATATCGATCGAGACAAGCAGGCATTTAGGAACATGTTTTGACATAGTTAAGCATCGGTTGAGTAGTTAAGTCAGTCAGTCAGGCAACCCAGACATGAGCTCAGTTCACTTTTATCTCGTAGCGCATGACAGATGTGGGTTTAGTTAAATGATTATCCTCATTCACTTGGCTTTGGTTATTTTTATTGTTGTATTTATATATTTATAGCCTTCCAAATCTCGCTGCCCAACGGCCCCAACCACGTCACTTAGCGCCACCGCTTGATTCCGTCGTGTGTTCGAAATCCCCATTTCTCCCGGCCACTTGACCTCTGGTTGTTCAAACGACCCTGAGAAATCCCAGATACCCAGATACCCAGATTACCCCTCCGGTTTCCCATTCTACTCCTCTTCTCTGATATACTATCTGCCTCGGCCGACTGGACCTTTTGACTGGACTCGGACTTCCTGGTTTCCGGACTCTGGCCTTTGGACGCTGTCTTTGCTCTCTCGCCCCCGCCGGACCCCAAAAGCTTCAAGGACTGTGGACTTCTGCCAGTATAGATATAACTACGATAATTAGCTAGCTTAGTTGTTGTCATAGTCTCAAAAAGAAACAAGATACAATTCAGAATTTTCTGCAGCAAGCCATCCCTCTTCTCTCGCTCCATCCATCCATCCATCCATCGTCCTTCAAAAGGAAGGGAAAGAAAACGTGCCTTTTCTCTTAAGATATCCCCCTCCTCTCCCCTTCCCCCAATCCCCTCTGGAAGAGGGAAAATAGCGAAAAGGAGGACCTCAGACAGAAAATAATAGAAACCATGTCTTCTTCAGTGCTGCATCATTGTACGTATTGCGGACATGATTCCGAGATTTCAAACTCCCTGGCTGCCTTCGCTGAGAACCCTTACTGCCGTCAGGTAATAATCATTTTTCTTTTTACTCTTTTCATTATTTGAAAAATCAAATATCCTATTTTTCCACCCTTTTCCCCCCTTTCCCCCACTAACTGTTTCCCCGCAGTGCGGCCTATCCGCTGCGGAGGGCGATTCCAAAATGCAAGACGACCTAGCCATCCTCTTCGCTCGTCAGATGAGCGTGGCAGGCATCCCCAGTCCAAATCAAAAGCTCGCGAGCCCTCCGCAGTCAATGGTACCTGCAGTTATGTCCCCGACCCCTGATATGTCCCCCTCTCCTCCTCCCACTCCTTCCCCCTCCATCTCCCGCCCAATAGCCTACAACATATCTCAGCATTACCATCACTCCGCACACCAGCTCCCTGGCTCAGGAGGCTGGTCAAAGACGCTTTCTGCAACCCTGCACGACATGCAGCAAGCCGGAATCTCAGCGGAAGAAATACTGTTCCAAAACAACGTGGACCCGACTGCCCTCTTCCCGTCGCAGCTGACCCTCTTCGCGCATGCAGATGTCGAGCAGAAGACGCGTCTAATTGAGCTATGGCAGATTTCGCGACCGAGTGTCCGGAAAGCGAATCCATTTGACAGCTGCAGCGGTAGCGGCGGCAGCGTCATCCCTACTTCATCGTCTTCCTTGCCGAGTCGCATGCAATCTGCCAGGGACACCATGATCGACGTGGACTGTATGGATCAGGATGCGCGGAGCACAACTGGGCTGGATGACAGTCAACACGCAGAACCATATGTCATGTCCGGCTATGAGGCGCTCGCGCAGCGCGAATATGACACATCAGCGGCCAGGAGTGCGTGCGGACATGGGTTTGCAGAGGCGTCACAGTCCTCTGTAGCTGCTGCTGCCACGACGTCAACTTCCTCGTCGTACAAACCGGCCGTTGACCCCGTGTACAAGGGCAATGGTTTGTGGGATGCGCATGGCCAGCAACAGGGACATGGGCAAGGTGGGTCGGAGGCAGTACTGCTACTTCAACCGATGGAAAATCAGTACGGCGCGTTCGAGCAGCGGAATAATTCCATGTATCTGGGTTGTGGAATTGCACGGGCGCATTGGCTGGATGATCGGGAGATGTTGTAGTTAGTTAGATAGGATCCTTTTTTTCTTCTGTTTTTTATTTTATTTTATTTCTTTTTGATTGATAGAAACCAGTTGGGTTTTTCGTGCTCTTTTAAGGCATCATTCCCCATTCCCCTTTTTCCTTTTTCCATTCTCTTTTTATCTGTCAACGTCTCCAATTCGAAGTTCGATCCCATAAACGGACTGTAGGGGCGATTTTGAATGGTTATTCCTTTCTCACGGCGATACGCTTGACGAATTTTGCTCCATTTAGTTCCTTTTGTTATTCTGTCCATTTTCACCCATGTAGCACCTGGGCATTCCATCTGTTTTCCTTAATTTTAGTGTTTGTTTTCATCATCTGATTTTATTTTGCACTCTTTTCCTAAGTCCCCTGTCCTACATCACAGCCCAAGATACTGGTATGTTCACTAGATGTGATGAGAAAGATTCCTCTCCTCTCTTTCTCTGTTTCTCCTGTATTTCCAATGTCAACTCTAAAAATCAGAGTGAAATAACTTCAAGTTCGCAATTGGGTTGCGGTCCGTATTCTTTATCTGCCTTTTGCCAACTCGCTGCATCCTGCATCCTTTTTACGGAAGAATACCACCCCAAGAGCTTAAAATATTGATAAGAAGCCTGATATTCTTAAACCAAATAAGGACCAGGAAGTTCTTCTGTGCCATTTGAGAACTAGATATCCCAGGCCTCTGGCAATATTTTCCATATATTTCCCCTTAGCAACACATGAGAAACTAATGGGACCGATATTGATATTGTCAACGAGGACTTTCGCAGCTTGAAACCAAAATCCGGTTTGTTGGCAGGGTTAATTAAATCCATTGGTCGCGCGAATCCCGACAGAAGAGACAACCGAGGAAAAGGAACGGCGGTAAGGCTGGGATTAGTTACTTATCTTCGTTCATAGAAGCAATCGGTTCTAGCGAAACACAAAAAGGGGACACCGAGCTTTGCATATCCCTGCGTAGCACAGGGAGCGAACTTTTTCAGAAATGAGACGAAAAGGGCGTTTGGGGTATCGATATCAATAAGAGTAAAGAGAGCGTTCTAGAAGCCCCACGTCTCCATGCAATTCCATCCATCACCCGCCCATTCATCCAATTCATTCAGATCCTTCTTATTGATTCACCAACCCGCGCGGCTATATGTCAGGGACGGCAAGCCACTACGCCCTGGCGCTGTTTTCTCCCTCAGGCTATGAGAGGGTAATATGGAGCATGATAAATAATAGCTATGTATTAATTCTCTAATATCCAGCCTAGGTTCAAGGGGGAAAAAAAAAAAACCTCTAATTTTCTCATATGGAATGGTAATAACGGATTCCATCTTTGATCTGTAAAAAGCAAACAAGCCACTACACTCTCATTATTGGATGAGAACCCCCTTGAGGGCTATCATAGCCTGAATGCATTTGAATTAACTAAGGATCTGTGCTGTGTAGCAGTCGTCTCGAATGCTTTGGATGGGAAAACTCATGCCATCTGCCTTCCACGGCTGCATATACTTAAACTTTGACCTTGTCTTATCTCATATAGATCATCTTCAGAAACTTGAAGAGCCAAAAGGTCTGGTTTTGCTTCTTCTCGGCAGCGCTGCAGATCGCATTGCAATGGACGAGTTAATGCAAGGAATTACTTATATGAGATCAAGCCTGAATCGAGAAACGTAAGCCATAGTGATCTGCAAACGGTTGATTGACCACCTTGAAAAGTGGAATAGGAAAGCCGAGGAGTGAAAACAAATCTTAGCCGGTGAAAGAAAAAGGTGATTGAGAAAAAATCACCAGTGCTCTGAGTACTCGTGCTATAAATGGTTGAGATGTACCAAATGCAAGACATGAGCTGAAAGAAGTACGGCTTTTACAGGAGCAATGTTACCCATAGAGACTATTACCGACTTTATAGCTGGAGAATACTCGTATGCACTGCGCACTTCGCAAAGGTGCAACCTGCGCGCCAACAAAGAGGGTTTTCGAAACATGGCTCAATGAGCCTATCTAGCTGTCCCAAAATAGTGTAGCATACATCGAAATAAAATAGAAAAGCAACACTGTACCATTAACAATTTAGAAGCTAGAACTAATTCATTGACAAGACCGCATGGGATCCATCCGCCGTACCGAAGAATTGCAAACTAAGCGATTCATGTATCAGCAACACATTATTATATTCATGTACACTACATATATACATTCGTGCCCCATGAAGAAAGCATTCGATACTCATGAAAACCGCATAGACAAAACTCATGGAAAGGTTGCCTCCATAGGGATAAATATATGTACATGGCCCTAATAATAATGCATATGCGACTAATGAGTGTATGATGGTCGGATTTCCGAGGTGCATACGCAAAGAAATAAAAAGGTAGATATAACCTCTTCCGCATTTCGCTGTGGGGGGGTTCGGTTGGGGGTTGGGGTTCGTGAAAAAAACTGGGGCATGGATCATTCGATCCAGACAGGACGCAAAACAAAAAGGAAGTGGACGAACAGCAAACAGAACCTTGCAGAACAAAAGCCGGCCGCGTGAACCAATACGAAGTCATAGGGAATTGGCATTCAAAGCATGAAACACAAAGCATAGCAAAATGGCTGTCATCTCAAAAAGTGCCGCGACCGAGTTCGGGAGTCGATTTAGAGAGTGCTCTGAAGGGAGTGGACAGGGCAACTGAAGGAAGGACAAAACAAGGTCGGCTTGTTTGTTTTGGTTTGTTCTGTTCCCATCCCATGTTGACAAAAGGCGTTCAGACGCTAGAATGTGGTGTATTTTCGTAGTTTAAGCCGCATCAGTATGGGCAATTTGTCGTTGTGTTCACTTCTCTAATTTCTTCCTTGGACGATTCTTTGTTGGCGTTTATCTCCACAAGAAAGAAAATATTATTGAAGAAAACCTCGGGTTTTATTGCTGTCGGTACCCCTGCGGTATTCTGGCGAAACTGGGGATTCCACACCCTTGCATCGGCCAAAAGAGAGTAAAATAAACTCAAGAGAAATCTCTCCCATATAAGATGTCAACGGCAAATTGTTAAAACGCAAGTTGCGGAAAGCGATTAACGAAGTAACCAAAGACATAAACCAATCCCCATTCGGCATCTCGGGTCTGTAATTCCGTACTAAGCCGGTATTTAAAAAGGATTAACGGGCCGATGTGAAGTGAAAAATATTGACATCGTGGAAAAGAGTGGCGTGGAATGTAAATCGGGGCATCTACGCTTGTAGCACCAGGTACAAGGCGAAGGAAATGCAGGAGCCCGAAACCTGGAGCTCCAGGTCGACTGCCGCGCAGTCCAGTAGTTGTTGGGTGTGACCACTAACAACCTTGACCGGGGCGAGTACACCAACGTTTCGCGACGACTAATTTAAAACTGTCAACGACGGCTCACAATCGCAGATTTAACTGCGCAACGAAATGTTGTGTTGGGAGAGAATAGACATACATTCACCCTGGTTGGGGTTTTCCACAGCAGGCTCCGGCTCGGGTGCTGGAATTGCTACTGCCCACACAGAGGCGGTCATCAAGGTAAGGAAGACAACGAGGAACTTCATGTTTGCTTTGGGGGTTTGCTTAAGTGATTAGGTGGGTTGTAAAAGGGAAAGTAGTCGTAGCAAAAGGAATCTGAAGTGTTTTAGAAGGTTGTTAATGTTGTGTAAGTTGACCAAATTGGTTGTTCCGCGTGAGAGGAGAAGAACCGAAAGGAGAAGATGCCAGGAGGGTGTTTTATAGACAAAACGTGGTGGAGAGAGGAAGAAGACTTTGGACCCACAATGGATGTCTATTTCGAAGGTCTTTCGCCTGTTGAATAGTATGTTGGAATAAAGAAAGTAAAAAAAGAGAATAAAGCACAGATGAACACAAGGGAGAGCAGAAGATAGGTTATGATAATTCAACTTCCAATAGCTTATTGAAAGAAAGACAGATTCACTTTAACTGTGAGCCTGGGGTAAAGCCCTGGGGTAAAACTCAAGATCGCTGGTAATAGAGAAGAAACTTTTGGAGAGATCCTCCATTCTCGAAAGAGGAATAAAGCGATGGGTCGAATGAGAATCTCCATATTTCCCAGATTGGAGGTGTTTCAACACAAGGTTCAGAGAACTGCGGCCATGTGTTCTCATCCGCGTTCAGCATGACAACACGGACCACTCGCCATGTAAGCAGACGCAGCAGGATGCAGGGACCAACACCCAGCCATGCAAGGACTGTAGATAGACGTTCTTGTGTTTCAATAATCATATAGTGTGGGGAATATCCAGGCGTGTGTTATTGACAATTTCCGGATTAGGCGTTCAATGGGTAGAGTTTCAACCTTAACACCAAGCTACCAAGCTAATCCAGGGGAACACAAGATTTTGACTTCGTCGCTCACGTTGAGATGGAGCAGGAAGCATGATTTGAAATGCTGAAATGGATATGGGGTAATGGCATCGGCGTATCATGGCAGTCGCATAGAGGCCACCGAAGCAGATATCCCGTAACAGTCGGTTGTTGTGGAGGCTCTGCCCCACCCCCAACATGACGCTCGGTTCATACAGCGAGCAAAGACATTCAGGAAAGCCCCTGGATAAGGAGGAAAAGCAAACGAAAATGAGAGAGGAAGAGGAAAAGATATCAGGATTATCATGGCAACCTGATATGATGTAGCATAGCCATCCGTTGGATTTCTCATGCTAAAGACGACAACAGAAAGATGCTGGAGCAATATACTGAAACTCAAATGTTCATGTTCGCAAAGGCATGTGAATTTAAGTGAAGCTGTAGTGTATACTACCCACACATGGTGCAGGACTATGCCAGCCCATGCTGGAGACTGATGCTGGATTGAATGCAACAGAAACGTTTTGTTGTGGATGGTGATGGAGCAGAACCTTTTCATTAGCTAATTTATGACTAAGCTTCATGCTGAGCCGCAGCGCCGAAAAAAAGAAAAACCTCAAAACATCCAACAATCCTCTACAACCTCATTATCAGCCATCCTAACAGTTACACCAATTGCCTCTAACTTTTACCCTCATCCATCAATTGAGTTCACGATGTTCTCTCTGAGGACTGCGCAGCCAGCGCAGGTGTGTAACTTTCCTTTCCCCCAATTTCGATTCATTGCAATTCCATTCAATATATATAATTCACCTTTCTTATCACGATAACCAGCCCCCCGCTCAGATACCGTGCTAACTTTCCCTTGACGGCTCAAAGTCTCTTTTCCGCGCTGCGACAAATACTTACTCGACATCTCTCCCTCGCTCCGCAATTGCTGCTAGATGTATATGTCATTCCTTCCCTGCAAATCTAACTCTCCATCAGCAACGCTAACACCTTTCACCCAGCATTCGCTACCGTGCAATCGGACATCTTCAAGCCTACCAAATATGGCGGCAAATACACAGTTACGCTGATCCCAGGTATTTAAACATCATCCCTTCCTTCCCTGTTGTGAGGCTTGCCGATTTAAAAGGAAATTGCGAAGCTTGACCGAACAAGGCTTATTAACTGTTAACTTTGTTGTTTTTGAACTTCAGGCGACGGCATCGGTACGGAAGTAGCAGAATCAGTGAAAACGATTTTCAAAGCCGATAATGTACCAATTGAGTGGGAGCAGGTCGACGTTAGCGGGTTGGACGCCGGGAATAAACATTCGGAAGATTTGTTCAAAGAATCTATTGCCTCGCTGAAGCGCAACAAGCTCGGTCTCAAGGGTATCCTTCACACCCCAGTTGAGCGATCCGGCCATCAATCGTTCAATGTTGCCCTACGTCAGGAACTAGACATCTATGCGTCTATCGTTTTGATCAAGAACATTCCCGGCTACAAGACCAGGCATGACAATGTCGACCTCTGCATTATCCGTGAAAATACCGAAGGCGAATATTCTGGCCTCGAGCATCAGTCTGTCAGCGGCGTCGTCGAATCTCTCAAGATAATTACTCGTGCCAAGTCAGAACGAATTGCCAAGTTTGCATTTAGCTTTGCTCTGGCCAACAACCGCAAGAAGGTTACCTGCATCCACAAGGCCAACATCATGAAATTGGCCGACGGCCTTTTCCGCTCCACCTTCCATAAAGTTGCCGAAAGCTACCCCACTCTAGAAACGAATGATATGATTGTGGATAATGCATCTATGCAAGCGGTTGCTCGTCCTCAGCAGTTTGACGTCATGGTTATGCCCAACCTTTACGGCGGAATCCTCTCCAACGTTGGAGCTGCTCTCGTCGGTGGCCCCGGTATTGTACCTGGTTGCAACATGGGTCGCGATGTGGCTGTCTTCGAACCGGGATGTCGACACGTTGGACTTGATATTAAAGGAAAGGATCAAGCTAACCCCACAGCCTTGATTCTTTCTGGATCCATGCTCCTGCGCCACTTGGGTCTCGATGAGCATGCCAACAGAATCTCTAAGGCAGTTTATGACGTGATCGGAGAAGGGTAAGTCTATCAAAGAAAGAAAGAAACCCCGATTTTTTATACTTTATACTTTCTGCGCGGCCATCTGAGGCTCCCAATCAAACTGCTCCTGGATAAGCCTAGCATGTTTTGCCTTCACTTTTTTACTAACTCAACTGTTTTAAATCCAGTGTCACCCGCACGCGCGATATGGGTGGTCAAGCTTCCACCCATGAATTCACCCGTGCTGTCCTCGATAAGATGGAATCAGCTCTGTAAAAAGCGAGACAAAAAATATCCCCTCCAGCTAAACCTAACGCGTCTAGCTATCGTTTCCTCCACCAACGCACTACTCAAAAGAAGCAAAAACCCAAGGCTGAACATTCCTTTCGATGGAGAAAAGCCAAAAATAATAAATTCGAGACTGCATAACGACACGAAACTATGAAGCCCCGCACTTACTCCTCGCTCCTATACCACCAAAAAAGATAAGAAAGTCGAGAATGATTTCTCATTTTCACACTATGTATATTTTATTTTTCGTCTGTTACAAAAATCCTTTAGAATCTACAATTACACATGGGCTACTTTTGCTTGTCTTGTCCTGTATATATTAGTGATTAGACATCTTTTCTCCACCTTTCCCATTCCGTTCACCGGAAACCCACCTCTCATCCCAATCCCCACACCTAGCCCATCAATCATGAGAGGAACGGGTCAGGAGGTGAAATTGGAGTATATGGAACGAAACCCCTAAGTTGACTCCATACTCAATATTTATTCCTTCTCTCCAAGTTTGTTCATTGTTTCCCTTCTCCCTTCTCGGTTTTGCCCTGTAGCACCCTTAGCACAACATATAAACTGTATATGTCCAGCGGCATGACATTTGCCATTCGCCAGCTTTATGTTTTAGTACTCTCTGTTTCTTATGTGCATAGAAATTTTATCTATACCTGTCAACTGTTCATGAGAACATCCTTTTCTCTAACATTTTCTATCTTTCCTTTTTCTCTATCGCCAAACACTAACAATCTTAGTTTTTCCCATTCTTTTATGAGATTTAGGATGCTACCGTAAGGTCGGCAAAACATGTTGGTTGACAAGTGGAAAGGATAAATGTACCGTACTGGATAGAATTAAAGCTTTATTCCTTCAATTTTGATGCGTATAATATTGATTCCTGTTTCTCACTGGTTGGAACTCATGTGATTTCATGTTCGGCTTTTCAAGCTCCTGTTTCGTCTCCAAGATCTAAAAATGTGTGCTTCTATGTAGGCATTTACATGCGTACCCAAGTATGCAATTTCTCGCGGCACATAGCGATGGAAAGAAAAAACAAAAAGAATAAGAAACAAAAACAAAGAAGAACTTCACCATAAAATTAGAAATCTTAAATGTTATTTTATAAAGAAAAGAAACTGGACTCTGCCAAATGAAAATTCCGCTAATACACAAAATCTTAAATAGGCTCTCCCAATAATGAAATCAGTTTCGCCACCCATAAATAACGTGTATCTCCGCAGTATCACCATCAACACCATCTCCACATCTCCACATCTTCATCCATTCAATCGTTGTGTTTTATTTCTTTTATTCAGAACCCATTCCGGACAGGAAACCGATAAAAAGCTTAAAAAGCTTTATCGGACCTTAACGTCCAGAGCCCCGGAATTCGAACACGTGAAGAGCATTAGTCGGCTAAGGGACGAGATGGTCTAGTTCCAAAGAGGAGGCGTAACATTAAATATGGAATGGGGAAAAGGGAGGAATCCTGCGTGGGAGGAATTTTTACCAATCCACTCTATCCTAGGTGGTTCCTTGATTGATTGATTTGTTCGCGGCATGGCACGGAGGAATTATTAAAAGAGATATGGTTTCAATTCAGTTTCGTTGCTTTCGCCTATTTACTTTGTCTGTTTGTTATTCTCCAAAGTGTCGGAAAATACTTGACTAGGTGCTTTGTTGTCTTGCTCATTTGATTGGGGTCGCCTCCCCTTTTCTTTTTCGCTTGGGTTCGTCGTTTATTGGATTTTATTTTGGTCGAGTCTTTGAAAGTAACTCAATACCCTGGACATTGGATATTCCTCCATCTGCGATGGCGAATGGGAAATGCATCAAGTTGTTTGGAAGCCCGAATTGTGCCAAACGTAAATCCTTTGATAAGTTTTTGTTTTTCTTGGGCCACGCGGTGACATGTATATTTCGGTGAGAGGTTGGGATGGGAATGATAGGGCGACACCCGTCTCATATTGGCCAGTGGCAGAAAACCTCGTAACGGACTGGCGTTCATGGAAATGAAAAGTACCGCTTTTGTTAGAGCCTTTTACCATCCTCAGATCGACGAAGTTCCGATTCACTTTGCAACAAGTGAGAACGTGGCCATCCGTACTTTGGGGGAATTAGAATTCGAAGTCTGTGAGATATTTTTTCCACATGGCGTCGTCAGTTTCTGGGTGATCGGCCAAAGTACCTGATAGGAGGGGGTTGAATAGCCACGCGAGCAGATCGACCTCCATAGCCCCCGGAAATAGCAGTACGGGGATGTGTAAACCGAGCAGTGGTAAATAGAACAAATCAAGAGTAAGAGGTCAAAATGCAATACGTCTCTTGCGACCAGTATACTTCGAGCTCGGCTTGACGATTTTGCCCTTGCGTTCCATCTGCTCCTTCTTCCGCATGATCCAAGCCTTGGTCCCCTTGACATGAGCCGGGTTCACGCCTCTCTTCCCGTGAGACTCAGCCATGGCCTTCTTCCTCGCATCTAGAATATCAACATCATCCATACCATCCACAACACCGGTTATGTCGCCTTGTAGACCACCCCCACCAACAGTCAGCACAAGATAGAGCTTGCTATTTTTCGTCCCCGGGTCATCTTCAAGAATACCAGCACCAAATCCAGCCTTCATAGCCGCGCCGCTAATCATACTTCTCTGGGCATCATTTTTGGGGTAAAACTGGCAAACCGCACGTGCGCCCCGACGCAAACTGGCGTATAATCCATCAAAGAATCTGCGCAATCGACCCTCCGGACTAACATCACTAGAGTCGGCATTACACAACCACTGAATGGCACTGATACTAATGGCCGCGTCAAATGTACCCGCGCGAAACGGGATTCCTTGGCCGATGTCTGCCAGAAAGAGGTCGCCCTCTACATCTCTCTGAAGAGCAATGTCTAGCATGGAGGGGGAGATGTCCAGGCCAACCCAGGTGTGGGGTCCACCGTCAGAAGGTGAGACGGCAGAGAGGATTTCGCCTGATAAACCGGAGCCGCAGCCAATATCGAGGATGAGAGAGGGAGATTTGAGGTCGAGGAGTTCGAGGGCGCGGTTGGTCATGTCTGATTGAATGTTGCGGATTCGGGAGGAGGTGGTGTATTTGCGGGATTCGGAGTCATTGTAAAAGAGATCTGGGGGCCTGAATGTTTGTCCATGTTAGAGAATACGGTCGCGATAGTGGAAAGAGATTCCAATATTTAAGCATCGGGTTTTTGTAGACATACAGAGTGTCTTCTGGGCGGGACATTGTGGAATTGAAAGTTTGCGGAATCGTCGATTTCTGGATACTCTGGCGAACAAAAGGATATATATAATACTACGGTTTCTTTTGCTTTTCGGCTTCGTAATATTATCCTTTTCTTCAAATTTTGATAGATATCGGGGCAACTGAGATTCTCAAGGCGTTAGATAGTCTGAGTTGTCCGTGGGGTTGAAAAAGTGCGGAAAAGTTTTATTGTGGGAGAACGAAAAAAATTGGTTGGACGTCAGTGTTTTCCTGATTGGGACAATCATCATCGTTCTCCGATGGGCTTATCTCCATGTATCATTCTACAAAACAGGATTCCAACACAAACAGCGTAATAATGACGCCCTGTCCGAATACATCTTCATTCTGCGCACGTCTCCTCGCACCATAGTTAAATGCAATACTCCCTCCAGCGGCAGACCCAATTCTTCCGTTGCAGCCATGTGGATTCTGCCCTTGGTCGGATACCTAGGCTTAATCGTGGGATTCCTATTCCTCACCCTCGCCATAGGTAAATAAAGCCCCGGTTTGGAACAGAGACGTAACAAGCTAACAGGCCATCCACAGCGTCGGGCCTCTACTATCTCTCTGAGCTTGTTGAAGAACACACCGTGCTCGCCCGCCGTCTCCTCTCACGTATGATATACTTCATAATAACACTGCATGTCCTCCTCTGGTTTGTCGACCAGCTCCCCTTCAGTCTCTGCACCCTCAGCATCATCTCCCACTTCATCTACGCTGCCAATCTTCGCCGCTTCCCCGTCGTCAAGCTCACAGACCCCATATTCATAACCTCGTGCCTCCTGGTCGGCCTCAACCACTGGCTTTGGTTCCGCTACTTCTCGAACCCAATATCAACCCAGTCATCCTCCATGCCCTGGTCCAAAGATGCGGATAGAAATAGCCGACAGCCTTACCACTACGGCTCGATGACGGATCTACCGTCGTTTACAGAAGTGGCGTCCTATTTCGGGCTGTGCGTGTGGCTGGTTCCATTTGCGCTGTTTGTCAGCCTGAGCGCGGGCGAGAATGTGCTGCCAAGTATGGGCTCTGAGTATGCGACTGGGGCAACGGCGGCGTCATCGCGGGCTGATCAGGACGGGAAACTGAAGAGCAAGGGTATGGCCAAAGCGTTGGTAGGTGGTGTGAGGGAGTGGATGGGAGATGCGGGTGAGCTTATGGGATTTTGGAGAGGGGAGAAGACGAGGACATTTTGATGGACTATGCCTTGTATTTTTGGGGCCCCCCCCCTTTCTTGAACTGCCTTGCCGATATTCATTTTGTGGGTGAAATTGTCATTGATTTTTCGTACTTGGCCGGCGTATGAAACATTTTTCGTCACCACTTTTAATTCCTTTCTCTTTCCTTGACGACCTATTTCAATATTATGTGTTTGAAAGGCACTGCATGGGAACTGACACTGTCCTGTGATGTTGTACATATTGTGATATCTACATAAATGGAGCTACCTGCCTGACAAGGTGTTTTCAGAGTACGAAACCTTGTCGGGAGTGGGCCGTCGAAACAATGTGGGAGGGAATGCCATCGACCAGCAGCCGAGCGCATTGGATCGAATCCAAATACCAACATTCAAGGCCGCATCAAACCGTACATACACATCGCCTTGGCTGTGATATACTCCTTGGCATCCAAATCTATCAGTCCCATTTCCCCGACAACCTTCCATGTTTTCTTGCATCTAACTTCGCTCTTCAGGATAAGATCTAACTCGGAGCCCTATTACTCAGCAAAGACCAGTCATTTAAGCAGAAATCAAAGTACGGAGGAAACTAGGTCAGGTAAGTTCACCCCATTTTTCCGTTTTGACTTTTCCAGCTGCAACGTATCTAGTAAAAGTGAACCCATATACTGGAGGCCTAAGCTTTCTATTCGTCTTTCTGCGAAGGCATTAGCACAGCTTGCATAATTGGAATGGGAACCACCGAAGTATGCTAGAGAGCGCAATGCAAAAACATAGATGTATGCACAGCACAATACGACTGTATGCTATCGTTGCCCGCTTAAATATTCTGTTTCACTCCTATTGCTTCACCATATCCGAAGCCGCGGTATGGACACATTTCAAAATGAGTTTTCAATGAGGCGACCAACGTTGAATATATGCGCTCCGGCGGAATTGTGAATTCGAGTCCAGATAGCCAAAGACATGGCACCAATGGTATGTACTGGACATACAGATTCAACCCGGAAGGTATTTGCAGGCTGTAGCCTACCTCAAATGTTTATCCTGGCTTAATTTTCCCGGTTTTCGATCGTTCCCAAAGTTTCCCAAAGTTGTGCTCCTCGATCATCCTTGTAGTTCGCGGTAGAAGGGCGCAGCGTGCTTGGATCTACACAGGGACAACCGACGATGCTTTGCGGTTCCTGGCTCTAATCCCCACAGTCGCACCGACCAGGCAGTGTCTACAAACGATCTCTGGTTCGCAGATGGAGACCCACGAGAGTACCAGCCTTTTCGAAGATGGGGAGGGGGGCTGGAGATCGGGGGAACCCAAGCAAAGGTCAAAAGGGACCAGAGCGCCGAGCCCTAGCCCTAACCCTAACTGATTCACGCAGTTCTGTCTTGTTCCACCCGAGAGAGACATCGTCGTTCTTTGCCGAATTGTGACGACGACGGACAGAGGAGAATCTTGAAATCATCGCGCATGAAACAACTGTCTGAACACGTTTTGTTTTGTTTCAGCCATTGCAGCCAAGTGTCGACGCAGCAGGCGACTGCGGACTACGATGGTATGCCTGAGTTTCGCCCCACAGCGCCCGTCTTGGGCCGGATATTATTTTAGGTTCTGGCTTAACTGACTGCGTAAACCCAAAGGCCAGGGCTTCGAAAGTTCGAATCTGAATCTCCCAATGCGCCTCCGCCACGTCCGCTGAGGCCATGAACCCAGGGCCCAAAGTTCTCTTTAACGAATCTGCAACAATGGGAAGAATTGTCGACTCGAACGTGGCAGTTCGGCAGAAACTAGCGGGATTACCCTGCAAGGGGCACATTGTCTTTCATTTCCTGCTTCTTTGTGAAATCCTAGGCAGGGCAATCATTGGGGGTGGAAATTTCGGGTTAGCCCGCGCTGAATAAACGTGGAAATAGGAAACAATGATTTGCAGTGATTTCGGTAGAAAAAGGATGCCGTTATTTTTTTTCTTTTCTTTTTTCAAACTTGAACCTCCCTGACAGCAATCCTCCCTAAAAAGAGACAGAACCAATACCAGGCTTCATCGGGGACTTTTCCAAGTCCCAAGACATTGGCAATTATCTCTAGCCAAGAAATGTTCATGTCAACTCGATGTCCCTGCGAAACTTGCCTCCATCGACTTGGATGAATCCTCCCTGAACAATCCCGATTACGAAACTTTCAGCTAAAAATTCCTGCTTGCCATGATTTGAAGGAGAAATTCTGCTTCGCATTTATCTGAACTAAAACTGCAGCCTGCAGCCAATGAGAGCCACTAGCCGCGTCAAGTACGGTACTGGTTGTCCCCACCAATGATAGTGCACCGGTTCCTGAATCTCGCTCCAATAATGTGCTAACGTTCAGTAAGGTTCCAGCCCTTCGAGTGCGCTTTCACCATAAACGGTGGCATCCCGTCCAGGGAGAGAATCGAGAGTCGGGGCCAGGCCTGTGGAATCTTACCCCCTGCTAAGTGTGGGTATTTCCAATGGTGCCATCCGCCCCCCGTGCTCTGATATTCTGAGACAAATCACTCTGCATGGTCATTATGTGCATTCAACAAGCCTCAAGGGTCTGGCGCTTACACCCAGGATGGCGCTATGTATAAAGACCACTCCACATCCGCCCGAATGGCGCTTCCTCATCATATTCCGTTTCTTCCCATTTCATCGCCAACAGCAGACCACACACTCCTTATATATTTCCAACTTCTGGTCACTGCGCTATTAAAACTTTACTTTCATTTTCTGACGCCGGCGTTCAAATATATATATATATATATATATATATATATATATCCCACTGTCCTTCGCGAACATGCAACTAAAAGCCTCCCTCGCTCTCCTCGGAGTTCTTGCTGCCCTTGGTCTGGCCCAGCCCCACGGCCATCACCACCATCACGTCTCCAAGCGCGGTGACTGGACAGCCGTGCTGTCTGACGTCTTCACCACCACGGGCTTCGGTGGCCGCAATACTGCTGGAACGGGCAGCATCGACACTTACTCAGGCAACGTCGGCAACCCCTGGGGCAGCAACATCATCGAAATTCCCGAAAAAGACGCCTCCAAATATAAATACGTCGTGAAGGTGAAGGGTCAGAACAGCGAACCGTGGCTCGTAGTCTTCTGGAACAAAATGGGCCCAGACGGCAAACTCGATGGTCACTACGGCCACAGCGCTCTGCGCTTCACCCTCAACCCGGGAGAAGTCAAGTACGTCGCCCTGGACGAGGACTCGCAGGGCGCTTTTGGCGCCTATCCTGGGAACCAACTGCCGAAGAACACCTGGGGTGGATATGCGTGCACATGGGGCGAATTCGACTTTGGCAGCTCTCCCAATGGCGGCTGGTCTGGCTTTGACGTTTCCGGCATCCAGGCACAGATGTCCAAAATGCCTCTCCAGGGCATGAAGATATGTCAGGTTGGAGGTGTTTGCTCAACTGTAACTCCGGGTGGAAACTTCGATAATGCCTATGCGGCCAAGGATCATGCTATTGGCGGCATTGGCGGCAATTTGGCTCCTGGCCCAGTCCGACTGGAGGTCACCATCGACTACAAGGGATAATAACAGGAGCGAAACATACATCCTTGTTGATAAAACCCGATACCCGCGTCATTCATTTAATTTAATTTTGCCTTTATTCTTTTCTATTGTATATATTTTACCCGTCATTCTTTTTTTGGCTATGAACAGTGGGAGTCAATGGGAGGAATTCATTACTGCTCATATGGGTATAGGAGACACGGGCAGTATGCATTTATTGACTGCGTATGCATGTTCGCGTCTCAAAAAAGAAGTTTTACAATTCAAGCTGCTTCCTTGGATTCAAGTGCTGAAAAGCAAGGGATGGAAAATAAAATGTAAAATCCCCTAATACTAGACGGTCACCCACTTGCTTACCAGTTGTAATGGCGCATATAATAGAGTCAGCTCCATTGCACCAGCTTGGTAACTTGGCAGCGAATGGTTCCAGTGACATGGAAGATAAGTTAAGGTTAAGAAGAGTGGGTGTCTTAGACATTCTAACAAGGTCAACAGAATTACCTTTGGTATGTTTCCACGGGTTAAATCACCCCTAGCAGTATTAAAACAATATAAAATAAAACATAAGGACGAAAAAAGGTATCTGTAATTGATATCACTTTCTTTCTGTATTTTTTATCTCTCTCTTCAATAGCTTTGCGCGATAACAAGATATCAACCGGAAGCTAACAAAAGGCAGAGCACAAAGAAAAAGAAAGGAAAATGAGGGCCTCTACGCTACTGACGATAGATATATAGAGGGTAAAATTTATTCTGAAAATAAAAAGAAAATATGGAAAATAGAAAATATAATGATTAAAACGACAAAGAAGAAGAGTAATCAATGAGCCTGCAGGAGTGGGCTACAGGAGAAAAGAGAAAGGCAAATGAATAAAAGAAAGCAAGCAACAAACTTAATATAAGGAGATATAGAAGAAAAGGCCACCCAATCACCATTCACTGCTAACAAAAGCAGGTCAAATAGATGAAACCCAAAGAAGAAAAAAGAAAAAGCCAGAAGACAATATCCTATACAACCCTCTCCGGCTCTCACCAATTGGGATCCTCATCGCTCCACGAGCCGATGGCACATTAAGCCAGATAAGAGAACCACGAATATTAGAAGATTTGGAATGTTAAAAAGAATGAAAAATGAAAGTAGATGAAAAGACCAAAATAAGAGGAAATAAATAAATTGGCAAAAAATGCACAGGGTATAAAGGTATAAAATAAAACCAGAAAGTAGAAAGCAAGAGATGAAGGAAAAATAAAAAATAAGGAGAAAGAGAAAGAAGAACCAGCGTGCGCATGGCTATAAAGGGTTTGGGGTGGGGTACAAATCAACAACATCCCATCGTCCGTGTCGTTCCTCGTGTCCTCCATGATCAGATAATTTCGAAGTAAACAATTATCTGTGGGATAGACAGCAGGTGAGAAACATAGCATTAAATCATCCATGCATCGATCTGTTCACACATTAAAATTTCACACACACAACTGTCTTGCTTCCTCTCCATTTCGTTCATGCGTTCTTTCTTTCGTATGTCTCCAACATAAAAAGAAAACCCAAAAAAAGAACCTATTTGCCCACCTCCATTTTGTTCCAGCCAGGAGTGGCGGTGGGTAAAGGGAAAAATTACCAAAAAAGAGATAAATAGGGGAATTTATGACCACATAACGCAAAGCCAGGCGTGTGTGGGTATGTTGTCCATCCTAACCAGACTTGGTCGGTCTCACCCTTGCCAAAGACATAAAAAGAAAAAGGTGAAGCGCCATCAATCGAACGCTGAGTCTTCGGAGACCATCGCTATTTCGCGTAAAAGTAGTCAGTATTATGGAAAGATAGGTACTCTGATGTAGTGTTGCAACACCCAAACAAAGAACTTTCAAGGGCAACGGGGAAATGAGGAGGCAAGAAAAAGGAGGAAAAGAAAAGTCACGTACACCTCTCATCTCTCCCCTTCTGGCCCCCACCCAAATTCGACACGCCACTCTTCTTCCCCAAATTCATAAAGAGCAGATTACTCTCCCGCCGCTTCGCCTTGCTCGTTGCACTATTGTTAAAATTATTATTCCCATTGCCGTTACCATTACTGCCAGATGATGACGACGGTGGTGGTAGCAAACTACTCATGGAATTATACGGATCCGCACCTAGCATCTGCTGCTCATAGGTGGGCTGTATCGGTATAAAGCCGGTGTTGTCGAATTTGTCGCGGGAGCGGTCACGATCCCGCTGCTGCTCCCATTGCTGTTGGGCTGTCAGCGCCTGCGCATGCGCATGCTGAGCTTCCTGCGGCGTCAAATCTGACTTGTGACGATGCTGTGGTGCCGCCGACGAGGACAGTTGCGATTGCTGGAATGAAGACTGGTTATATGACGGCGTCGGCAGGTCAGAGAACATTTGATGCCGTGGTGATCGGATATCATCCGGGCTCAGCGGCTTGTTGTCGAGGAGTAGTTCAACAGGAGCAGCAGCGTGTATGGAAAAGTCCGACACGGATTCGCCGAAAATGCTTTCAAAGTCAGTAAGGAACATTGAGAAGACCGGGGCAGGGATGTTGAGGGTTGGCGCGAAGACAATGCCGACGTTGCGAACAGTCATTTTGTTTACGTCCGAGTTGTTGATGATGTCGATTAGATATTGGGATAGGGCTTTGAGGATGGTTAGGTTAGGTCTTGGGAGGCGGTGGACTAGTCCGTTGAAGGCGGCTATTTTCTTCTGTTTGTCATCAAGATCTATTTTCGTCGTCAGCAAATGAAACATGATTGAAACCGAGCATATAAGCAAGAAAGGAGAGAGAGCTCACCAAGAACCCGAATAAAATCCAAATGCAAATCTCTAGTCAGCACCGTCGTCGGCAGCTCGCGCAGATACTGCTTAAACAAGGACGCAACAGCATGAACATCATAATACGTATCCCCTTCCAAAAAGTCGAAATCGCCCTCCGTATTAAATTTCTCTTTAAGCGATCTAATCACCACATTCGAGCCGCTCAGGCGGAAGATTCCCTCTTCAAGCGCCGCATCCTTCGCCCGCAGGTAATCGATACACCGGTAAACCACTGCAGGAAGTCCAGTATTAAGACCTGGAACCCCGCAATATTCTACCGCCTCCGCGAGGGGCAACCCAAAGACCGCTCGGACAGGCTCTCGTCGCTCGATTGGGGAGTTGTTACTGCTAGCCTCGTGGCTCTGTATCTGATTGGCTAGATCAGCGGTTGTCGCAGCGCGAAAGCCCCAGATGGAGCGTTTTTTCTCCTTCGTGCTCATGGGTGGAGGGGCCTTATTGCCCCACGC